TTCTGCTCGTATTCTGCCGGTATTCTGCCCCATTCTGCTCGTATTCTGCCGGATTCTCACGTGCTTGTGAACACAATGGAGCCGTACTAATAGGCGCCAGCAGCCCTCTCCGCACGTCGTAGCTGGTTCTGCAGAGTATCTGCTCCTTCTTCTGCACTTTTCTGCCGAATTCTGCTCATTCTGCTCCTTTTCTAAAATAACCCATATTCTGCTCGAAACTCTGCCGGCATTATCGGACGACACCGCGACATTATCAAATGCGGCCGTAAGGTATCAAAAATGGACCATGCCAGTGAGTTCACGATCACGTGCTTGTGAACACAATGGAGCCGTAAATAGGCGCCAGCAGCCCTCTCCGCACTTCGTACAAATGTAGTTGGTTCTGCGGAGTATCTGCTCCGTCTTCTGCACTTTTCTGCCGAATTCTGCTACTTTTCTAAAATAAGTTGATAAATAACCCATATTCTGCTCGAAATTCTGACGGCATTATCCGCCAGGGCCTAGCTGGGACCATACTCCCAAGCTTATCAGTGCGTCGGCAAGTCTTGGGACTCTGCTACCTGTTCAGCTGCACTACATTTCCGGTCCAGCCCAGCTGACACCTGCTGCTCCTGAGCCCGCCACCAGCATCCAGTGAAACAGTTACACTCCCATGCCTAAGGGACCGTCCAAGGTTACCAATAATATTTTCAAAACGAAATGTTTTCGTTTGGGGGTGGGTGGGTTTGATGGAGTTTCATTTTGAAAATAATTATTGAATGTAGATGGAGAATGTCCAGTTACTTCTGGGTGTCGAAAATTGACATCAATATTTTATTGGAATTCGTTTTACCTGCAGAAAAGATGGGTGGGTGGGTGGGTGGGCGCTGAAAAATACTAAAACTTTTCGTTTTGTAAAAACAATCGGTAACCCCGGACGGCCCCTAAGATGCCTTCCAGTTGTCAAACCCCCTCCCCGCAACAAGTCCTGACATCCTACACAGATCCTTCCCATTCGGCCTACTTAACTCACAAACATGGAATGCTCTACCCTCTGCCATCCTGAGCCCCCCCCCCCCCCCCCCATCCAAGGCAGCGCGTCAGCGCTTCAAGGTAGCACTGAGTACTAGTACCTCATCCTCCTCGTTACTTGTGGGACTGCTGTCGACGATGGACAAACTCTTTCTTCCGTGTTTCGTTCTTTTCAACCCTCCTGGTGAAAGGGAAATACTAGTAAAAGAAACTGAGCACCAAAGACAAAGTAAGGCCATGGTAAAAATAAAGTTGATTCTCAGGTCATGAACCTGTGAATATCGGTGCGAGCGAGCGATTTTTTGTTTTATTTCCCACAATATTTTTTATTTCCAAAGATAGGGTCTCGTACACATAATTATGTACATGGTCACATGTTCACAATATTCAGGCCAGCGAGTAGAAAAATACCGGTATTTTACTACTCCCTAATTCATTCGCCTTCGCATTGACCGTGTTCATGCGCGCATATGCATGCATAGAATTTAAAAAAATCGTCGGTGCGCCGCCAAAAATCGGTGCGCGCGTACTTGAGAAGATAATTTTTACCATGGGCTATTTAACTTAAAAAGAGAAAATTAATAGTGAGTCTTTAGAGAAAATCATTATTAATTTTCTCTAAAGACTCACTATTTCTCTTTCTCGTGATGTAGTTTGTGCGTCTGGCGGAGGGTGCTTGCACCTACGTGACCTAGCTAGTGGTGAGAGCAGCACTGCCAGATAATGGAAAGACTGAGTTAGACAAGGAGAAAAGGCGACAGAGTTGCAGACTGAAACTACGCAACAGGAAGTTCAAGTAAGAGTCAGTGATCTCTATAATTAAAATTTATATTTTTTTATTTTTTTAAATATTCATAAACTGCAGTTCTAATTCTCGACATTCGGGCTGGGATCACCCAGTTAAGTAGTTGGCTTGGCAAGATGTCGACGAGTGACCTCTCCGATTCCTCACATGCTGCTGTAGGACTGGGAAGGCAGCTACTCAGCGAGCGCTCTTGCGTTGCGTGCCAAAATGTGCCAGACGCTTACAGCGGTCTGAAAATATTGAACTGCCTGCATACGATGTGCGTTCCCTGCCTCAAGGACAATGTTAACAAAGACGGTACAGTATCTTGTTTCAATTGTTTGCAAGTTGGTGGCTCAGCTCTTCCTGGAATACGCCTAGAGGAATCTCTGGTTGACTGGCCGAAGACTGAACGACGACTACAAACCTGCTCAAGAAGTAGCAATGAGATCAGTTGTTCAGGGGAGGTGCTGAGTTCCGCTGAACGGTCAGCAACGGAGAATCTTGAGAGTAGTGGTGAAGAGGCAGAGGTGGAGGAAGAGCCTGAGAGTAGCAATGAAATATCGGAAACGGAGGTGCAGGCTGAGAGTACACTGTGTAACGAAACTTCAGAGAAAAATGGGCAGTCTGAGAGTAGTAATAAATTATCGGATGCGGAGGTGCAGCCAATGTGCCAGAATCCAGATTGCGAAGGAGAGCTTGTCCCAGCTGTTTCGTTGTGCATCGACTGTGGAGTGCACATGTGTGGTGACCATGAAAAGCTTCATTCGAAGCGCAAAGCTGCAGCTCATGGACACCGCATTGTAGCTGCTGTTTCAACGCATGGCGGCCAAACGAACTTATCCGCAGAATTCAAATGTCAGCTACACCCGCAGCACACTGTGAAATCTTACTGCGCCAAGTGTAAGATGCTGACATGTGAGCAGTGTTGTGTACGAATTCACCTGAACTGCTCCAAGGACTTCCAGGACATTCAAACTGCAGCAGAGAGAATGCGGGAGGAGTGGAAGGCAGGACTGAGTTCTTGCAGTGATGCCTGGAGGGAGAAACTCAGCAACACACGGAGCAGCATTGATACATACACTCAAGATATCAATGATAAAGTGGAGGAATTATCAGAGACGATCATTGCCGACTTTGAAGAACACATCAAGAACATACGGAAGCGACAGCGAAAGGTCTTGGACAGCCTAGACGTTGCCCGTTGGAAAGCACTGCATCGGTTGGAGAAGCAATCAGAGATCGTTGACACAAAGAGTTATCAGCTGGATAGCTGTGAGCATCTAGTGCGTAACCTTGGCAACCATAGCCTACTAGCAGCAGAGAAGATTCTGAATTCGCTCATCGACAATATCGTCGATGAAAATCGCAAGTTGTCCGGCAAGTCTGATATTCTGCCAGATACAGAGTATAGTTTACAGGTATCCTATCCTGGATTTGCTGATGATGAGAGCGTGCATGTTTCCATGCTAGGAGAATTGATTAATTCTTCCAACTTTGGTGGAGCAGAGCTAAGGAAGAGAGGAGGACGTGCATACCCGGAAGTTGACACGTTCACTTGTGACTCTACAAGTCTCACTGTTACGGATAACGGCCATGAGGTGTCTTCCAATGCTACTGATGATGAATGGATACCCATCGCTACTCTAGGTAGCTACTGCCATGGCGTTGTGGAATGCACCGTTCAAATTTGCCGAACAAGGAAAGGACTTTTCCTAGGGGTGGCCAAGGAAACTTGCAGAAAGATTATCAACATAAATAAACGAGACAAGAAGTTCTTAGGATGGTTTTCTTCAGACCTGAATGCAGACTTTTGCGTTGGGGACAACAGCAAGCTCGGACAACCCTGGCAAGCACGTGATATCATTATATTCCGTCTGGATTCGAATCAGCACACTCTGACAGGAATTCACAAGAGATCTGGCCAGAGTCAAACCATTCCTGTCCCTACTGGCAAGCTGTGCTTTGCTGCTGATTTGCTGCAGAGTGGAATAAAGTTCATCAGGTGATGTAAACCAGTGATGGGTTTGGTTTTGGTGCAAGGGGCTGCACTATGCCGTCGGAATTCACTGGCAAGTGGTGTTCCAGAGTCCAGACTCTATCACAGCTGACAGCATCCATGCTGCTGCTGCTGCCCTGTACACCGCACGGTATGGTAGAATTACCCGACTGGACATGCTGTCATTTCTTGTCTTCCTTTTTCTCTCCATTTGCTGGAGTTCTTCATATCTGTTTTCCTTTTCTGTGAGCTGTTTCCTTTCTCGTTTTATGGCTTTCCTTTTTCTGCTTTTCATTTCTTTTCATGGCTACCCTCCCTTCTTTCTGCTCTCCTGTCTTCCCTATTTGTTTAGCTTATTCTCATGGTTCTCTCCATTCCTTCTACATGTATGTGCACATATTGGCGCCTGGCTTGCATTCATGGTCATAGGTTTTCATCATTTTCCTTCATTTTTTATGCACCTTTTTTTTCATTGTAGTCCTGGTCGTAAGGAAATTAATTTCACTTGATGTCAGTGTCAAGTTCACTCTGGAAAAGGTTCATCTCGCCCACTAGAGTCATGCTTATTACAGTATCCGTGTAATCCATATTCAAGATGACATGCTCCTGTCACCCATTCACGCACCTTTCTTATAAATTGAAAAATGGACTTGTCACATCCGGGACCCGACATAATGATAATTTTCACACTCCATAGTGACGGAGTGCACACCTTCTGAGTATATAACCAGTGTATCATACTTTGTTTGATCATCCATCTGATGATCCGTTGCTTGAACGGTGAAACACTGTGTAATGGAATTTGATCTCTGACGGTTTTTCCGCTTGTGTGTAAATTGTAAACTATAATTATACTGTATATCTGCACCTAGCGCCTTTAGAGCCATGGCCTTATATTCGAAACACCGCTGCTTTTCTATCTACTTCAGTAATTTAGATGCATATTGACTCACCCACTACGCCATGGCATAAAAGTCAAAGTTCACCCAGAAATTTCAATCTAGATTCACTCGTTCACCCTTTCTGCTGGGCTGGAAGTTTGTTTTAAATGAAGTACTTATTCCTTCTTCTTCTTTTTACCAAACATGCTTTTTCTCCGTTTTCAAGTTTTTCTACACTGTATGATAGGTTTTTCGCCAGCAAATTAAGAGATACATGCACTGCCCTCACACACCTGTCAAAATATCGAATGTGATGACACGAGGATAGGCTGCACGTGCACGTGTGATTGTTCAGAACATCAGCCTAGGATGTCGATTGCTGGGGGATGAGTAGAAAGGACTAATGGTACTTACAGCACGATACTGAATTATCCCTATTAATTAAGAATTCCATATCAGGATGAGCAAATCTGGATTACTTGAAACTAGATGTAAGGGTCTCTGCAATGTTACCGTCCTACTTCAAAAATCACATACACAATTGAAATACAGAAGAATGGAAAGGTCACATCTGTGCAAACCTCCGCCAAACAATACAAACATGCCAGCATGATGAAAAGCAATGAATTGTACACACATACAATTATTGAACGGTCATGATTACACTACAAATTGACAACTTAAAAGCGAAAGGAAGCTGACAAACAACTATTGCCAGCAAATGCTCAACCCCCGTCACAGACGGGTTGGTAAATATTTCATGAGGAAACTATTTGAAAAAAAAGAAAGATGTTCATGTTCGATGGGCCCTGCAAAAATCATGTGTTCTACTTGATGTTCCGTAGTATTCTCCTACAATGTTGACCCTTCATTTCATTCAGCGCACCTTCTAGGCTGCTAGCAAGATGAGCCAAGTTGGTGGCATCCGTTTCCAGAACCTGGGCTTTTGTTTCACCTGAAGCCAACAAGAATAAAAAGCAGGAAAGGGAGCCGAAATGACAAGAACATGTACATGAGTAAGTTCATGTGAGGATTAATGGGACATACACCTCAGCACAAAAATGGCGACAAACCAACACCAGTTGCGTACCCTCTTCCGTCGTGTGGAGTTTGAGAACAACGGATGGCTGTACTTGATGGCGCAGGGTCCGACTGGCCACCTGAACATCAAGTCTCCACTCCAGTGTGTGGTAGTGAGGCAACTGCAGAGTCATGTCGGACAGCAGCCGGCGAATCTCCTTGCGGTTCTCAAGATAAAGCTGCAGTGAGACGGAGAGAAAGCGCGCGCGAGAGAGCGAGAGAGCGAGAGAGAGAGAGAGAGAGAGAGAGAGAGAGAGAGAGAGAGAGAGAGAGAGAGAGAGAGAGAGAGAGAGAGAGAGAGAGAGAGAGAGAGAGAGAGAGAGAGAGAGAGAGGAGAGAGAGAGAGCAAGAAAGTGAAAAGAGGGACGCTGGGGAGAAAAAAGGAATAGATAGCGCTCAAGCTCACTTCGCAGTAGTGGACAAAAGCAAATACACGCTACAGAATCAGCTGATGAACACACACAACAATATCTCAGAGATTACACGAAGGAGTCATTGCATGCTGAGGTAGGTGTAGCATGAGCGCGGTAACAGAGTTGACCTCAACAGATTGGGTATTTGCCGATTCAGTCGCGGGGTGGGGATATTGTATTCATCAGCAGATTGAGAAAGAGAGAGAGAGAGAGAGAGAGAGAGAGAGAGAGAGAGAGAGAGAGAGAGAGAGAGAGAGAGAGAGAGAGAGAGAGAGAGAGAGAGAGAGGGAGAGAGAGAGAGATGGGGGGATTTGGTCTTCTCTGTTGGTCCAGGCATACTTTTTCGGAGTAAAAAAGTCCTATGGTCGGTTGGGCTTGATCACCAACACGGATCATGAAACTGAGTAAAAATCGAGGACGGGAGTCGCGCTTTAACACATGTACTCTAGTACAGCATCAGCTTGTTTATCACAGACGCAGGGCATTGCACTGTTCAGGGTTCTAGCCAAGTAGAAATAGTAGGGGGGGGGGGGGGGGGGGCGGGGGGAAACAGTCACCCCCCGCAACCCATTTTATTTCCATTTTCCAAAACTGTCTTGCCATGCATAATGCAACGTACGGGCTCTCCCCAGACAAGTGTGCCCTTATGAACCCTCTGTTAGCGACCATCGACCGCATTTTTTGGTAGGATTGCCTGAAAAAAACACAAAAATCGACAAATGAGTAGGGGGCGCCACTTTTTCACAGGGGGGGGGGGGGGGGGGGGAGGTGCTCAATCAGAGTAGGGGGGGGGGGGGGAGGGAGGGGGCTGCACCCCCCCCCCCCACACACCCTCCTTTGCCTAGAACCCGGCGGCTGTTGTATCTCACTTTTTACTCCTAACACAGCTCACATTCTCCCTTCGCACTGACAGAAAATTAGCTAGGAAAATGAGTCAATACGGCGCAGAGCTGCACGACAAATGAATCTTCAGCTTATTCCCATGAGGAAAGGGCAGTTCTGAAGGTTCTACACACCGGGTACACTCTACTTCCAGCTTACCTGAAGAAGCTCAGACTTCAGCTCCTCCGAGAAGCCAAGAACAAGGATGGAGTCTTGGAAGTCAATCTCATTAACCTACATAGAATAAACCATACAAAAAGATACAAAAAGGCATACAAAATACACTCTTAGTCTTACTAGCTGCGGTGTTGAACAAGACAGTGGAACCGATAGGTATGCACAAGGCACAATACACAGGTTGAACACCTCCCCAATATTTAAAACTCCATACAATGGAGCCTTTGGTCATTTTGGTAAGAAAAAAGAGCAACATTTCCACGAAAGTTGGCCGTATACACACTCTTCAAAACTTACCATAAGCTTGGCACACTCCGTTAACAGATACATCAATCCTTCCACGCCATGCTGGATGGTTTCGGGGCTGACAGACAGCTTCTCTGCAGTACCAAAGAAACCACCAAAACAAAGATTGTGTGTACGAGCGTGGCTCATATATTCAAACTCTGCAAAAACAGAAATGCGGGCATGCTACTCACAGTATAATTGTGCGCGTATAGATTAAACACCAGATTGCACAGTACAGATACGTACTGATATTGCTAATATTTCATGAGACTTGGGAGTACACTAACAAAACATCTTTTCCATCGAATTAATGTGTGCATCTTCCAAGCATACAAAGCTATGCTGTGTTACGTGAACGTGATCTTGAAAGCACCTGACAAGTCACGAAGTGCTCAAGCTATGGAAACCTGCAACAAATTACACACAAGGCGAAGGGACATACGTGCTGCGCCTTGGTAGATCTTTGGATTGGCACCTTTGCGTAGGAAGCCCATCGCAATTTTGCAGAATTCCCGCACCACTGCACAACAACATGGACATACGGACAACAAGAAAACAAGACAAATTGAAACTCCAGAACAGGATATGGGCCATTGGAAAACGGCATGTATGTGTAAATTTCGAAGCAACGTTTTCAAGACACAGGCTGCGTTTGTTTTTAGCTACCTGGCTGAGTAGAGTAGAATCATTCTACTGGTAGAGGTAGAAGGTAGAGGTAAGTGCCCGAACGCTGTCCAACCGGATTTAGTAGTTTTTCACGATATGTACATGAAATTCTTCTCTTCTGTATGGAGTTGTGTACAACTCCTTGATTTTTCTGGAAATCTCGTACCTCTACCAACTTCTATCAGCTTGAACCTGGTAGAGCCGGTAGAGAAAGGTAGAATCTATTCTTTTGAGTAGAAAAAAGGAACGCATCTACTGAAAGAAGTAGTTTCTACCCAAACATGTACATCAAAAACAAACGCCCCCATAGAGTTTAGGGGCCGTCCAGGGCTACCGATTGTTGGTTTTTCTGGTGTACGACGGCCATGGTAGGTAGGGATGTGGTTGGTAGGGATGTATACACTTGCTTGTGTGAATGCTTATGCAGTATCATACTATGGACCGATTTCCAGGGGCATCATGCCAAGTAAAAATAATTTGGTAACGAACCGATAGCCCCTGCTTTGAATTCCTCGACAGGCGACACCAATCACTACAGGAAGATTCCCTTTACTTCAAGCTGAAAGTTTCCAGGGTCCAACTTCGAATTATCCCGAACATATAATTATCCAAACGCCGCCCCATGTACTGATTATGCATGTCAAAATGCTCGAAATCGCATCTGATTATTTTTTCACATTTTATCCGCATCTGCACAAGTCATGTGCATCGGACCAGGCATGTTAATTTCCGTCAGACTTTTCCCGTTTCAACTCCCTCAAATTTATGGACACAAATTTTACATCTTTATGTTCTTGTGAAGAAGTTTGATATGAAAAAATTGAATTATTATCAATGAAAACGAAGATGGGGGTAGATGTCATTATTTTCTTCTATGATCACATCCACTAAGTAAATAACCTAGACAATTTCCCCCATATGTCAAAACGTAATTCTAGGCATGCATGTGGTGCTCATACACATGCATATCCACCATAGCACCGTACCATCAACCTCCACTGATGTCAGAAAGCTCAAGTGCTCCTTGTGCTCATCGTCCAAAATCAGCAACATGATGGCGGCAGAAGCAAGATCAACTTCGAAGCACCGCACACAGAGAAGAGAGCATCAGCCGGGTCGTCTCTCTATAGGACCTCCTTCCAATCTTCCGCTAACGTCTAACCCTGGCCCACAGTCCTGTATTCTCGACTTCGAAGTTACCTCTTGCCAAAATTCAATATTCGATATTCAAATAATTGTACAACTATTTGTTATCAGTGCATGCAGTGTGATGGTGATTTCGTGCGTTTTCTGTGCCTTGGCTACGAAAACGCCGCGAGTCACAGTGTAGCATCTGGTATCATACAGCGCAGAAATCAATCCAGTGTGTCACATGCACAGTTTTCTTTTTCTGCAGTCTGCACAACACATCCACGTCGACCAGCTACAGTACAGGCTAGCGGCGCTACCTGTCATGGGAGGGTGTGTGCCTGCGGCTGCGCTGCACATAATCGTGACACGATCAGCTTTGGTATTCAAAAAAATTCAATCTTTTGTGATCTTGCTCGGTTCGCGAATTCGTATGTCAAGGCACATTATGCCGGTAGTTGTCCTAAACGAATGCACAGATAGTTTGTAGTTGCAGGTCGTACCACCTTTGTGCTATGAAGCCCTTTCCTCTCCCCTGTTGTCTTTCGCGCTGGTAGATTTGAGTGCGAGTTCTCACTGTAGTTAGTTTGGTAGTTGAGAATTTCACAATTACCATAGTTGAAATGTAACTTCTGCAATCAAGAATTTCACCTTCTATGTACACGAAGTAATTCATTAGTCTCTGCAGTCATAGTGAATTCTGGACAGTGTCTGCACTTTGAGAATACGGCAGTAGTGACGTGCTTCTTCCCTGAAATGTCTTCGTCGCTGAGGCCTCCTCGGATTGGAAAGCATGTCGATCTGCCAACTCACCAGGTAACAGCCCCCCCCCCCCTACTACACAAACTACATTGTATGCTCAATTTTACGTGCGAGACTATTTCCCAATACTCAGTACATGTTTAGTATATTTCGCACCTTCTTCTTCTCGTATGCTCGTATCTCAACAACACAGCCATAAAATAATATGAACCAATAACTATTGGTGGAGGTAGAGCTCAACCCCAGTTTTCAGTGTCCTTGGCTGCATTCTGCTTTCTGTATTTCAATCTCTGGGTGCAAATAATTTGGAGGCTAAATGCAGCAAAACATGAATCTGGGGGTTCGGCGTGGAAATTGATAGCTTGTAGTGCACTAGTGGAAGTATCAAAACATGTCGTGTGTTTCAAGGATGAAATTTGATTCCATAGGTCTCCACCACCCGATAATCAAGTGTCAGGTGCAGCTCGTATACGATAGGGGGAGGGGGGGGGGGGGACATACCTGACCCACCAACCAGTGGCCGAAGGCCGAAATCTCATTTGCCGCATCCATATTACCCTTGTGCCAAGCCACACATTCCCAATTGATTGTGGGTCGTAGCATGGTTGGAAAAAATCCACTTGCTTCCAAGTAGCACTATCGAGAGGGGGGGGGGGGGGGGGGTTATAACTTGTATTTTGTTTCAATAATACTGTGAGTAAATGTACCGTAACGTACCACGAGAGCGCCCCACCACCATATCCCTTTTGTGGTTGTGTTGTGGTGGTGTCCAGTCTGTAGGTCACACGACGCATACTAGTACGAGTATCTTGTACACATTGCTCTTTGTGCAGTCAATCCATGCTAAGTGTGACCTTACACTAAGGTTCTCACACCGTACAAACTTAGCTAAGTTAGCTTCACTCTGCCGTACGATTTCCCTTTCCCTGGCTGTAAAATCATGGAGGGGTGCTCTCTTGAGACCAAGCTGAGTGGCAATGCAGCATACACAGCTTGATCAGTGAAGTCATATTGCGAAAACTATCACTGCTGCTGGCCTTCAGGGTGGCTTCCAGTGTCAATGGCCGCTGAGATTCCGGTACGAACAGCCATTTTGTTTTCCAGCGAAGAGATTCCTCATCCCCAATGACATTATGTTCGCATTTGGAAATTCTGATAGGTAGAATTCAATGGTAGTCTTCAATGGTCTTCAAAGTTGGCTGGGGTTAGAAGTATGGCAGAAGACAGTTAACACAGTGTAATCACTGGTGCTGACTGCTTTGCCCCGTTGGTCATCTGGTTTTCGTTTGCCAAAGAAACTGCGGATGTCATTTTGCGGACTCTTGTTGCACCCAGCACCGCTCGCCATGACAGAGCTAGTTTCACTCTATTCCCCCCCCCCCCCCCCCGCGCTGGAAAACGCTGTGATCAGTCGAAAACTTCATTTTCCAAGAGTCCATACGAATGAGATTCTGTAAATTTAAAAAAATTATTTCACCAAAATGTTTTCACCAAATTGTCCCCAAAGGAGTGTTGTATGAATGCTTAACCTTTGATTTTTGCACCCATGTGTGTGTGTGTGTGTATGTGTGTGTATGTGTGTGTACATATAGCGCCGTGCCAGGCACTTGCGGAACTTCAACATCAGGCGTCTGTACGTGAAGGACATGACTGGTCTACTTTCGTCCTACTTCACCCTGCACGATGCACGGCCACCTAATGCCGGTATGTGTTGTCATACTGCAGTCTAGCACGTACAGTAGACTCGTACGCCCAAGAACGTCCAGGCTGGAAATCTAAGAACGCCCCAGCCTGGATTTAAGAACGAACTCCAAGATTTTTAAGAACGCGATTTTTTTGGTATTTCACGTTTCCGAGTACATGAAAAACAAGTCTGCAACCACAAACTCTTGTCGGGTCCTCGCAAAAACATCACCCAGTGCAGCGCTACATACTACGCGTGCATGTAAAGTGTACAACCGGTACATGTAGAGCAAAGTGCATTGTATATGAGCGTCACGGGTCATGTTGGACGCGTAAGAACGCGAAATAAGAACGTAGCCTGGGGCGCTGAAAAATAAGAACTTTGCTAGGCTGGCCCTCTGAAACTGCGTTCTTGGGCGTACGAGTCTACTGTAGGCTGTGTTCAGAAGCTCGTCAAAATACGATTTTTAAGCTGCCCTGAAACATGTTATTCCGGATTGAAAAAAATATTTGAGCCGTGATTTGGGAGGCCATAGTTTTATCAATTTGCTCCCCCTCCACCACATGTGCTCTTTGGCCGACCTCATTTACACCAGCAACATTTAAGTCGTAGATGCTGACAAATATAATTTCCTCCGTACAGCGCTGTTTCGAGGGGTGGGACGGGTGCTCGGCTAATGTTTTGCTTCTGTCCTCATCGTCACCGTTGGGTTTGGTTTACTGTATCGTGTGGTCAGTCTACCAAGCTTTTAGTTTGTGCCTGTGTCGGTTTTGTCCACGTTCATGATGAGATCATGACACAGTCTGTATGGTGCTCTGCTCCGTCTTTTGTAGAACTCTACCGAAGTGAGATCGTCCACGACTCACTGGTAAGTCATTTCATCTGAGTCTCCCTTGGTCCCATACCACTGCTATTGAACTTGATAGGGCCAGCATGTTTAAAGGTACTTCGAAGTATCCTTACATCCTGTACACACACCTTGTACACACTCTCTCTAACGGTCTCTAGGCTACACTGCAATTGATATACATTAGCTCAAATTTTCGGGCCAGGCCCATCATCAGGAATAAGTCGAAGTATCCTGTACATTATAATCTGGGTTTCCCACCTGTAACAAGAAATGACCACATCGAGTTTATGGTGCACTCACTACTTTGTCGGAAGTGCTCAGGCTTCATGAAGACTTGGTATGAAGTGTAATGTATTCTTTGAGACTGATATCCTCTCTCTCCTTCTCTTTGCTCTTGTTGTTTGTATACCAGAACCCTTCATGGAAGAGCTTTGATCTGAACTTGGTGGAGGATATCGCCATGCCTTCCTTTAGCAGTATCCTGACTACTAGTAGTTTGCAGCTGTGTGACATAATGCTACTTTGTTTGTGTGTGTGTGTGTGTGTGTGCGTGCGTGTGCGTGTGTGTGTGTGTGTGTGTGTGTGTGTGTGTGTGTGCATGCCCGCACATGCGTGTGTGTGGGGGGGGGGGGGGGGGGGGTCGGTGTTCGTTTAGCAAATGGCTGCCTATCGTTGTTGGCATGAATAATTCTATGCACGTTCTGACATACACATACACGTACGGTACATGTACTTAGAACGTCTCACTATCCCACCACTGTCCATTGCTAGCTACCACTGCTATGTTCCTTGACCCCGGTTGCCATCTCTAGCTATTGTAGTACGGGTGTGGGTCAGCAATTACAGAGCACAAGTAAGAAGAAAGTCCACGCCGGCAGAGTCATTCAAGCTAGCCATTGAGTGGACGGTTGATCTCCTGGCCCTCGTCTATGCGTGTGATCATGTGAGTTGCTGCTGCTGGTTTGGCCGTTCTGACTGACTGCCAATGCAGCTGTCCTTGTGCCTGTTCTTTAGTACCGGTATCAATATTCAGGGTAACTCCCCCTTGCCATAATCTCCTCTCTTTTTGTGCACTGAGCCTGTAAAGCAGCTCGAACAAGCAGAGAGGTGTGCTCTTCCCGTCTGGTAACTACTGAAAGATGTGCACTGGTGCTCCTCGCAGTGAACAGTGTAATGGCTTTGTAACTTAGTCTTGTGCAATGCAATGAGGTGAACGTGCTTGCTTTCTGTCCATGCTAGTGTTATCCCGTTGCACTCTTGATTCAACTAACTAACGCTTCGCACTGTTGTCTTCACTTGTTTGATGCTCTGCACTGGGAAACAACAGCTGTTTCGCCTAGGGGATGTCAAGGACCCGAATGTACGGAGGAAGGATCCCAACCTTCTTTTGTTCGGCATGTTTGATGGATACTACATTGCTCCGGCGGACGAGGTATGTTTCCACCGCGTGTATGCACGCCTCCCTGCGCCTGCGGAAGTGTGTGAGCGTTCTGTAGAAGTGTACTGTGGACCATCTTAATCCCAGTCCTGAGTCGCAGTTGCTTGTGATGCTGTGTGACCCAGTCATGAGTCACATTTGCTTGTGATGCTGTGTGTTAATCCCAGTCACGAGTCAAATTTGCTTGTGGTGCTGTGTGCTAACTCCAGTCCTGAGTCGCATTTGCTTGTGGTGCTGAGTATTAACCCCAGTCATGAGTCATATTTGCTTGTGATGCTATTGGTGTTTGCAGTCATACTGATGCTTGCTGCTTGTTTCTCCCTGTCTTTGTTTTCCTCATTGCCTATTCCGTACACTCAGAGACTATCACAGAAGGCACTGGCAGCTACACTGACCATACCTACGCTCACCGTTGATAAAGAATCGGTGAGGTTTTGTGCCGCACTGCAACCAAAACTCCGTTCCATTATGCTCTGATTTCCTACCGACATTGGCGTGTGTAGACTCCAGAGATTGTGCCTCTTGAGTCTAGTAGGCTAATTCTGCCCTCTTCGTTGTAGATTAGAGCCAGCCGTATTACAAACTAACGTATGGACCAGGAAAATAGGCCAGTCTCCTGTTCTTGCAGCATCGAAAGAAGAGTGCGGATGTTTGAAGTTACTTTGTCCAAGTTTGGCTATCAATGTCAGTGCTTTTTCTGGCGTAGTTAAGCCTATAAATCATATTGTTCTGTGTGTGTGTGTGTGTGTGTGTGTGTGTGTGTGTGTGTGTGTGTGTGTGTGTGTGTGTGCGTGTGTGTGCGTGTGTGCATGCGTGCGGGCGTGTGTGTGCGCGTGTGTGTGTGTGTGTGTGTGTGTGTGTGTGTGTGTGTGCAGGTTCGGGAGAGCTACAGCTATCATCAGATTTCACAGTAAGTCAGTAGAACCTCCCGTGTATCTGCAGGCTACAGTATGCTAACTTTTCTGCTAGTTAGTTCACAGGTTACTCATGGCAAGTCTGCCTTTTTTCAGTTGGATTGGGATGCCATAGGTCTTCAATGCCTGTGAACCCTAAAACGAAAATATCGGCCGAATAGAAGTAAAAAACAAAACAAGTGATCAAGTGTGTGTGCAATCACATTCTCGTCTCTGTATTGTCTTGTTGCAGTTTGAATACTATTCATCGGCGTCTCGCCACCAAGCAGTACAAAGCACGCCAGGCCTACTGTGCTCTCAATCAACGCGGCCAAGAGATGGCCGAGCGGCAGAACTTTGTAAGTAGGCTCTATCCACTGACGATGTTGTTTGGAGCGACGACATATCTGGAAATGTATCGTCAAAATGCATCTCTCCCTCAAACTAATGAATACAAAAATTCTATCTTTGTAAACAATTTGTACCACTCTTTTTCTAAAAAAATATTTACAAGTAAAAAGGATTTTATTTGTAAGCAGTGAGAGAAAGGACAAGGTACAGCGAGAATCAGAATCATGCTTCTTAGGCAAAGAGAGAGAGAAGAGAGAGAGAGAGAGAGAGAGAGAGAGAGAGAGAGAGAGAGAGAGAGAGAGAGAGAGAGAGAGAGAGAGAGAGAGAGAGAGAGAGAGAGAGAGAGATCAGAACTAAAACACGGCTAGATATATGGCCTAGGCAGCTGTAGCAACTATGCATGATGAGCGCGTATGCATCTACCCAGGCCAACGGAGAAATAATGTATGATACAGGAATGGGAGAACTTGTGCGGGGTCACTGGGCTAAGCATGTCTGAAGGATCAAGGAGCGGGAACTATGCGTACAGGTCCATGGTTCATGTAGTTGGCGGGATACATTGGTGGTTAGGTGCACGGGATTACTAGAGTGCAAGTTGCAGGGTGCATGCGGGGACACGACGATATACAGGAGTGGAGACCTAACATACCGCCCCTACTAAAGGACCCGTGACCACGCGGAAGATAACTTGGGTGGGAAAAGCTTAAGTTGGAGTGGAAAAGTAAAGACATGATAGAAGGAGAAAATAGAGGGAAAAGAGGAACATTTTAAAAGGGTGGAATAGACATTACGAGACAAAACGAAGAAGAAGAACCATTACTTCTCAAATCAGTACAATCATGGTGATAATGTGACGGAGCACAATGATGGGCCTAATTAGTATTATTTTTAAATAATTATTGATCCGCTTCATGTGGCTCACAACTTGGCTTTCACTGGGATTGTGGCTGGTTTGGTCTGGATCAGTAGTGCCGCTATAACCTGTGCTTGGCGGGTAGACTTCTCAGCTCCAGTTGTTTTTCCTCGCATCATACGTTTCGTGCGGCACCGGACTCTCTGTGGGCCTTTCAGGCTTGCGCTTTTGCCTTAGATCTCTACCTGCTGGGGGGGGGGGGGGGGGAATTGGCTATATACTGCTGTAGGAACATCATCCTCGAAGCTGGAGGGAGTGTTACCCCTTCCACGACCAGCGTGGATAAGCGAGGTCACCTTACGGACAAGCATTGTTCATTGCATTCGACATTGTACGCTTTGTGCATTCTCCTTGTGGATGATATGGCGTAGTTCGTGACTTGGCAATGTCGAGATGCAGACAAAGCTGGCGAAACAGTAATGATTCAAATTTCTTTCCCTGGCCGGTGTGAATTCGCTTGGGCAGACCATGGTGGGAGACAAATACGCTTTGAGCAACTGTTCACACACGTAAGTCCGGCAAAGGATAGCATTCTGTCCATTTCGAAAGATATCGACAATAACAAGAATGAAAGCGTTCTGTGAAGAAGAGAGTGGTACGTTGCATCGCAGAAAGCAGTACATGAACTGGGAGTCGAGCTTCAGTAATAACAGAAAGAGGTTCCCAGAGGATCACCGACAACGCCGACAAGCACAGCGACAACATGGAGCGAGTTAATTGTTGGCATTGGCAGTGCCTTGTCAAAAGGATATCGCGAAAGATCATCAGCATTTCCATGTTGAGCGCCCGGACGGGTTTTCAAGACATCATAATTATGCCGACAAGTGCTTAATCCAACGGACGCCTCGTCCCCTTGGCTTTTTAAAAGTTTGTTACCATTTCAATAAGAAAGGCTCTTTTCAAGCGTTCAAGATGGGTCGCGTTGGGACGAAGACCACGAAAAAAGCTGCTTGTGTCATTATCAAGATGTTCTATCCACCTTAGATTTCCACACAAAGAAGCCTTTGTGTGAGGGGATTGCGATTATCCCAAGCAAGCGTCTCTGCAACAAAATTGTTGGATTTGTCACTCACTTGATGAATCGTATCCGGCAGGGACCAGTCCGTGGCATCTCGATCGAACTTCCGGAAGAGGAGCGTAAACACCATGACAACTACGTACCTGATGTATCATGGTGATGCTTTGGATGGTGAAATCACCGAGGTCGACCAAGACACTAGCAACATGCTGAAATCCTTGGACTTCGCCATTCCCAACGCCCAAGTCGTCGCCTCGTGACAGAGCGATAATATGGCCGGTTGCTGTCCTTTGAGTGGGTGGATGGTAGTGTGGGAGGGTGGGAAAGTGGGAAAGTGTGAGAGAGAATGGAGACCTAACAGTAGCATGAGTAGATGTATGCTGTCACGACTAGGGCTTTGACAGCAGTGTGCTGACTGAGCTGTGCTAGCTGCTGAACACTGCCACACACTGACCTACTGACTGACCTATGCCGTTTGGAATATTGTGGATAAAGAGGAAGCATATAAGTGGAGTGTTCGATGGTGACCGAAGGGGGAGGGGTACCGTTGCATTGTGTTCCGTTCTCTGTTTACATTCTCTACATTGCTATAGCTATGTAAGTCTGCTCGGAACCTCACTGCTGTTCAGAGTATCTGCCTATGTGGTTCTGGGACCTGTATACTAGTAATTGCCATGGAGAAGTGATAAGGGAGCACGTACTTCTTTCAAGCTGAAACAGAAGCAAGCTGCTGTGTGCAGTGTTGCTTTACTCACCAGCTCAAGCATATAAACTGGTTAATTTTTTCATTGCAGCTACACAAGCTCTTAGTCCCTTCTTGGGTTTGTGCCATTCTTTGCTGTTTCCACAGGCCGCGCAGTGTGAGTCTAGTTCTTCTCGTATTGACGTGCTGAAGCAGGAGCTGCAACGTCAGAAACAATGTCTACTAGATGGTGAGTGCGTACTGTACCGTGTTGTAGTGTGCGTGTACAGTGCTGCTCAATGAAATCCAATCGCGTGTGTGTCAAGTGCATGTACGCGCCGCGCCGGTCACTGTGCAGTCCCAGACCTGCGAACACTGGAATGTTCACTGGTTCAGGGCGCAACGTTGACTAGCTCTTTTGGATTTCATTGAGCAGCACTGTACAATCATGTTGGTGCATGTGTACTGTACAGTGTAGTGTGCATGCAGTTGTAGTTGCATGTCATGATGTTGAACTTCTCTTCTTTTGCAGATCGTGTGCCGCCGCTACCTCATTGTCACTGTTAACACTGTTGTAGTACTACCTCCGACAAGCGAAACTTGGCGCGTTTTTTTACTTCAAATAACTAGAAATAACTCACACTTTACAATCAAAACTAATGATTGACTCACCAAAATTCAAATTTGTATTGCTCAACAAGGCCATTAGAGACATTTGTTCGGCTGAATCACTCTCCTCTGATTCAGAGATCGCAGTTTCGTCTGGAGAGGAATTGTTCCTGTTTTGAGACGAAAGTGCGACTAGAGCGGATTCACTTGCAGCAAGTACCTCTGGTGTAATCGCTCTGAAAATCTCGATGTCGCTCCTGTGTGCTGTGCTCGAGCCACGGTGTCGAGGGTAGTCGTTTCTGCCGCCACTATCCAGGTTGACGTGGTAAGAACTGTGCAACACCTCCACAAGCGCCTGGACTCCAACTATTTTGCCGGGTATTCTCGCCAACTGTCCAAAATTGCCTGCAGCAATTCCTGGCGATTTTCCTTAGCCACCAGAGACGCATCGCTCTGGTGGCTATTGAAAGACGCTAGGATTGTTTGGCATGGACGTATGGACTCTGTGCTGGCGGAGTGACCAAGTGGAGAGAGAGAACTCCTTGGTTTTCCGTTGCAACGCGAAAGCACGACGATTCTCCTTCGCAGAATGGACGCGCGCACTGTTTTGCTGGTACACGAGAGACTGGCTTGCCTCTGACTAAGTCTGAGCCATGTGCCACTCACCAGCTCGTCGCTTGGCTTCCTGCACCCGGTTGCATGGAGCTACAAGTAAGTCGTACCTCGCAGCCTCTTGAAGTAACTTAGTTGTGGTACCAACACAAATTTTTTTTTTTTAAAACGCGCCAAGTTTCGCTTGTCGGAGGTAGTAGTATTATTGTTCATGTCCGCTGTGGTCTTTGTACTGTACCTGTATTTGTCCTTTAACATTGCATGTGTGTTCAACTGTTGTTATCGCTGCTACTGCTGCTCCTGCTGCTGCCGATGTTGATGTTGATGTTGATGCTGCTATTCTGCACGGCTTTCAGAGCAACAACAGGCGGAGAGCAAAAAGGAGAAACTGAAAGAAAGAGGTATGGAGGCACTGCCTTTCTTTGTTACACCTCGTGCACGTCTTTGCTTCTCCCAGTCCACTGTTTAGTACTTTCTCTATTTTGTAATGGCCATGTGATGTGGTCATAATCACATACATCTCGTACCGGTTTGTGTACGGACAGCAGTGGGTATTCATCATGCTAAGCCCTAGTAAGCGATGGTTAGTTTGACATGCACGTCAGGGTGCCATCTGGCGTTATCGATAATTTCCACGGAACGAAAATGTTTAGTCGCAAGTGGCAACCCTCAATTAATTGTGCTTTGTGCTTTTTACTTTTGGCTGCAGCCTGTGACCTGGCAGAGCGGAAAGAGCAACTGACTAGCTCTGAGCGTGATCGCCAAGAGACACTACAACACTTACAAAGCCGAAGGTATGCCAATCATGCTCGCTCCGTGCTCCACATCCTTGTTGCATTCCACTGGTCTTGTGCACGACAGAGGGAGAAATACAGACTGAGGTCCTTGCATCTACCAGCCATTCAGCTTCTACTGTCTACATGGAATGGAAGGTGTTGTTGGTGTTGCTGAAAACTGTCTAGAATCCCTTGAGTGGCATTGAGATAGATCCTGAATGGTGATCAGTACATGTGCAGGACTACGATACATGTATGCTGTGTTGTGTTGTGTTGGCGTTGGACTGTGAACAAAGGCAAGAGTAGGTAGTCAAGGAAGTGGCTAGTGCTCATCCGTAACATCAAGAGTACATAACCCCCCAGAGTGTGCAACGCCTGATCTAGCTCTGCATTAGGGTCTTGGTCGAGCGGAATCGGATCTTTGCGTCATAATACCGTACAAATCTGAAGGGAACCCGGGGAGTCGCGGGTACTCTTGGATCAAAAACAATGGTGCCCTACCTCGAGACCGGCCTTGCACTGGTGTGGAGTGTACGCATGACATCAGAAGATCCGATTCCGCTCGACCAAGACCCTATGCAGAGCTGGATCGGCGTTGCACACTCTGGGGGGTTATGTACTCTTGGTAACATTCATGTGTATGTACTTGCACTGGTACATGTGTTTACTCATAATGTTCTGTGCTACTGCTGCTGCTGTTTCCGCTGCTGCTGCTGCTTCCGCTGCTGCTGCTGTTTCCGCTGCTGCTGCTGTTTCCGCTGCTGCTGCTGTGCTACGCTAGAGATGTACTGTACCGCACGGGGACAGCGCTACAAGCTCGCCGCTGTATCATGCTGAAGCAGCTCAGCATTATCTTTCCCATCGTGGAGGTGAGAGAAGTACACAGTGCTTGATGCACCAGATCTCCCAACGTCCGCTTTGGCAAATATACCGGAACTGTAAATGTACATGTTAATGTACTATTACATGTTAATGTACTATTACATGTTAATGTACTATTACATGTTAATGTACTATTACATGTTAATGTACTATTACATGTTAATGTACTATTACATGTTAATGTACTATTACATGTTAATGTACTATTACATGTTAATGTACTATTACATGTTAATGTACTATTACATGTTAATGTACTATTACATGTTAATGTACTATTACATGTTAATGTACTATTACATGTTAATGTACTATTACATGTTAATGTACTATTACATGTTAATGTACTATTACATGTTAATGTACTATTACATGTTAATGTACTATTACATGTTAATGTACTATTACATGTTAAAGGGGAAGTTAAGGCAAAAATCAAAATTTCACCAGTTGTAGTCTTCGGGGTGCTGAGTCGAATGGTCTTGGTCCGAGGAAGCTGAGACGCTCCCTTCCTACTTGAATCCCAATCGAACTCGCGCACTTCCACCGAAACTGGGTGACTGCGCCCTACGAGATGGGGATTTGTATGCAAAATGTCACTAAAAGCGCCATTTCGTTCTTATAAAAGCACGGATGACCGCGATTGGCCCATATGTTGTAGCCTTTTGGACGCTGAGTCGATTGGTTTTGGTCCGAAAAGGCTGCGATGCAGCGTTCCTCCTTTATTCCCAATCGAACATGGTTGAACAAGCGGTCACGTGCTCCTGCGTACACCAGTCAGCTGGTCACCGTGCCTGTAGGGTACAACTTACTAGCCTGTTTGACCTTTTTTGGGTGCAGTCCTGTCACTCGAGTTGAACTCGAGTTGAACCTTGGTGTGAAAGTTGTCGCCTGCTGGCGTGGTGACCAGGTGATTTGGGCACCCAGGAGCACGTGACCGCTTCTTCAACCATGTTCGATTGGGAATAAAGGAGGAACGCTGCATCGCAGCCTTTTCGGACCAAAACCAGTCGACTCAGCGTCCAAAAGACTACAACATATGGGCCAATCGCGGTCATCCGTGCTTTTATAAGAACGAAATGGCGCTTTTAGTGACATTTTGCATACAAATCCCCATCTCGTAGGGCGCAGTCACCCAGTTTCGGTGGAAGTGCGCGAGTTCGATTGGGATTCAAGTAGGAAGGGAGCGTCTCAGCTTCCTCGGACCAAGACCATTCGACTCAGCACCCCGAAGACTACAACTGGTGAAAATTTGATTTTTGCCTTAACTTCCCCTTTAATGTACTATTAACAACCACACAAGCCGACCTGTTTGGGAGCTATTACGCGTTGTATTATCAGGGCATAGGCAACAATTGCCGCATGCAGTATGCAATACTATGGACCAATGCCGTAGTATCGCAGGCAACAATTGCCGCATGCAGTATGCAATACTATGGACCAATGCCGTAGTATCGCAGGCAACAATTGCCGCATGCAGTATGCAATACTATGGACCAATGCCGTAGTATCGCAAGCACCAATGTGCGTTAGACTGGCCAATGCCAGGGCTAATGGGGGCAACAATTGCCCGGCGTGTCAATACACGCATACGGTAGGGATGCACTTGTGAGCACATGTAGGCGCACTTGGCTCAATGCCGGCCTGACCCACGATCCCTACCGTTCTCCCAAAAATACAACATGACCCAAACAGGAATTATCGGCATTACTATAGTTATAGTAGCGTTACTATAGTTATAGTATAATAGGTATATCATATGTACACTACCGCTGTTGCTAGGGCCGTCCAATGCGGCTACCCATTAGCATAACGGGCAGAGACTAGAACGATGCCGCTGGCAATGCTCTGTCTGCGACAGGGGTGCGGACAAAGCGGAGGTAGGCCGAGCTTTGCCACCTGCCGGCGGTCTTCAGCACCTGGGTGTAGAGTTTCTGAGACGAGCCAGACGAGCCGGACGAGAATTTCCAATTCAGAAAGTTAATCAGGCTGGGCTCCGTCACCGGGTACGGCGCGACCTGCCGTAGGGCAGCAAAGCGTTCGTAGGAACGCTGCACTGAAGCGTACGTCGCGCTGGGGCTGTCTGCCAGGCCGTGACGGATGAGCTCCATGGCTGCGTCATCAACTGATGGAGGGTGGACTGCGCTGGTGGTGTAGGCGCTGCGTCGGCAGTTGGGTTGAGGGTCCGGAAGCGCCGTACCTGCAGACGGGAGAGAGAATCAGCAAGATCATTGCAGTGTCCGGCGATGTGGCGAAGCAGGAGGACAATGTTGTGCTGGGCGGCTTTCAATAAGCCGGCCCTGACCAAGTCCATGACCGCTCTATTTGGGGACGTGCCAGAGCGCCAGATGTAGCAGATTGCTTCGTTGTCAGTGTAGAGTAGCACTCGTCTGTCCTCCAACGTGTGTGCCCAGGTACAGAGGGCCAACATCACGGCGTACAATTCTTTCCATTCAATAGTGTGCTCAGCTTGGTCAGGAGACCATGCGCCATAGGACCACTTGCTGCCGAAAACCAGACCGAAACCGTGTCGACCTGAAGCGTCGGTGTACAGCCCGATGTCTTCGGCTGTGCTCCAGGACGGCTCGATGAGGGGCTTCCGACCATTCCATTGGCTGATGCAGGCGTCCCACCACAGGATGTCAAGCTTCGCCTCCGAGGGTACGGCTACCGGTGCATCTAGGCTGGGGAGCGTTGCTGCGCTGTCGAACAGGCGTCTGCAGAACGTGCGATCCGCTGGAATGACTTTGGCTGCGAAAGACAGGCTACCGGCCAGGGACAGCAGTTCCCTCTTGGTGCACATCTGCTTCGACAGCCACGCGGCAAGTGCTAGCCGTAGGTCCGCCAGTTTCGCAGCCGGGAGGCGCAGCTCCCAGGCGGCTGTGTCGAGCTCGATACCCAGGAACGTTATTGAAGTTGACGGCGGGCACACTTTGTCCTCTCCGTCGGCCAATGGGATGTTCAGCATGTCAAATACAGCCAGCAGTGTCTTGAATTTGAGCATAGCTGCGGAGTTGGGCGGCTGGACGTGAAAGAAATCATCTAGGTAATGCAGCAAATCAACAATATCGTAATTATTAACTGCAATCCATGCCACAGCGTCGGCAAGTCTGTTGAACAGAAACGGGGAGGATCTGAGGCCAAATGGTAGTACCTTATCGACATAGTACGAACCTTCCCAAAAAATGCCAAGTAGGGGCCAGTCGTCAGGGGAAACAGGGCAGAGCCGGAAGGCGTGCTTCATGTCAACCTTAGAGAGGAGAGCTCCGGGGCCGTGCTGGAAGATGCAGCGTATTGCGTCATTACCGTAACGTAATGCAGGGAGAATTCGTCAGGGTAAATGCCATCGTTAATGCTAGAGCCGCTAGGGGCAGATAAATGCATGATGAGGCGTACGCCGCCAGACTTCTTGGGCACGATGCCAACGCCAGAACATCGGATATTAGGGAATGGGGGTTGGGAATAAGGCCCGGCCATGTGGCCACGCGTGCATTCAGACTGAAGGTAAGCAGAGACGGCGGCAGGGTTGAGCAATGCGGAAGGGAGATTAGGGGCGATGAGGCGGGATCTATTACCGTGATAGCCAATGCGGGCCCCGACGCGCATGTCGTGACAGAGAGAATGCACAAAATCGTTATCGGGGTGCTGGGATAGCTCTTCGAACAGCAGGGGAATATTTACAGGGGACCAAGGCGCGTGTGAGCTAATTGGAGCTGCGGGGTTGGCCAGCAGAGCATGTGGATTGGCCATGACCGAGGCGGCCGCAAGAGAGGCAGCTGTGGGCGAAGCGGCAGTTGGAGCGGACGCAGTTTCCTTGGTTGAAGAGGCGGCATACTTCTTTGTCGACCGTGTCGTTGCCGCTGCTGGGCCGAAGGGAACGAGCGTCGTTGCTGCTGTTGGGCCGAAAGGAACGAGCGTCGTTGCTGCCGGTGGGCCGAAAGGGACGAAATGCCCGCGCGTCAAATATAATTGTGTATAGGTCCTGGACTATTGCGTCCCACCGCATGGTTGGGTCCGCGGCCAGGAGTGAGCGGAATGATCGGTCATACTCCTGCACGGCCTCGAATCGAAATTTCCGGGCTACTTTCAGGATAATCTGCTGGTACGCAAACAGCTCTGGGGCCCTGGGGGGGGGGGGGGGGGGGGGGGTGTGCTGTGGCGTAAATCGCGCAGTATGTTGTCCAGGCGTCGAGCCAGGTGTCGATGTCCTCGACCTTCCTGGAGGGCCTGTTGGCCGGTGCTAGGACCACTGCGCCGTGCGAGCTGTCGTGGTCGATCTGGAGAATGCTGCGGCTAGTGTCCCCTTGGGACGGGTTAGGCAACAATGAGCCCAATTCAACAAATTGGCCAGTTACTACTTTATCGTGAATGGCTTTCGGCACGGTTGCATAAAACGTTCTCTTACCTGCGGGGTTCATTGGCGGTGAGACGGCAGCCGCCAAATGCGGAGCAGGCAGAGCGTCCTGCGGAGGTGCTGGTGCTTGCCGTGGGAGTGCCGCTGCGTGAGCTGGCGGTGGGGGTGCCGCTGTGCGAGCTGCCGGCGGGGCTGGAGCTGCGGCCTGATTTCCAAGGGCAGCACGGACTTCCTCCCGGATAATGTCCCTCAGGGACGGTGCAGCAGTTGCCTGGGGTAGGTTCTGCTCGGCTGCCTGAGTGGCCAAGTCCTCGCGCGCTGCAGTGAACTCCAATGACTCGAGCAGGCGAGTCAGCAGCCTGGGTTTGGTCCCCGTCGTGTCTAAATTGCGGGCCGCCAGTTCTTGTCGCAGCTCTACAGAGCGCATTTTCTTGGCGTCGTTCATTGACAGAGATTCAGACATGGTTGCTCGGAAATGGAGAGTGCTCAATGCTCAAAAATGCTCAAGCTCAAACAAAAACTGCTCAAAAACTGGCCAAGGTTGTCAAGCGATCTGACTGTTGGCGCAGCAAGGATGAAGAAGAAACAGCATCGAGAGCCGGAGTAATGCGCATGCTCCGCGTGGTCCCGTGCCGGGGCGCGGGAGTTCGGAGTGCGTGTTCTGCACGGGCACGTGATGCGCTATGGCAAGTACGTGCAAATTATGTTAGGAATGTAATTGTTGGTGGGTTGCTAACTTCACTTACCGTGCCATGCACGGAAACTTATATTTACATGTTAATGTACTATTACATGTTAATGTACTATTACATGTTAATGTACTATTACATGTTAATGTACTATTACATGTTAATGTACTATTACATGTTAATGTACTATTACATGTTAATGTACTATTACATGTTAATGTACTATTACATGTTAATGTACTATCAAGCTTCGGCATGAAACTTCACACTAGATTAGCACATGCAATCGGGTGAAATCCGGTGGGAGACCGAGAGTGCTGACAGCAGGAAAACTACCATGCAGACACTATCCTAGCCGTGTGCGTGGATAATAGGCTTGTGGATGCAATGATTGATCAGTGAACCAAGGACATCTCACCCACCTTGCCATGGCTATGGTTGACTGTTCTTTGTCCCTGGCACACCCGCTTTTCTACACAAAGCTACCTGCGTCGCCATCGCTGCTTGGCTCGAAGATTGAAGGTGTACGTGTCCTGTATCACCACCACTGGACTCAAGGCGTTGAAGGCTTACTGATTCGTCATCACTACCGTGCCCGCCATTGCTATCCTCCGTGTCGCATGTCGTCGTGTTTATCTGCGACTCCGGGTTCTTCTTCCCGACATTGTTGGACATGTTGATATGTGTGCTTCAGCAGTACATGCCATGCCGCGGAGGGCAGTGGCTTGCTTGACTCTTCTTCAAAGTTGACACAGTCTAGTTACACATACTTCGAGTACTTTGCCTCTTTGACAACTTACTTTAGCCTGTGCTCAGTACTGTACAGCAGGGGCAGGAACTTTCTAACCAGTGCAAGCACTGTTGTGTGTGGGCTGAGAGTCCAGTATCAGACATATCTTGGCGAGCAGAAGGGCATTCTTCACCATGTCGAAGCTTGCTTTTGTTCTCTGATAAGAGCTGGAGCAGGAGTCATCAAACTCCAACCTCAAACGATTCCCAACGTGTACTTCATCGAATAGTCTCGTTGGTAACGCCGTGGTATGCCCATGCTTGTCATTGTCTGCACTCGCCGGCAAGGACCGTACTCTAATGACTTGGCATGACTCCTGTAAATGCATCCAATCTTGAAGACTAGCCCACTCTGGACCTTTGAGTGAGACAAACTCTTCGCTGAGCTTCTCACTGAGAGAAATACGATAAGGACACAGCGCCTTGATAACCTCGTAGATGTTACCTTGCGGACTCTGGATACGAAGCTACAGTCGACCTTGTGAATAACGACTCTCTATCGTGCATGATACCAAATGTTGGTATTCACGATTTGTCGTTATTCGTGATGCTGAAACGTACACGTATGCAGTCAAGTAGCCATTAGGTCCTATGATTGGGTCGTTATTCGCGACTTGTTGTTATACGCAAGGTCGTTTTTATGAGGTTGACTTTATAGTTTATACATCTTCAAGTGGCTTGTTTTTCACTGTACTGACTTGTTCTCGCCCACTGTGGTGTCATCAAGCCGCACACATGATGCTGTGTTCAGCTCAAAGATAACATCGACGATCATGTGCAACGTTTAGGTCTCCCAGATTTGGCGCTATCTCTCTCATCTCCGCCACCCTCTCTTGAGTCAGATAACTGTAAAAGGCGAAATAACATTCTCTCCCATTATATGATATGAAGGATATCCATATTGCACTTCGATGAGGTCTCCGAAATCACTCATAGCTTGGTGCTCCGCTGAAATTATCGTATTTTATCAGTTGTAAAGCGACCTTGGCTATAGTATAAGTTCTCCCCCCCCCCCCCCCCCCCCATACTCGGGACCTCAATGTTCCGGTTCCAGGGAGCTTAACAGCTGAAACAATGGCGTCGTTATGGCCCGTGGTGTTGGGGTACATGCAGCTGCGGAATTAAGATGGTGTCTGTTTTTCCGCAGCCGTTGACAATCTGCAGCAGCAGTGTTGCTATTGTAGTTAGGCGGGCTCCCAGCCTGTAGGCACTCACCGAATCTGCCAGGAATGTTCCGTGAGCTATCCCAATACGGAAAGACAGTTATATGCTTTCCCAATGGAGAAGGCACCATCTGAATTCAGAACCTATCTTTCCGTTTCTAAAGTCAAACCTTGGTGTACTCTGAAGGGTAACAAACCCTGGCATGCTTCCTAGATCTGAATCTTGATTCTGAATTTCTGTGCTCAGGGTGTCACCATCAGCAATTTGAGGACATTGTCACCATTCCTGACATTTTCCTTTGTTTGTCTGTGCCTGCGTGCGTGCATGTGTGTGTCTGTGTGTCTGTCTGTGCATATGCATGTGTGTGCATACGTGCACACTTGTGTGTGTGTCTGTGTGTGTCTGTGCAGCAAGCACGGAATGTCTTTTGCATCCTTGGCGTTCCGGTACCACACGCCGAAGCTCTGTCAAGTAAGGTGATCCTTGTGCAGGATGCCATTTGTTTTGACAATGACACTGTTCGTCCTGGTCCACTGTCAAGCAAACTTCTGGTCTGCAAAAGTTGCTTTGTTCTTTTCTAGGAAGAGTGGCCGTAGGCCAGTACATCATGGCCAAGGATGGCAATTGCCTGTACCTGTACCTTTGTATGCGTGTGTGTGTGTGTGTGTGTATGTGTGTGTGTGTGTGTGTGCGTGCGCACATGCATGTGTTTACATGTGGCTGTGTGTATGTATGTGTATGTACAAGTCATCAAGCGATGGGCAGCCGAGAAATTTGTTGTTACTCTGAGTTTCGTGCAAAGGCACTCATCAGACAACTGATGACTCGTGTGTCGTTGCTCCATCTTTGATGTTGAGCACCCTTTTCTCAGCTGTGGGACCTGATCTTACTCTGTATGTATGCGTGTATGTATGTATGTATGTATGTATGTATGTGTGTTTGTACAATGTATGTGCATGTATGTATAATTATATGATCCTGCACTGCACAGGTCAGCGGGATGAAGTCATCGGCGTTGGTTTTGGTTACGCAGCACACCTCTTACACATGATGGCGTTAATACTGAACTTGCCGCTCCGCTACCCTATCATATACCGTGGCTCTACATCAGTCATTCGGGACAGTATCAGCGATGCTTCATCTTTGGCTGCCAGCAAAGGAGAGTAAGTGATGGCATAGTCTTGCTTGATGAAGTCCCGTCGATTATGAAGAGTGCTCGCCTGGGTGGGGGGGGGGGGGGGGCTGCACAACGGATACATGCGGTTTTCAGAAATGTGTTCACAGTGTGTGACTGTTTGTTTAGTGTGGTATGCCCCAGTCCGTACAACTTGACTTAATGCTTGCTGTATACAGCCATGTCTGTGATATGAACACCTACAACACGGAACACATGAGATGTTCCGTGTTGGGGAGGGCCTAGTCATATCGGTGACTACTGTAAGAGGGAGACCATTGCTCTTCATCTCTTTCTATTGGAACAGTAAAAGATGCTGGTAATCTGCTGCAGTTGTGTGAGAGGGGACCACGGGTTGTAAGTTATAAAAATGAGTGTACAGTATTTACCCGGCTGTACGTTGTACTATTTGTGTGTGTGCGTGCGTGCGTATGTGTGTGTGTGTGTGTGTGTGTGTGTGTGTGTGTGTGTGTGTGTGTGTGTGTGTGTGTGTGTGTGTGTGTGTGTGTGTGCATGCAACGGTACTGGTTGCTTGCAGGTGTAATTTGTATCCGCAGACACGTGCCAGCAAGGACACTGTATTCCAGTACGGTTTGTTCTTACTCAACAAAAACATCTCACAGGTATGTACTAACAAAACGTTACCATCAAGAGTCCACGAATCCAATAGTGTGCAACGAAATGTATTTTCTTTATCCAACGACCCTGTAGCTATCCTGCGCGCGCGCCGCAGGTAGTGGGTACAGGTTTGTCACGTGATGTGAAGTTCTGACATCGCAGACCCCATAGGCTGTACTGTATGCACTGTCCGTAGCATGTGCTGCTGGTGAATGTGTACGCAGCCTACACTACTCGTACACACCCCATAGCACTGGTCAATACAGCCTACACTACATACCCCATAGCACTGGTCAATACAGCCTACACTACATACCCCCTAGCACTGGTCAATACAGCCTACACTACATACCCCATAGCACTGGTCAATACAGCCTACACTATATACCCCATAGCACTGGTCAATACAGCCTACACTACGTCGTACGTACCCCATAGCACTGATCAATACAGCCTACACTATATACCCCATAGCACTGGTCACTACAGCCTACACTACGTCGTACATACCACATAGCACTGGTCAATACAGCCTATACTACATACCCCATAGCACTGGTCAATACAGCCTACACTACGTCGTACATACCCCATAGCACTGGTCAATACAGCCTACACTATATACCCCATAGCACTGGTCAATACAGCCTACATTACATACCACATAGCACTGGTCAATACAGCCTACACTACGTACCCCATAGCACTGGTCAATACAGCCTACACTACATACCACATAGCACTGGTCAATACAGCCTACACTACATACCACTTAGCACTGGTCAATACAGCCCACACTACCAAGGTGTTCTGGCGCAGCTGAGTTATGCTGCCTGATTGGTGGCAACAGCAAATTTAAAAGTCTCTCCTCTGTGTTATCAATGCCAATGATCAGTATAATGTGTAGAACATGGAACATGCTCTTCCTGCTTCGTATGACTCTGTCATTCAGATCCGTTTCTACTGTGACCTCGGTACTGCGGACGGCCGACTAACGGTCAAGAACATCAAGAGTTTGCTGGACAGATTCGCTGTCATCGGGTGAGTGAACGTTCCGGACTTGTATAAGCCCATTGCGCAATGACGTAATTCGTTCCACCAATTCCTCACACAGCCACCTGGACATGGTTGTGTGGGGGTGTTGAACAGTGCACTGCTGATCCCAGCGTGCTCACATGCATTACTCATGCCTTCCGTATGTGGCAATGTGCAATGCTCCGGACTGGTGTTATAGGCTATTCATACTACGTTACAATCCGTGTCACGTTTTGGAATACGACGTACTGGCAGACGTCGTTTTCATGCAGGTGCATTATCACAGGCCAGCACACGCTGCTCGTACAGCTGTGTGGACAGCTTCTTTTGAACACAAACTGCTGGGAACGACGGAACGAAACTCGGTACAGGGGTCTGGATACGTCGTCTACGTTTTCGTATCAGGGGTACGATTTTCCCGCCACGTTCCATGTTGTCATGGCTATCCAGACGGAAACGTCACGTACGCTACATTCCGGGCGTAGTGTGAATGGCCCATTAGTTTTGAGCCTCAACCAGTGTCCACAGTGAGATAGCAGCATACATGTATGTTCTGACATTTGCCAGAAAAGTCAGTGGCCGTGTCAGAAAACTACCGTATTTTGGAACGGGAAATTCCCACTACGCATTGCATGTTATATCTCAGTGTGGACGAGGAGCAGAACATGTTCTTTACGCAGATCCCACACACACACGAGTACATGTACTCAAACCTTCATGCCGTGTTCATGTCATAAAACGCTGACTCCCGCTGTTATCCATTCAATACTAACTGAATACACCACACGCATTATGTGCTGCTGCTGCTGCTGCTGCTGCTGCTGCTGCTGCTGCTGCTGTACAGAGAACGTCTCAGTGAGCAGATTATTCGCCCACTGCTGCCAGTCGTACGGGACGACAACACCGTCGATGGGCTACCATTTCCAACTCGCTCCCTTCCCATGATTCCGTCGTTTGAAGGGCCGTCAGGATCGCCTATCAGCCTTCTCGCCATGTCCCGGCTCACCCCTCGAGGACCAGACACATATAGGACGCCACCAGCGTCTCCAGCAGCCACATCAGCACAAGCATCGAACACCGCTACGCCTGTAGCAACGACGGCCACCGAATCTACTGGTAACGAGGATGACAAAACTCCCCGTTCTCTTGGTCATCGGCGGCAGCACAGCGCACCGATTTCACCAATGTCAGTGCTTGTTTCGGCCGATGATGTTTCTCATTGTCTCAGTGCAAACTGCAGTCCAACCATACAGTCGCGTGTCCGTCATATATCCACCGGGGGCAAGTCTATTCCAGCACCTGCGTTGAAGTCTTGACACTGGCCTCTGTCGGTGTGACCGCCTTCGTCCGAGCTATGGTCTCAATAGTGTGTGCTGTGCGTGTGCTGTGCGCGTGCTGTGCATGTGCTGTGCTGCCACCGTGCACACCCTACAAGTGTATCGTCTTCGCACGCCCATCTCACGTTCTACTGCCTCACCTTACAAAGGCTCCTGGTCGCAACGTCTTTGTGTCACTCGTTTAGATCTATTTCTTTATTTTTTTAGCAGAAGCTTTTTTTATTTAGCTCTTCAGCAACAGTCGTGCTGGTCACGATGGTTTAGTGTTGTGAGAATCCGTATGAACTGATTGGGGATATGATTTGTGTGCTGGTCATTGGAAGTTGTGAGTTACAATTCTAAAAGAATTTTTCTACACCTGCCTGCCTGCCTTGACCTCGAGAGCAGCGCATTTGAAACTGTACTTTAATAAAACACCTGCGTTTCCTCGGAATGAATGCTACGGTCACTTTGTATGACATTGTGTTCTTGTGTGCTTGGATGTGTGCTTGGATGTGTGTGTGTGTGTGTGCGTGCGTGCGTGCGTGCGTGTGTATAACTGCCGTGGCCATAAAACACATTGAGCGGTTCTGCGGAGTGGAAAATGATGTCTCCCAGAAACTAAGTTACTTCCGTGCCAACATGCTGAAAACACATAACACCACCCTCGCCATAACGCAAGCTGGTGATGTGGTTGCTATGCTAGTAGATGCTCTCCTGTGACCCATTAAACGCCCATTATTCTTGTGCAAAGCTTACTACACTGGCAATCCATGCCAATGCATGAACCCACGATAATTATTATTATTATTATTATTATTTATTATCAACGTCGGTACATTGACCGATGAAATAATTACGTTAAAATTTATTTAAAAATACATTATCGGGCTAGTAATAGCCTTATGGGGAGGATCGAGGGGAAGGGAATATCCCACAGAGCTGGAGGGCAGAAAAGCAGCAAGTGGTAATGAAGCTACATTCAGAACCAAAACTAACACAGTGGGTGCAGCATCAAGTTTCATATTGAAAATGTTCTACTTTGAATTTGCTGTTCTATCACAATGACAGCCACGTCGGCACTTTAGAACAGCCTACGGACATGCACGTCATGTACACAGATTTTTTTACTGAAGCTAGCGAAAATCAAACAGGCCTACTCTTGCACTAGGTATCTCCAGGCCGTTCGCTGTAGCTTGCATCATCGTTCCCTGATGGCAATACGGTCATATAACAGACTGGAATTGTGAACATGTACATAGTCAACCTTGCCTGCATTGGTGACTTCATAATTAACTTGTAAGGTGTTGTGATACACGAGTACTTCAAGTAACAGACCGGCATAGTGTTGCGAACAGGAACTAGACGAGCCAGGTCTATTGGACATTTTACGCTGCCGGCTGGCCTGGTCTGCTGTGCTCCGGATATCAGCAGCGTTCGTGTGTGTCTCGACCCGTGTCAATAAACATAGATTGACATAGACGAGAAAGCTGGATATGAGGACATGCCAGACATATCCTCATACCCAATCAGCAGGCAGGTGTCCGTCCACCCATACCAAGTTTAGCAAGCAGACAGGTGTCTGCACATCCATACCCAGCCAGCAAGCAAGCAGCAGGCAGGGAGATGTTTACACACACCGGCCCATACCCTGCTAGTCTGCAGCAATGAGTAATACTCATGACTCATCTCCGCTGTCATCCACGTCCACTTTCCCCGGAAAGTAGGAGAAGGACCAGGCCTTGGAGAATAGGCTGCGGATGTTCTCCAGTTGCAGGTCGCGTGACAGGTACTCCGGTTCTTGGCGCCCCTTTCCCTCCCCTGATTTGCTCGGCGTGCGTTGGTGAAACCGCTTGCCAAACTGACCACCCTTCCCACCATATCTGCAGCAAGACGCAGGAAGCAATGGACCCAGAGTATGGTTATGTATACCGTTGACAGAACCTTCACCCAATGTACCATAGCCGACAGTATCTGCTCAGGTGACACTTCTGCTGGGCGCAGTTGCTTAGACTCATACCTGGGAGTGGGTATCATGGAAGAGTATTCTCAGGGTGAAATGAGAGGAGCTTCTGCCATGACCATGCAGAAACCAGTTCTACTTGCAATAGCTCCTGTATAAGGCCTATGGTGAATAGGAGTGCACAGTAGCAGCCAGTGGAATACGTGTATACCGGTATGTATGGCAGCGGCGAATGGAATACTAGTACATAAACACCATCCGGTACATGTGCATGTGTGTGTGTGTGTGTGTGTGTGTGTGCGCGCGCGTGCGTGTGTGTGTGTGTGTGCGCATGCGCGCGTGTGTGTGTGTGTGACAGTGTCACGAAACAGCGCAGCATTGTAGGCGAGGATGACTGCACATTGTGTTGACCAGCACTATGGCATGTAAGAGTACACAACAGTGAAAAGAATACCAGTAACTGCCACATAGCTCACCTTCCATCTTCATCTTCGTCCAGGAATCCGCAGTTGGCCTTGGAATCATTTACTCCATCGCCGCTGACCCCGTCCTTCTGGGCGGTATCACCAATGACACTTCCTCGCCGACTCCTCCGTCCATGTTGCACGCCGTCTTGGCATGCCCCTGCAGGCACATCATTGGTGTTTCCACGGTTTCGTCCGTAACGTCGTCGGCTCCCAGTTCCGACGGCAGTGGAAACGCTGCTGTCCGAGTCTGTGTCTCCCTCCTCGCCGTAGCCGGAGTTCAGCCCACCTCTGTCGCCTTTGCCGAAGGGATCATGGAGTCCATCACCATGGAGACCACTGCAATCACCAGACTGGCCACGCCCTGCTCCCGCAGGACCTCCGCGAGTGCCGTCACGACTACCCGAACCAGCACCTGCACCAAGACTTAGCTTCTGTCCAAAGTCTGATCCAAGGCCAGCTGCGCTAGAGTCACGGCTGCCTGAGCCTGCTCGGGATCCAGAATTACCCAGACCACCAAGGCTGCCGTCCAAGCCGAGACCTGCTCCGCTACCGGTTTGCCCTTGTCCATATCCGGGTATGTTGTCCGTTTGAAAGTCACCAGAAACATTTCCAGCTGTGTAGAGCTTGCCGTCAGCTCCGATGAACTGATCTTGTCCCAGAGCTGCACTGTCCAATCCAGGCATGTTGTCAGGGTTGCCGTCTCTCCCGCTGTGAGTACCCTTAGATCTGCCGGTACCACCTATGCCGCCACCAGCACCATCGCTTTCATCACCTTCGGCAATGCTGTGTCCAAGGCTACTGCCACGACCACCACTGCCAGCTCCACCACTGTTATGTCGCTGTCCACTAGCACCACCCAAGCCACCGCTGCCGTCGTCATATTCTCCGTCAAGACCTGCACCGCCACTGCGCTTCTTTCTCCTCCGCTTTACAGTACCGTCCTCTGCCACATACTCTTCGTACTCATACTCATTCTCGTCTCCGAATGTGTTTGAGCGTTTTGAGCGGCGCTTATGCCTTGCACTGCCTCTCCTACGACGTTGCTCCTCCGCCTCGGCAGATAGTCGCTTACGCCGCTCTTCAGGGCACTCGTCGGGTAGCTTGTGATGTCGCAGCCAGTGATTCCTACAATGCTCGCAGTGGAAATCCGGTATCGCAATCACGCCGGAGTTCCAGTCAGGCATGGTGTCACGCTAAGTGCAGAACATGCGTGTACACATGCACACACAGGAGAGAGGGAGAGAGAGAGAGAGAGAGAGAGAGAGAGAGAGAGAGAGAGAGAGAGAGAGAGAGAGAGAGAGAGAGAGAGAGAGAGAGAGAGAGAGAGAGAGAGAGAGAGAGAGAGAGAGAGAGAGAGAGAGAGAGAGAGAGAGAGAGAGAGAGAGAGAGAGAGAGAGAGAGAGAGAGAGAGAGAGAGAGAGAGAGAGAGAGAGAGAGAGAGAGAGAGAGAGAGAGAGAGAGAGAGAGAGAGAGAGAGAGAGAGAGAGAGAGAGAGAGAGAGAGAGAGAGAGAGAGAGAGAGAGAGAGAGAGAGAGAGAGAGAGAGAGAGAGAGAGAGAGAGAGAGAGAGAGAGAGAGAGAGAGAGAGAGAGAGAGAGAGAGAGAGAAGCGTATTGATTCAGTCTACAACTTGGAACAGTAACAATGCAGAATGGCAGGCTTACAATGTACTGCTTTCCTGCAGACCATTCAACTCAATGTTCCCCTGTATGCGGAGCATGACGGAGATTCAAGGCAGTTACTCTGAAGTATTGACGTTACTATGACATACCGGTATGTAGGCATGCGTCCACACATACACACACACATACACACACACACACACACACATACACACATACACACACACATACACACATACACATACACACACACATACACACACACACACACACACACACACACACATACACATACAGTACTACCAGTGCTCACTGTGTCGATGCCGAGCTTCTTGATAATTAGAAGGCGGCGCAGTTGTGCAATCTTCGCGCGATCTCCCCTCTCCTGCGCTGTGATCCATTCTTCGAATTCCTCCTCTGTCATATCAGCCAGGAATGCTTCCTCACTGAGTTCATCAAAGTCTTCTTCCAGGAGTGTTTCAAATATCTGGTTGGTACTTGTGGGTGACGGTCTGGACCGTCCTGATGCAGAGGTTGGTCGCGATAGTGCTGTGTTTTAAAAGGGGGGAAGGAAATAAAGCATACTTCTTCCATGATTGAGCACAATACTTGAGGTTCTATGCCTTGAAGTGTCGGTAATGGCAGTTGCAGATGCAGTACTCTCCTCCGTATTGGACCAAGTACTTGGCGATCTCCCAGTGGACATGCATTGTAGTGGATCTGGATCAATATTAGTGTGAGTGCTTCACCTTTGTCTATGCATGTATCACCTACTGCCGTTTATGTTTCGACATCATGCATCACAGATTCACTACATCCCCAAATTACCAGGTTGTCCACATACATGTATTTGTCTCAGTTGCAAGGCTACTGAGAACGATATTGGCGCAGACTGAGAGGTCTAACTCAGGGGAAAGCTGAAGGCTTCCCATTGCTTCTGTTACTGTACTCTCATGCAACACAGTGGAGTGTAAGTTTCAAAGAAAGCAATCAAGAACAGAAAAGTGTTTACTAGTAACAAGGCTTACACAATGAGTTTGGCCGAAATGTGCTCCCGGTTGATAAGCGAGGCATGGCCGAGCTGACTCTCTCCTTGCGGATACGTGGCAGCTCATACTGACAGAGTGAAAGACCAAACAAGAGTCATGTGACACGTGAGTAAAGTTTGTCGAGAAGTCATGCTAGTTTCAAAAAATTAATAATTATTGGACGTATCAGTCTGGTCCGTTCAGTGTGTTGTTTGCATACATGGTCCACTGTAGTGACAGATCATTGTAAGTGGTTGGCAATTCACTTGACATGTATTCACTGTATGTACAATCACACAACACCTCAACATGCTGTACAAGTTACAACATGTCTCTCCCCCCTCCACACACACACACGTACACACACAGACTAGACTCTGTGAACACCATTAATTCCACAAAAATTGCATCTTTTCACAACAGGTTTTCTCAATGCCAATTGATCCAAAATCCCCGGAAGCAGAGCAAGTCACTCATGCCCTTCATTAAGGAGGACTGTATGCACACCACTGTTCCAATGTCTACGCCTTCCCTAGAATTCAAGGTTTAAAGGTATCATCATACCGGTTCAGCCTCATCCTGGTGTAGGGCTCCGGGTGCCGAGATGCTTCTTCTGCGCTCCATGCCTGAGCTTTTCATTGCACTGCTTGGTCTGGCTTGGCTGGACTGGGGTCGTGCCAGGCCAATGGCACCGCCGCTGCCTGTAGCTGCTGGTTGACTGCTGCGCCATCTGCACATTGCAAGCAATGCATTGTTAGTTTGCATGTTAGCATGCAGCGCAGCTTCTTATCGCTATGTACTTGGAAGTACTGTATACTAGTGATAATAATCATGGTACCTAATGCCATGGAGTACATGTGCAATGGTCCACTTGGACATCACAATGTCTTGATGATTTTTAAAGTATATTCTTCTCTACACTGCGCTAATCTCAGGACGTTTCCCGAGGCACCCGTGACCCTATGCAAACCAAGCACGGCATAGGTTCTTTGTGGCAACGATACTAGAATTATGAGGACAGTGTTTGCTCTACTATTGGAGTGTTAGCTGACTTCGCACTCAGTTTCACTAACCACTGCGTAGACAAGAAAATACAAATGATTGAAGCACTGCAACGTCATTCCTAATTCTACACAAACAATCCAGGTTAGTAGATGTACCTTGATTCTCGCCGGTGTGCCGAAGGAAGGGTTGTACTACTTCCTGACGCTGCACTTGTCTGGCCAGTTGTAGCTGTCCCCGCTGTGAGGCCACCACTCCGGCTTGCTGGCACTACTCGGTGAAATCTCTGACCCAGGTCAGACAGAGGGTTCCGCGCGGCCAGTCGAGGAGCTGCAGACTGCACGAAGAAAACAGTAGCAAACACAGGGCAGAAAAGAAGTCCCTACCGTTTCAATAAGCGAACAAGCTGAGGAAAACTAGTCCTGCAGGCTGGCATCATCTGATATTGCCCATATGGTCATCATGGTCATGAGTTCAGCCCGAACACTCTTACCAATGGATACAGGAGCGGGCAGATAACACACAGTCATAGTCGTATGAAGCCCACCCGGGATAGGAACATAACCGAGATATTACACTATTTCCCTATCACCTTCGGCCCACAATCATTTTCTCTCAAGTACAGTAGTTAAAATTACTCGCACACTGGCCGGGACCATCCTGTTGCGAGGGCTATTTCATCACAGGTCTCGGAAACAGTGGTAGGTTCAGCACCTCCTGGAGGATCGTTCACTAAGAGCACGAGGGGTAAAAATCACCCCCTTCACCCTCAGTGCCTCACGCAGACACAGTGCTTGTGTGCCAGTGTGAGCCTGCGGATGATGAAAGTGGATTTGTTCCGGGGCCACGATCAACGCACTCACCCTGATATGGCGTGCCTTTCTCTCTGGTCGACCTTCACCAGTTGGCCGGGGTAGCGAGTCTGTGTTTTCACCCGTCATTGTCGATCCGCGGTTTGCCAACAGAGGCAGGGCGCCAGGAGGGGCCAACGGGGGGAGAGCGGAGGCCATCTTCTCAAGGAGCCACCAAGCTTCTTCAGACCTTCGAGCATTTGCAAGAGATTCAAATCATTCCTGTGAACGGAAGCTCTCTCTCTCTCTGGTGGCACGCCGCTGAATGAACCGAGCGTCGGAGCGAGAAAGCTAGCTACACCGCTGCAGGGCAAAACAATCCTTTCCTGCAGCGACAAGACTCTGTGTTTATGTCGTGCGTCCTTGGCTTTGGTCAAAATCTCAACGCGATTCATGCGCTTGTAAACAAAGTCGAACGGCCAGGTCATTATGTACGTACAATCATGTAGTTGCTGTCGAGTCCTGAAGCAGTGTCCCAGTTTCCCTATGCCGGGACAAGCGGACACGATCAAGACCGGCGGGCAATTGTGCTCAACCGTTTCGCGTGATCAGCTCAGTGCGTTGACACCGATCTGCACCTCACAACTGTCAGACACGCGTATCGCCCTGGTCTCTACATGGGTTGCTCGTGATCTTGGAGAGTTACAGTGCTACCGGTATGCCATCAGTGATCAGGTATACCGCCGAGGCTGGGTGCATGCATGATCAATCATCGTAACAAGGCGATACATAATACATACCGGTAGTCGGTACTGTGGTTGCAGAGTCCAAGAAGAGAATGAGCTGTCTTCTGCTGCCATTAATGATGTTGTCCAGAGATTGAGTAGTGTTGGTGCATAATGTTTACACAGGTGTCGACATGTCTGCCTGTCAAAGCTCGCTGGGATCAAGGCATTACTGGTACATAATTGTCATTCAACATTGTGTTCAGTTATCATGGTTATCACGACCATTCTGCGCCTGTTTGACAGATGGGATCTCGGTCCTTCCCTGGCATCGCAAGGCGCCGGCGGCTTGGCTGGCCGCGGATTTGCGGAGTGGCTGTTTCCCTTCAATCATTATCTTCATCTCAGAGCAGACATACCGGTATGCAGCCACTGGATCGTTCATGAATCATGTCGAGTGACTAGTGCCGTAGTGGTAGATAGTTTGTCATGATTTTTTCGTATACCGGTATCTTGGATGTAGAGCTACATCAGTACAGTCGTGGACATACTGTACTGCTGACTGTGTAATTCTCTGTGTACAGAGTTCAGTACAGTAAATGACTAGTGCACAGTAACCTGGTAACAATTCGTGAACCTGGGTCCAAATGTGTGGACTCTATCGGCGTGCGCAGGGGTCCATACAACTCCCTGACCGTGCCCATTGAATGGTTGCAATTATGAAATTGTTTCCGTCGATTCTCTCTGATAGAGCATCTTGCCACTCCGTCGGATTCCGCCCTCCAGTAGCCTCGCGCCATTGATGTTATGGACTCCACCAACAGGAACAGCTGCTTCTCCGTTGAGGCGCTGTGTGCAGAGCTCCACCATTGCAGTTGCATTTGTGCTTCTTCTTGGCGCGGCTGTATACACGCTGTACGAACCCTATGATGGATCCAAGATTGGGTTGTTGTTCAAGTTCCCCATCCCGTTCGGCTCCAGCAGAAGAACATGGACGAAGCCGAAGATTTTGGCAAGGGACCCTTTGCACCAGGCGAAGGAAGACACGGAGGGTTCGTCCCGTGAGTTCTCAACACCTCGAGAGAAGTTCTTCCTGGCGATGCTGTGTAAGTCCTCACCAGGGAACTTCCAGCGGCGCAGCTCCCTTCGTCAGCTGCTTGGCACACAGCTTCAGATCATGAGCCGCATTGCAGCGAAGACCCGCATGGCAGGTGACGAAGACGTGGAACCCCCGAATCCGAAAGCCAACAATACGCCGACCAACACCATCCCCACTGTGGGACGTTCTGGCAGTAGCGAGTACGTCGATCGCTTTCTGTTCTACTTCGTAATGGGCCGACTCGCCCTGGACGCTGGTGTTGAGAGTGATATGAAACAAGAATCTAGCAAGTATTCTGATCTTCTCCTCGGTGAGTTTGTGGATAGCTACGAACGTCTGACCCGAAAACTGATCTGGATGCTTACGTGGTTGGAAGAAATGGTGCACTTCGAGTTTGCCTTACTGCTGGACGATGATGTGTTCATCGATCTAAATCTGCTGGCACAGGCAATTCACGATGGTCCCAGCGTGCATCTCTACGCAGGAGGATCATCAACTAGCTTACGCTCGCGCGTTATCCGAGTCCAGAAACACCGCTGGTACGTTCCGCGGGAGGTGTACCCCAAGGACACCTACCCTCCCTACCATGTCGGAGTTGGTGTTGTGCTGAGTGAAGATGTCTTACATGCCTGTCTGCCTCTGATTCCCAATGTAACTGTGTTTGGCGTTGATGACGCCTATCTGGGTATTGTAATGGAGGAGTGTGGAATAAAGCCGACGCGGATTGAAGGCATACTGAAGATGGCCAGTCGGTGCCTGGATGGCAGCCGGCCCATCATGATAGGAAACATGCCAGCAGACACACTTCTCAAAGTCACACTTAGCTATGCTGCATACCCGCAGTATCATTATACGTGCTGAACGCTCGCCATGCCAAAAGGCATGCATCCTTGATGCATCCTTGATATCCATACTGTATCATTTCGACTATGTCAGATTTTTTTAAGGTGCGGGCATGTGACAGACATGGGGCGGAGCTAATTTCAGGAAATGCTGTAATTGGCAAATTTCTGATTCAAGAGGGATTAGAAATTTAGAATACATTTATTTGTGCATGCAGATCAGTTGTCTGTGTTTGAAAAACTGCAGTGAGTGTTCATGCGTCTCCTTGGTTCTGTGAATCTGATGAGAAGGCGATGAAAATACATGTAGTGCCAGTGGAAGTGCTTTGCGGATGTTGATTGCGAGGAGCCTGAAGCTAGCTCCTTCCCAGAGTTTTACTCCTGGGTTCTACTCCCACTTTGCTATGTTCACTATGTTCTTAGCATCATTATACGGATATGGCCTTCTTTCCAGTATAGATCAAGTCCCAAAGGCCTTGCAACTCCGGGGAAAGCCCTACGAATGGTAACAAGAGCGCATCCACACTCATGGGTCGCTGCTGGCTCGGTCCGGGGCTCGCACATGGTCACTTGATCACATCTCGGGCATAATGGTATGCGAACAACACCTACCCGCCCTCACATACGTACACACAACCAAGGGCGTTGGACCTTGGAACCCTGGTCCCTGGCTATACCAAAAGTACTGTAGGCTACAGCACGTCACCACAATAATAATTATTATTATGAGCTCGGGAATAAATACAAATTGTTGAAGTACATGTACATTTCCGCCAGGTCAGTCGGTCTCATCTCTCCGTGGTGCAATGACGAGTCTAAAATATGGATGAGCGAACAACTCAGTTCATAAATTGAGTAAATCCCATCTCAATATACTGTATAACTACCTGAGATCATCAGTAAATCCTCAGTACAACAACACTGCAGTATAAATTACTTGAAGTAGCTGAGATCAGCGAGAACCTAGCATATAGGGATGCTCCATTGCAGTATCTGTTTTTCTTCTATGATCAGGATTCTGATGAATGACCATGGACATAACAGGAGGTATGGCATATTGTTGTATTTGTCATACCGCTGATCCGGTTAGATTGTGTTCTTCAGAAACCTTGTGAGCACATCCAGCGCCCTGAGTGGTTGTGTGGACGGCACCATGTGACCCGCGCCGTGCACGGTTATGAACGAGAACTGAGCGCCGTAGTTCGTCACAAAGCCGCCGACCTGAGTTGCCGAGTCGGCCCAGGGTCGCCAGGGCTTGGTCACCGCGATGGCTCCCGTGGCAACTAGCCGTGCAATCCAGTTGCGAGTGCCGTGAGTCGGCACAATACCGTCGATATCGCCAGAGTACACGACCGTGCGAATGCCGCTCTTCAAGAGATACTGATGTACTGGTATCATCGATGCCAGGAAGTCCACCCGAGAATAGTTGGCATTGATCTGCATGTTGCATTCGCTCCACCGCGTCGGCTTGGCATGGATAGCATCTTGAACAGTCTTCATATTGAGATATGCCTGCGAGTGTTCCATTTGACAGGGGCCGTTGGCCTCAAGCTGCATGCGCCGAAGAGCGTTGCGTGCGTGGAATCTCAGCGGTGCATCCGAGTCGGCCATCTTCTGCAGGAAAGCCGTGCGATGACGTGGTGCATCCTCCAGGCACATCAGCTGGTAGATATCGTACGGATCGATGTTACCCGTCTCCCTGCTAACCTGGGCCAGAGCGGCTTGGCACTGTGCCTCGCTAGCCACTTCTCCTTCAGCCAGCAAGTCTAGCCCTAGCCGCACTCCCATGCGCTCTTCCAGGATGGGCAGCATGTTACTGAGGTTGCAGTACTTCACTACGTCATTGCCACTGGCTTCCCTGACCAGATTATAGCCAAGCCATGTCTGCACTACTCCCAGATTGTCATCACCAGCCACTGTCCACGCGTTACCTATGAGTATGCCTTTCAGGTTGATCGCCTCGCCTGGGTTCGCGCTGTTGTGCTCCACAATTGCCTTGGCCGTGGTCGGGACATAGTGCCCGCCATAGGACTCACCCGAAATGAAGAAGTCCCGTCCCTTGAACTGGTCGTAAGCCTTTAGGAATTCAACGAGGAAGGTCACCACATCTTTAGCTGTGCTCGCGTCGCCAGGATTGTCATAATCGCTCTTGGTGTTCGAGTAGGAGAAACCGACGCCGCTTGGTGACTCCAGGTAGATAACATTTGCTGCCTTGTTCCACGAAAATTCGTTCATGTCCAAACTCCCGTTTCTGGTGGGTTGGAATGGCCCATTCTCGGACGTGAGACCACCGAGAGACGAGCATCCCGGGCCTCCGTTGAGCCACAGGACCAGCGGATCGTCGCTGGGAGACGACTGTGACTCGACGAACCAGTAGAAGAGGTTTCGCCCGTTCGCTGCGGCCACCGTGGCATACCCGCTGTACTGCTTGAATGGAAGGGTACTCTGCAGTCCGGGTAAGGATGTGATCAAGTCACTGTGAGGCCCAAATTCTCCATGTACCACCTCGAATACACCACAAAGCACCGCTAATACTGAGCAGATATTCCACATGGTTGCCACACTACGGCTTTCGCAGTCACGCAGGTCACAGGCTATTCTTGCAAGTACTTGGCTCGGAGAAGAAACCAGAGAGCGAGCACAAACTGGAGACTCGTGCACGGTCGCTCCAGGATTGAATGGTCCGCGGCAGGGTGTGCATCGATGATTTTACCTTCGAGTTCGACACCAGATTTTGTCTGTCAGCATTCAAACCCGAGAACGGATGCAATGCACGTGACATACAGAGGTTGGGAAAATGAGTGCAGTGGGTGTTTGTTGTCCAGAATGGTGATGGCTCTCACGTGACTCTGCTTCCACACGTACCCGTCGACCTGAACTGCTAGCTGAGGATGTCATCAGGTCATCTGGTCATCGTCAGCACTTTCATGAGTATCTCAAGTGCTATTTCTATACTATAGTAAGTTATGGCCTAGCTACAGCTGCTCTCCACACATGTTCTCGAGGGCCTCACATGATTCATGAATTCAGTACATTGTACAAGACTGCTACTTCGCATGCATGGTACCACTTCGCATGGTACCGCCATCTTGCAGCTGTTCCACATCGAGGGGGACAACACTTCATAGACATGAGAGTGTCATGAGAGCATCAACACAATTGTACTTACAATCTGTATGTACCCGTATCATGCCGTATGTCCGCACCTTTAAAGCCATGGAGGTACATTACATGTATATTCGATTATACTATAGCCATGGGCTTCATAAATGAAAATGACAATTAGTATGTACATGTATGCGCTGTAAATATGAACGAGTAAGTGCTACATCATAGTACATGTATACCAACAAACTTACAGTCCTGCAGGAAGGGTCACAACTAGCCCTTTCCCAAAGATGCTCGCCACTTTTTTCGCAACTTTTCGTAGTTTAGGAAGATATCGCAACTATGTTACTTTCTTCATTTTCGCGAACTATTTCGCAACTCTTCCGCAAACTTGGACCATGGGGTCAAAAGGTCAAGTCACAAACTACATGTCGGACAAATGCATACTCGCTCACTTCTCGCCTGCCTTCGGACTCATTTCAGAGAAACAGTAGATCAACGGGTAGATCTACTACAGTGTAGTAGTTACGATAGTACGGAGGATTAGCAAGACGAAATTCGCGCTCGCGTTCGCTCTCCAAGGAAAGTCGAACTCAGTGACGGAATTGGCGTTATGAGAAGGATTAGCAAACAGCACATGCATGACGTTGACACGACGTTGACATGGCGTACATAATTGTGTAACAGACAGTACAGCGTGGTAAATTTATGACTGCCCTGACACGAATCCGCGATTCGTGTTCCGACTACTTTTCCGAGCGAAAAATGCGAAAGTTCGCAAGGGACCGGCGGATTCTGCTCGAAAAGGTGGCAGATTCTGCTCGAAAAGCAGTGAAATTGGCAGAACCATACAAACCTTATGGCGGGCAATTCCTCGAATTCTGCTCCATTTTTTTATCCACATACCAAACATGCATGAAACTTACCAGAAAAAGTACCGAATTCTGCCAATTTTTCTGCCGGCAGAATCCGCCGGACCCTAAATCCAGTTCGGGAACTGAAAAATGCTTGCGAACGCGAACGCGAATTTCGTCTTGCTAATCCTCCGTAATGACTTACATGTATACCAAGAGGGTGTTATGGACTCTTGCTTTATATAGGTTAGTGCATGGCAGGGAGGGCCTTATGGCTTGTTAGTGCCCGACAGGTTAGCCTGAGGGCCGTAGGCCCGAGGGCTACCCTGAAGGGCACAAACAAGCCATAAGACCCTCCCTGCCATGCACTAACTATTTTAGAACGAGGTTACATGCATTATCTCACTTCCATTATGCTTGTGTACCGTTATATTGGGTAGTTTTGTCGTTTGTGTGCAGAGAGACTTGGTGTGACGGTATGAAAGAATATTTTCTTCTGGTAAGTTATGGTAACTCAGCACCACTTAGGACTACTAAAAGTAGAATAGAAGCAAATGAAATGCTGGGCTCTTATTGCGAGCTGCATTCTTATTCATAGCTTGTGGAGCTATTTAGGGGCTTTGACAGCCCCTTGTCGATACCTCTAATGACTTTGATCTTCGGCTTCCGCAAGCTGTTGACAAAGGAAATTCGTACATATTAAAGAATACGGGAGGCAAACCGTACACACTTCTGAAATGAATAGCTTTTAGTAGTACACCGTACATTTATGCAGAGTTCATTATCTGCACCGTACTATAATGCATACAGGAAGTTGTACGCACCCGGTTAGATCAAGAGTAGTAAAATAACGATTGAGCGGGCTTTAAACTCTGATAGGCCCTTGGCGGGAATGTAGCTGATTGGTCGTTTCCTGGACAACGAGACAGACCTCGTTCTTATGCTTTTCATTGGGCAGTTTTGCCAGTGAACAATAAAGATTTCAAACAACAACAACAACGACAACGACGACGGCGTCGGTGGCAGCAGCAGCAGCAGCAACAACAACAACAACAACAACTTATTGGCCACAGGCCATCGTGAGAATAAAATATTTCAAAACAACAACAACAACAGCAACAGTTTCTCTTATTGGCCACAGGCCATCGTGAGAATAAAAGATTTTCAACAGCAGCAGCAGCAACAACAAGAACACCCCGACCACCACCAACAACAACAACCGTTGAAGAAGACAGAAGGTGTGTGCATGTGCATGGTATATGGCATATGGAGTGTGTCACTACGGTATTGAATTGACCGTACAACTCTTTGTCCCAGGTACCCCGTGAATCGATAAAATGCACTGGTTTGGGCTGTAAATTTCGGAAAAAATCAGAGGAGCCACACCAACCCACGAGTGAATTGTACTTCAGGTGGGTGATTGTACCACCCTGAAATACCTTCCGACGCCCCTGTGGAAACGCAGCAATACTCGGTAGCCTTTTCACTTCGATAGGCAGAAGTACAAAGACACTTTATTGCACAATGGGTGAGCTGCGTTTCAGAGAAGACTGGTCCGATGGAGAAAATAGATTGAAAAGAAGAGAACTACAATTAGCATAATGGTGAAACGTTCAAAGGTTCTAATAATTACCATTTCTTTCAAAAAATGTTTTAGAGCACCGCACAGAAAGTCTAGACACTCTGTTACTGTCACTAGCTACCTACCTACACTATACAGTGTATGATGCTATACATGAACACCAAATGTCCGGAAGGCAGAGCGCAGCATATCCAGTGCACGGCGTGGCTGAATAGCAGGCACCATATGCCCAGCACCGTGCACCGTGGCAAAGGTGAAGTTCCCATAGTTGTAGACGTTGCGGTAGCCGCCCACTTGGGTGGTGACACCATCTTGCCACGGCGCCCAGGCTTCTGTCTCTATCAACTGACCGTTCGCCACCATCTTGCCTATCCAGTTACGGGTGCCGTGCGTCGGGACGACGGAGTCCGTGTCGCCGGAATAGATGAACACTTTAACACCGCGCTGCATAAGGCCAACATGCACCGGGACCATGGAGCGTAAGAAGTCCACGTGAGACCAAGCCCCGTTGATTTCCATGTTGCATTCAGACCAAGTGGTGGGCTTGGCGTGCAGTGCTTTCTGAACCTCTGGCCGATTCAAGTACTTGATTGCCCACTGCTCGACACATGGGTCAGGGCGGGGATCAGCTGATGCAGTTGGCTCTTTCAGTGTCTTGGGAGCAAGCACATGCGAGCTGATGGCCGAAGCTGCTTCTGCTAACCAACCAAATATGGACGAGAGTGGAGAGGCTGTCTGAGTGTGTGTAGCACGCTCGGCATGAACCGTCGCATCGGCTTGCTGTCTATGCTTCAACATCTGTGCATGGCGCGCACCTCTCACCACTTTCCTGGCAAAGACGTTCAGCGGAGCGCTGGACCGTCCCAGTTTCCTAAGGAAGGCCTCGCGTCCTGTCACCGCCTTGCTCGTGCACACCGGCTGATAAATACTATACGCCTGGATGTTGCCAATTTCTTGATATGCCTGGCCTTGCGCTTCCTCGCACCTGGTTCTATCATACAGTGATACACTCGATGCCGCACTTCTCTTTGTTATATGCCTGTTGACACCACTGCTCTCCACCAGTATCATGTTGGAAAGGTTGCAGTGTTGGATCAGGTCATGGCCAGTGCGCGCTGTAATCAGGTTATATCCCAGCCAGGTTTGAACCATGCCAAGGTTATCAGCTTCTGGCAGGGTCCATGCATTGCCAACCACAATGCCCTGAAGGTTGATGTGACGCCTCGGCGAGGCAGTCTTGGCGTTGTACTCTAGAATGGCCTTCGCTGTTGTGGGCACATAGTGACCACCATACGACTCGCCTGATATGAAGAATTTGCGGCCGGAGAACTGGGGATAAGCCTCGAAAAACTGCACGAGAAAGTCAACAATGTCGTGGGCAGCTCTGCCATCAGTGACACCGATGTAGTCCTTGGTGACATTGGAGTAGGAGAATCCAACACCACTGGGAGATTCAAGGTAGATCACGTTGGCCAGCTTGTTCCAGGAGAATTCGTTCAGGCGAAGCGTGGCGTCTTCTTGTGCGACAAACGGACCATTCTCCGTGAGCAAGCCTGCAAGGGAGGAACATCCTGGACCACCGTTCAACCACAGCATCAGAGGCTCGTCACCTTGCTTGCTCTGCGTCTCCACAAACCAATAAAACAGTGCTCGACGATCCGTCTCTCCGACGCTCGCGTACCCACTGTACTGGTCGAATTTCAGAAATCTTGGTGCGCCAGGAAGGTGTGTGATTTTATCCGACTTCTGAGAAAGGCTGTAGGCACCACCAAGGACGCCAGCCACCACCAGCAAAGGCAAAGAAAGGAGCGGCATCCTGCTGCTGGTGTTTTCAAACAAACACTACACTTGCAGAAGCCGGTAGTTGAGTACTACAAGTAGTATCAAGAGTACATACAGGTTTATGTACTCTTGGTAGTATGCCCTGATCCCGTTGATCCCGTTGAGTAACGAAAACCACAAACAGCAAATCTGGAAGTGTTTCCTTTGACCAAGAAGTATGACTCGACTGTACTACGCATTGCATCATATTTTGTTGAAAAAGCATCATAATCATTTTTCGTTACGTCATTCGCTTTTTTTCTTCTTCTCTACAATAATTATGACCAAAGTACAGATCAGCAGAGTACGAGTCTCGAGTCGTATATACAGAAGCCTTGCTTGGTAGTTTAACATGAGTCTCTCGTAGTAGTCTACGACTCGTACTCTTGACTCGTCGATCGTAGACCTACTCGATACGAACGTCCCGTTGTCGTTGATGAGTAGATCTACGACTGTAGTATACGAGCGACTCGTGCACATTTTTTTTACTATTACTATTATCAAATTTACTAGAAAACACAGCCCTACTATTACCAAGAGTATTTAACCCCCCCCCCCCCCCCCAGGGGGTTATAATTATACTCTTGCTATTACTAATAATCAGGGGAAGAGCTAGAAGGCAACTGAAATGACACTGGACAACAAGACAAAGGGGAGTAGGGGCGATGTGCCGATGTGGTTGGCGAGGCTCATCCGACCGGAGGCCGGTCTCGGAATCATAGCCTACGACCAGGCATCGATAGGAATGCAGCTAGGGAGGGAGGGAGATCAAGTGAGAAAGAGAAAGAGAAAGAGAAAGAGAAAGAAAGAAAGAAAGAGAGAGAGAGAGAGAGAGAGAGAGAGAGAGAGAGAGAGAGAGAGAGAGAGAGAGAGAGAGAGAGAGAGAGAGAGAGAGAGAGAGAGAGAGAGAGAGAGAGAGAGAGAGAGAGAGAGAGAGAGAGAGAGAGAGAGAGAGAGAGAGAGAGAGAGAGAGAGAGAGAGAGAGAGAGAGAGAGAGAGAGAGAGAGAGAGAGAGAGAGAGAGAGAGAGAGAGCCACGAGAGAGACTGAGAAATAAAATGAAATAGAACAAGAAAGAAATGATGGACGAGGGAAGTTACTCATTGACGGGTGACATAGCCTCAACGAAAGCTTCACAGAGACAATGACAAAAGACAAAGACAACAAAAGAGTACAGTAATAGGTGCTGCAAGAGCTGTGCTGGTCAGGCGCAGTGCTTTCCTCCGACCATTTCGGTCTCGGAATCAACATGTAATGGACTGTGCGGGCCAAGGGGGTATACTATGAATGACAGTCTTTAAAATTATAAGAGCATCCGAAAATACAACGGAAAATGGGAAAGAGAAGAGTGGTCCCCGGCTCTATAATCCGGCACCATTTGTACTACGGAGATTCTGCTGGATTAGGAAAGGTGCTGAAATCTGATATACTGGTGCACTGTACATGAATTATGAAGAGGATATTTGGGACCGTACCGTGTCCGACGCCGGCGCACCTATAACCTGTCTTGTCTTCGTCTTCCGTTGTCTTCACGCTCTCACCAGACCACTGTTCGTTTTTTTTTAGGCAAGTTCGCAATTCTACACACCTGCCTAGTTAGTACCTATTGCCCCCGATCTGGTCGACCATGCACCACACCTATGTCCAGCTATACAACGAGATGAGGATGGTCATTGTCAGTTTCTGAGCTTGTACGATCGTCCATTCGCTTCCGAGGTGCCATTCAGTGGAATGCGTTGACTCCTGATGTTCGCCTCGCTGTGTGCCGAAAAGATGAATTCAAGCGCAGGGTCTGAATTTCACATCTATGTAAATTCATGTATCGTTCTGTGTCACAAGGCCGCATCCAAGATTCAAGCAACAATACATTTCAAGTATTATCCAGTACAATAGCCCAGTTCTTATTATGAACATGATTGTACATAGATCGTTGGTAAAGGACCACTTTCATAGGTGCTATCTTCTTCCCTTTCACTTTCATTCCTCAAATATGTTAGTTCTCTTGGTCAGGTTTCTTTTCTTCTTCCTTTTTCTCTTCTTCTTTCAAATCCAGCATCATGTTTCCAGTGTTCTTTTCTTTCTTTGCATCATCATTTCATGTGGTCAATAAAAACACGCTTCCCAGTACCAAGAGTATAATAGTACTCTTGGTAGTACATGTACCTCTACGTCGACCACTGTGCCACAGCGGCACAGCCGCCTTCAGACCAAAGATGGACTCCAACTCCCTCACGCCAGGAGTCGCTCTGGCACATCTCGGTTTGGTTTTACTGCCGCAGTCCAATGCAGTCAATACCTGCAGACGTCCGTGCTGTCCGCGGCCTTCCTACGATCGCGAATCCGATAGAGACGAGTCGAGTGAGCTGTACTACCGGTACCAAGAGCTAGAGGCGGGCTCGCACCCCAGTTCGTAAGGAAACTTCCCAAGGTCTCGCCCCAAGACGAAGTAAATACGTACTGTACCTCATTATTCTCAACAGCCGACAATTGCCCCTGTAGTCTGTACGTACCAGAGCGCAAATCAATACCATTTCGGAATCCCCATTCCTTCGATGTATGCCCTTCCAGATACGACCACTGAAGGACTGAAGGATGTACATGTACATGTAGATACTAGGTCCGTATCGCACATCAGGCTCTTTAAGAACATAATAACGTGTGAACGTTTCAGTATCACTAGTTCATTTGATGTTGCCTGTTTTTCACCTGGCGATAAGGCTTGAAAGTATGCTGGCGAAACTGAAAACTTTCAAGATGTTATTAAAGAGCCTGACGTGTGTCCTTTTTACGAGTATTATCGCATTCCTGTCTCCGAGGAAACTGTTAACTGTTTTCTAGTGACCACATGGCCTTAGCGGCTCCCACACAATAATAATATTAATAATATTTATGAGTTGAAAAGTGTGACATACAATGTATCCATTGATACGGTACTCAATCTGCGGACAGAACTGTTTCGTCCTTTTAAAATATACTTGTAAAAGTGACGATAATAAAACTTTAAAGAAAAGTATAACAAAATTACACTGTGACCTTCAATAGACCGTCGATATTTGCTCAGGATCTGTCCGTCGCCAAGGGTGCAGACAACTCCTGCATGTAAGTACAGTAATATATAATACATATACATGCATACACGTAACCTGGGTTGCACAACTTGAGATCATGCAAAATACGCGGCTTGAAAGCTAAAGACATGACTCATGAGCTCCTGAGTTCTTCTTGGAAAGGTAAACCAAAAGGTTAAAAATTGTATTTCGCGCCGGGTTACATGACTTCTCTGATTTGTATTGTGGTCGATGAAGTCATAGAAGCCATTTAGGTCACAAAACGACACGACCAAATAATTATGGCTTCGTTTGGGAGTACACGAGGCTATTGTGTAGCGGCTATCTGAGCGATTACCCAGCACATTATATTTTACCAGGAGTGCATATATGTACCGGTAACCCGGGGCCTTTACATCTTCCATAACAAGCACCTCCAGCCCTGATCTGAGACTACAAAGGAACAATTCGACTCCATGTCTCGATTGCTGATTTTTGTAACTGAAAAATGAGAACGAGTTTGTGTTACCAGTGTGATGTGGTCTAAACTTAGTTTCGTGACGTGACCTCGCCCTTGAACTTTTCTTCCGATCGCTGCGTTCTTTGTGGCGTCTGGATGTCGCACCGTACCGCACTGGGGAAAGTGAGTCGGATGTACCAGTAACTACAACAAGGCTGAGGGTGTTGCTGTTACGAATGTGCAGATGAGACTGTCTGTTGAAATACTCTCTGCAGGACAGACGCATTGCATCCTTGCATGGCGTGATGAGCGTTTCCCCCTGTCTCCGTTCCCACTCGCCGTGCAACGAAGTCTACCATCTTGTTGCCTGGCTTGTCCGTGGTTTTCTGCTTACCACAACCCTTGAACTCAGTGTATGTAAGGCATTCACAAGTGCCCTAAGCACTGTTCAGCTCTAACGAATAGTCTAAACCATAATAGTTGGATACGGCAACGCTGAAACCACTCGGAACACGTAACCCCTCCAGCGCTCTAGCCCATATCAGAATGATCCGTTTTGTAACGGCGGTGGCGAGAAGAGTGCCAAGTGAGACCCTGCGCTTGTGCGAACGTTAGCAACTTGTAACACGCGACAGATATGGGCAATTCACTGCTGCCAAGTCTAACAACCTAACGCCTGGCGGGTGTTTACATACGTAACACAGTCACGACCCTGGCTCCATGTTTGTTAACGCCTGTTCTGAACTTATCAACAACCTCTGGAGCTGGAGCACACGGCGGCCAGCACTGGTCGTTGCTGAAAAAGGCAAGAGTCTGCCCGAATCAATATGGGTACAACACCTTATGCCATTATAGTATGGTACAGACCTCAGTACAGCGATCTTTGCTCCTTTTCATTGCTATGTTACCTTTTACATTGTAGTGTCATGCATCATCTCTTGGCAGGTGGCTTGCGTCAGATACCCCCCTTCCAGTGTTGGGCCCTTCAACGGCGTACTGTACACCCGACACACGCAGGTCGCTCATTTCCGTTCCGTGTAAGTGGAAGTGACTGTTTCCGCACCTAGCCTGGCAGTGGTTCGCTAGCGACGGAAGTGTCAATGCGACGCCACAGCACCTTGCCACCAGGTCTTACTTGCGTCTCGCACACAAGATGGCATCACTCAGCATGACTCGATACAGGGAATCCTCCGTGTTTTCTTCTTTCCTCTGCCACCCACTCTGCCACAGAAATCTAGTTTGTAAGAACTGCGGACATAGTATCAGGGTGCTGAATTGATCCAAATGTCTAAGTGGAGCGTTCCTCAGCACTTGAAACTTTCCGTTTGTAAAGCGTTGACGAGGCATGTTACAGCTGCCATGTTCTATTTTCCTTCCTCTAAACAATCGCTCCGACCTCTCCTCTCCCTCTCTTCCAGCTCTTCGAAGCCGATCATCCGGTGTCTCAGCCACCGGCCGCTGCAGTGTGAAGTCTATACTGCACCCCGCTGAGCCATTGACTGTCAGGTCGTGCGATAGATCCAGAGTCACATACTTGATGCTCCTCTGCGTTCATCAGGAGTAACTGATTGAAGACGGGTACTATTGGCACGCTCTGTCTACTAGTATGAATCTCTCTCTCTTTTTCTCTTTGACTCTTTAATTTTGAGTCCACTTATACAGGACATGCTGTTCGTGCTGTTCATCCAAGTGTTTTTAGTAGTGTGTATGTGAGAGCGGTGCAGATGAAAGCACGCTGTTCCACAGGGCATCTGTCTGCTCGCTCTAGTCCCGAAACATCTCCCTCTGGCCCATCCGGTCGACATCCTTGCTGCTGGTCGATGCACGAGACATTGGTGAAGCGCAGTCGCCAAATGTGCCTCGCCTCCGCTGCTTTCCCTCGTGCACGTTGTGCTCTGTTTTCCCAGAGCACTTTCGTCTAGAAGGCAATTAATCAACGCCCCTACATTGTAGATCGCAACCGAAAGCCCATTAAGGCTGGCCGAATACTCGGGCCTGGGCAAGACCAAAAGGATTATAAGCGAACATGTCACACATTTTTCTTTGGATGGAATTGACAGATCTGTAACCCAGCATTCCTGGCGAGCTCTTGCAGCTCTAGCAATCCAGGATGGAGTGTGTCTACATTGGTCTATGACCCACCACTCGCCATCTAGTCAGCCTGTTGTGACGCGAATATCGGCAAGCTCAAAGCCACGCTGAACTACGAGTCGTACACAAGCAGGATAGACTGGAGACAGCGCTAGCAGCTGCGTGCCAGCTATTCGCACCCTGTACGCGTACGGCTGTAGTATTGACAGAGACAGCTAGGGTCAGGGCATACATGTACCTACATGTACATGCACCCATGCCATGGGTAATCCATGTGTCAAGTCGTATACCCGCCGTGTCTTGGTTTGATCGAGTCCCAATTAGATCCTGTGATCCATGCCTTCAAAAGTGCCTCCATGTCGCTAACAGTGCTCTCACAGTCTCAGTACCAGTATTAGAACTCACCCGCGCACAGTATTGTGGTAACAAGGAGAAGCGGTTCATCCTACTCAACAACTACGCTTCGAGTGACTAGGACCGCATCCTTGCTGGCGCCATTGCATTTCGGGGCTTTCAAGTGCTCGTCGCGCGATGCCACAGAGCATTTCGAAAGCGGAGGTCGGGACGGACATGAACATGATAACCTCCGCGAGTTTGTGCGTAGAGTAAAGACAGTGCAGGTTCTTGTCACGTGACTTCCATACATGGAGATCTGAATAGCTAGCTTGCCTATACATAGTAGCTACAACGTAAGAATGCTGAGATGTTTTCAGATTGAAAGGATCAGTACGGACTGTTCAGTGTTCACCCTTCTAACTAAGGGCACTACAAAAAATGCAGTCCATTGACCATATCAAGTCAACCAGCAGTCCGTGTGCAATGAAATGATCAAGGCTTCCACCTCCGCTGACTGTACGTGTCTTATGTAATCTCAGCATACACGGACGGTGATCCCGAGGCGTCTCCGTCGGCTCGTCGACCTCGATTATGAACCACCGCCTAACGTACTCATGATGCATTTCCCTTGGTCGAGAACTACAACACCAGTGTAGCAGCGTCTAATATAGTTTTGTAGTAGCTGCGGGAACAATCCTACTGGCGTACTGCTTGCAGACGGGCATTGGGAGTCTCGGTATCCACGCCACTGCAGATTGTCTACTGCAAACCTTCTCACAGTGCATTGCTGCAATATACATGAACTGTTGTCCAGGATGACCTGATTTGAAGCGCGAGCCCACCCACCGTCATGTACGTCACCAACACCATCTACATGTGTACATTGCAAGCCCGCAGAGTGCAGTACTAAACGATACTCGATAGCAGGAGGGACTATTGAGTATCGTATGCGTCGTGTGTGATAGATAAGCTGGACGTTCAACTCGCACTTGCCATCGTCTCATGTTTGTCACTCCGAGCAACGCTGCTATACTGACAGCCAATCAACGCTAGCTGGTTGCGTGTCGTCGCATGGCACAGGCTGGTCATCCCTGTGACTCCGGCAAAGCCACTAGACTGTCAGCGATTCGACACAAGGCACAAGTTCTGGCACATGCACTTTCGCCTTTCGCTGCCACCATCGCCACTGCACTACCGTCAACACGGGCTATGCTAGTGAAAGGTTGTCCTAAGCTACAAGTAGCATAGCTGACCAGCACTAACGTCAAGAAAAGGGAGCGCATTTCACTTCTGAAGTTCATTACACGCTCTGCTGCCTGAAGGAGGTTTCAGCTCGGCTAGCTCTGCGGTGAAGACCATTCCGTGGGCATATTGACTTGTAGGTCGTGCCCTCCTGATTCCTATCCCGCGTCACGGTTTAGAGGTGTCTTCTTATAAGTGGTTAGTGTCTGCGCCTGAGGAATTCACGATGAAGAAGGCAAGCATTGGGTATTGTGCCTTGGTCTGCTTAGTACCTATCGTCATATTGGCATGGTCAGGTAAGAACTACTGTACTTCGTGAGATTCGTTTACTATAAGTATAAGGAACATAATCATTGCATTGTCCACTATCCTATATTCTTTATAGTCTGCTATTTCATGCACATGTGTGATACTTTAAAAGGACAAGGTGTGAATTATTTTGGATATGCATGAATGCTGCCTACATCCGCGTATGATGTGCCATACTCCCATGGCCATGGTCATAGTCACGTGGATATACAATACATGTAGTACATGACTGTACTAGTCTTGCAGCTATTAATAGTATTATGATTTTACTGGTGTAGTGTGAACGCACTTGTAGTTCTCCTGCAGTATGCGGTTACAGATAGCCTGACTGATGTCGCCTGCATGAGTGTACTGTAAAGCAAACGTTCAAACAAGCTACGAGTTCCTCGTAAACCTTCTAATCCGATCATGTTGAGACGCTCCATGCCTTCTACGTTCTAGCTCAGGTACTACTCGAGCCATAGATCACCGAGGTCTAAATCAGTAAATGGTTGTCTACTACAGTTCGCGGGGAGGTGTTTTGGGAAATGAATCGATCACAAACTGATCATCTTCGGGCTCCAAAATAACTCTGTCGTCCACGACTATCTCAGGTTTCTTCGGGCAAGAACTGACAAAAGATACTTCAGACAGTCACACTTTACGACGCCGGCGCTGAACATTAGTGCTGAAGGGTCACCGGTACCTTGCCCTTCACACTGCGCTCCTTATCTAGATGATATGCGGCACAGCACGTGGCGAGTCAGAGACCACGGGTATATGCAACGAAGGCTGGACGTTGCAAGATCACTGCAAGCAGAGCTAGAGTTAGTGCAGTGAACTAGAAAACAGACCATCTTTACCCAGGGCTTTCTTATTCAGTTATTCAACTTATTGACCTATCGTGGAAAGCCGATCGATGGAAGCCTGCAGCGGAGTGAGTGCATGATAGCTGGAACATGCAGAGCAGACAGAGACCTAGCCGGCTTGGATGATGGCACTGACACCATCATGGTTATGCGCTGTACCTCGTTATATTGCTTTTACCACACCCTTGGGCGGGAGATAACATACAATATGTACATCATGCGAGTGTCGGATGTGTCAGAGCTCTACAACATGCCGTGTGGGGAGTATTATTTGGATGCGCATGTAGAGCTGCGACGAACTAGCACACTAAACTCACCCTGCTGCGCAGTGAGCATGAACAAAATGCCGTCGACGATCACCATGATCACGATGTGGCAATGCCGCATGATGCTTACTAGTGCTTCAGAGATGTATCGATATGGATCGCATTGTGTGTGGTCGTGAGGATCTTTGCAGAGTCAGTACAGCGCGTCCTGTTTGAAGGTTCCTCCCGAGACCCGAGCTAGCCCAAGAAAGAGCACATGCACAACGTTATGTCTTATGCTACGCGTTACTGTGTTCCTGTCTAACACAACCTTACTGCCTGCTGATACGTTTATTCTAAACGGTCTTCTGCGGTTCTACATGATAACACCGCGCAGCCATGTCCACCCTGATACTGTGATCATGCAAGGAGAAAGCACGGAGGCAGCACGCAGGCATACCGGCAGATACTGTAGGTAATGCACCGCACGGGTTTCTTCGTTTCCGGCAATTTGCTCCTTGGCAGGCAAGACATGCAGCCCGCCTCTCTTCTGCACCTTTCCTTCGGTCGCTCTGGAACGCGCAGCATGCAGCGGACGGCATAACTACATAATCAGTATTAATTTATGTCCGTCGTGTGTCGCCCCTAAATATTGCCCACAGCTGTGAGTGAAAAGCTGACAGATTCCGTATGGAGAGACTCAGCTGATTGCAGTAAGTTAGTTACATTTGCGTAGACGAATGAATGAAACGGACTGCCTCACCTCTCGCGTGGGGTCAGTCACAGGCTGTGACCTGTATCTGTGAGGTGTCTTGCACGAGAAATCCGAGGCTGTGCTGAGCACGAGCACGGCTAGATCTTACTCATGAAAGCAGTGTTGCAGGAGACATGTCATCGTCGCCCAGGCGGCCATTATATCCAACGTGTTCGTGCCCGCGAGGTGGAGGGAAACTTGACTGGCAGTCGAGACGACTTGGGTGGTATTCTTGGGCCGTAGATTCTACCAAGGAAGTTATTCAGTAGCGAGGAAATGACATGGATCGACATGTTGGGTAACACGAAAATGGCTGGTTGTTGTAGTCGTAGATGAGATCCTCTAGCCGGTTGCTCCACCAGATCCGTACCTGTACGAGGCGTACTGACTGTAGTCTGTCAAAGTAATAAACTCTGGCACTGAAATAGAGGAACGACTTACGTACATGTATCTCGACAGTCTGACAATGTATGTGTGTTTTTTCAAACGTACACTGAATGCCATGAAATACCACAGCAATATGACGGCACTGTCACTATCCTCTTCTGCCCAGTTCTGGACACGATTTTGGACGGGTTGTAGATTCCACTGCCAGTCAGCGGCAGAACGCAGCATATCCATAACGGAGACAAGTAACAGCTAGCTGTTGAATGTTCCGTGTGCACACATGAATCTTGTCCCCACTGGACTCCCCAGCGTAGCGGCTGAATAGCTGTAGGCAGTGTGGCCGATGCCCTGTCCTGTCTAGCTGCCTTGCTGCCTATAGCTCCGCCTTGGTGGTCGCGATTTCTCTCAGACCTGTCAATTATGCCTCTCAGCGGGGAGGCGTGTGACCGTCTGCCATGGGCAGCCCTCGCCGTGTGCTGGAGATCATGTCCAGTGTTTCCAAATAGGTCCACGATCCAGTCTAACTACACTTTCCATCCTCTTCCCTGACGTCATGATTTGCTCTAATTGGATGCCAGGTTGCAACTGGTTGGAGAAAAACGAGTTTGGACTGCTCCCAGGAGTTCAGTACAATCACGTTGGATGTTACCTTCCCAGCTCTAGACAGAAAACCTGCTCAGTCACTGGTGTTCCGTAGAACGTTACGTCTTGTCACATGTGATCACCATGATCACAGTGGACCGAACAGCACAGCAATCCTTTATGATCCGTAACTGCTGCTTGATTGGCCCGGGGCAAGAAACAAGCTTGCAAGCCAAAACAGACATGTTCTACCCGCAAGACTCCCACTACCAGTAGTAGTGCGCAATCAATATGTGATGGGGATACTCCCCTGCTTTGAAATTACAACATACCGACAGGTAAATCAGGGTCAATTAGAAAGGTTCTCTGTGTCAGAACAATGAGGAATTGGCCCTATTACTTATTAGTTGCAGTAATTAGCCACCAGACAGAGATCGGAATGATAACTGCATTGAAATACTGTAAAATGTCACCGTGACCATTGATTATGGTACCGTCACGTACTCATGTATAATATCAAGAGTACATAGCACCAGGGGTTATTGTAACAGGAACTCCTCTAATTACCTGCAATTAACCTGGCGGTCTACAAGAATACTCTATTCTATTCTATCGCTAGCGGACGCAGCAGTGTTGAACAAACCACTTTGCATGCCATTACGTCCTCCTGCACAATCACCTGTTACAACGCACGAACAACATTACAGCCACTTTTCCCGTTACCATCATCATTTTGTTCCCGGACCTCCACAGAGGACCGACCCCTGCATTGTGAATTGCTGAAAAACAAGACAAGCAACAAAAGCGGCGACGCTATGAGTCTGACTGTCACACCTACTACAATGTCTATGTGACACTGAAGTGGCCAAGTTGTTTATTGGAGTGTAAGTTACTACTGGTTGACGGTGCACACTTGGTGTCCCTTACCTGTTACCACCTGCAGGGATTAGATACATGTACACAATCCAATTACTGCAACAGAACCCCAGAAAACAGTGGTTAAAGATTATTGAATAACTTACATGTAGTTGGATATCAAAACCATTTTAAACGTCACAAGTTGACCTACATTGTGGCTAGGGAGACGTTTCCCTTTTTCAATAGTCAGTGTCTCATGAAAATAATGTACATATTTACTGCTCACAGGTGCGGTACAATCGGCAGCAACAGACACTGCAGCGGACGTCGACACAGGCGTGGATCGCACGGTGGTTGAAATTCCGCTCAAGTACTATGATCAGAGTGACGAGCACATGTGGACTGACCACTTTGTCGACCAGCTGGTACCCGTTCGGCGTGAGAACACTGCTGTTCACAAGGAAAAGCAGATGGAGAACAAATGCCTGAATGTCACCTGCCACCCAGAGCCCAACTGTGCGGAATATAGGCTAGTGCACGACGAGTGCTGTGCGCGCTGTATGCGTCTGATCCGCCGCTGGAGAACATGTCCTCACTGTGAACCCACCAAGGGTTGCCTGAAGTATGCAGCCGCTAAGCGTGGACAGTGCTGTGCAGAATGCAGCAAACGAAAGAACAGACAACCAGGTAAGTTGCAGCACGCGTCTAATTCTTAACTCGGCACGGCACAAGAAGATTCAGAGCACACACACACACACACACACACACACACACACACACACACACACACACACACACACACACACACAACACGTCTCAGATTGACCGTCTCCCGGCTGATCTGTGAGACAGCACTTTAGCACATACACGACTGTAAAAAAACGGGGAAACATCATCATTGGGAATCCAGGCCATCAGGTACACTAGACGGGAGCAGACATTTCCGTACGGCAAGATGAAGTCCAATCTTGCCCATATTGAGAGGTCAGTTTGATGGCCGCCGTGTACCAAATTGATGAGAGAGCACCCCACCCTGGACCATTCGGCATGATGATTAGTAACACTCTCCTACATAGACACACATCAGACTTGTTCATTTGCAATGGCCGGCCAACAAATGAGAGAATTGCATAGGTAACTTTGTGAATTTAAAAACTTCTGTGTTTCGTGTTCGAACATTGTGCGTGTGCCTGTCTGCAGAGGGTCTGTGTGCCAGCATTCTGTGTCCGCCGCATCGCGTTTGCAGAGAAGTGAAAGGAGAGGCGATGTGCATGTGCAAAGAGCGCTGTCCCAGCTCATACAATCCCGTGAGTACCGCGACCGAGCATTTTGAAGTTTTTGCCGTTGCGTGTATAACGGTGGTGGTGCCTCTCCGTACAATGTGAGCTGTACCGATGGTGACACTGCTGATTCCTAGTACAGGCGTCCTGTTGAATCACTCCCACACGCTTACTAATACTAATAAGACAACCATGCACATAGACAAAAATCTACATGTACATGTACCTCATATGCAATGTGATGCTGGTCCACTCGAAATAATTTTGATTTTAACAAGGTGCCAGTGACAGTACCTTAGCATGCACATCCCTACCCCGCAAAGCGATAAAAAAATACATGGAAGAATAGCATGCCAGTACTGGTACATGTAATGTGCAGCACAAAATCCAGCTCATAACCGGCTTGGGGTCATTAGCTATCCAATCAAAACTGCTCGTCACATACAGGTCAGGAAATCCTTTCTGCGTTTGCACGTTCATCACGACATCAGGCACAGCAGGCGCCTGTCAACAAGTTAGGTCACGCAGCAGGGTGTTTGATCGAAGAGGTACATCAACTACTTAATGACCAATATATCCAATGATGACATCTAAATATAGTGTGACAGAGGATGCACCTGGCCATGTCAGCAAGGGAGCTGTGCTGGTTAAACTTGCCGACTGAGCAAAATGTCACTTTCACACCGGCAGTGAACATGGTACAAGCCCGCTGATCTAATGCACCGCAATAAAAACATAATTGTATGATGAGCGCTGCTTATGACAATTTCTTTCTGCCAGACAAGCTGTACTAAGTGGACAGTAACACATCCGATGGCATTGTCCATGATTGAACATTACAATAAACTTGCGGATGCCAAAAGCATGGGTGTCAGGGTCAGTCTCATTGCACCCATACAGGCGCCAAGAAATCATAACGCATCCGCTGCAACACTAACCAGGACAAGTTGTGTACCACGTCCATTCCCAACGGCGCAAAAGATAGGGATGGTGACTGGGAAGTAAAGAATTGTGCGCCCACTTGGGTTGTAACCGGCCCAAAACAGAAGAGAGGCACAGAGCTCGCACACGGTTGCACAAACTTGTATCACATGCCTGCAAGAAGTCTGCAGAAAGAGTCACAAACTGCATACTCTGGGTTTCATGCACTCTTGCCATTAGGCCACCCTTTCTTTTTTCGTTGTTTAACGTCCGCGCCCGCGTACCTTTTTGCCTCCGACCGGAAAAAAGAAAAAGAAAGTAGTAGTACCAATAATATGCGAAGTTGTAAATACATGATTGTGTAGTTTCACAGTGTGCCGATCATGACCTTAAACTTATAATCTTGCCTCCCGGGCATGCCTTTGTCTTGTGTTCTTTTTCTTTTTTTGTTGGCTTTTAAATATCGTACGGTGTGTGTCCTAGTAAAAATCCAGATGTAATGAATTCATGACATGCTAACTCCATGCTATGTACCTGTTTTGTTGGATTCATCAGGCATGTGCTCCAATGTACCATCAAAGAGTGTTGTTCTATGCCTGCAAGTGCCGTTAGACCCAGAAATATTGTATATATCACATGCTTTACTGGTCAAAATGTTTGATTGGGGTTTCCAGTTTTTGGAATGGGCTTTTGTTTTTTTTCGCCCTCCCGCGTACCTTTTCGCGGAAAAAAGGACGTTAAACAATGAATTAACAAAGGGTGGCCTTACCATATAAAACTGAATGTTCTTCACCTATACATGTACATGTACACTGTCCTCTTTGCTCTCCTCAGGTGTGTGGCTTCGACGGCATAACATACAAGAACCCGTGCCATCGCAAGCGAGCTGAATGTGCGAGCGGAGCAGCAATACCCATGCGAAGGCGGACGGCTTGTCATTGAAAAGCTGCGTCGGCTCCAACACTGATTATCAGCGTTACCCCCTGCATCACCACACAGGCAACACACAGCAATGTGGCGATGTGGAACAGAGGTAGCGTCGCCACCGCTTCACTGATTTCCGTTCCGTATATTTGCCACGAAATTGTACTCGCGCAGAGCTATATCAGGGATTTTCAATTTAGTGCCCACATGTACAAAAAAAAACAATCGCCAAGAATTGCACCTTGAGTTGGATTGGATGAGTGTCTGCCAACTGTTGAGCTCACCTGTATCACTTTAACTACCTCAGCTACATACTTATTGCCATTTAACTTAACTCGACTGCATATATGACCAGTTAAGCCTGAGCATTGCCCCGCCAGAGTACTAGCAATCAAACAATCTCTCATTGTACAAATCTCACAGCCGACATGCAGATAATCTTGCTCAGCAGCATGTACTGACCCGGTTTATTTTCCACATATTGTGTTTTTAACCTGCGATCGATTCCCATTGATCTATTCAAGATGGCCCTAGGTGTCCCGACTCGAAAATACTCATGAGCAGTGCCCTTTTCTTTTCACTTTGTTGATATTTCTTTCTCTTGACATTGCCATATTTCGCACGCCACCTCAGCCATGGCGCACACATAGCACACACAGCCAACAAATGACTCCTTCTTATAATTATGAAGGAAGTAAAGACCTGCATGTATGTCAAATGAACTTCTCCACCGTGACCGTAGGATACATTGAGTGCGGTGGAAAGATGTATGCCCGCGGCCGGTTAACCCTTTCGCCAACGGGCTATTCATTGCCCTGTTCATGCACGCAAGTCGGCACATCATTCACTACAATCACTCAGCAGGGCCAACTACATGTAACGTTTAATACATGTAAAATCAATGCAAATAACCTACTTTGAAGTACTCTAAGGGCCTTGGTCCAGAAATGGAAATTTTAAAAACATTTTCCAAATAATTATTATATTAAGAAAGGGTTTGCTCCCCACACCGGAGCTCGCGCTATTCCGCCGACTCTACTTGACACTTGACTGATTCACGACTGCCATCCAGAGCACACGAGAAGTCCATCGATCCTGAATCAGTCAAGTGTCAAGTAGAGTCGGCGGAATAGCGCGAGCTCCGGTGTGGGGAGCAAACCCTTTCTTACAAATCATCGCCGAAGTCGCAACCACTACTTCGAATTACTATATTTTTAAAATAAAAGCAAAAAAATTTAAAACTCACCTCAGTCAATCCTCATAAGAGTGACGGTGAGTGAAAGAGAATGCTACCCAAGTCAAACGAAACTAAAGTTCTAGAACGATAGGGAAGGAGCTAAGCTCATCGAAAATCTAAAGCTCCAATCGCCGAGAATCGGTGAGCTCACCAGGCTAAACAAATATCCAATGTGAAGTCGGCAGTTGGAGACATTCGCAGCTGTCTAGGCTTGCGTATGCCGCCGTACAGTCATGCTGCACACCCCTCCACTTCCTATAAAATGTCTTAGACCTGATCCAATGGCATTCTATGCAAGAGTATCGAACCCGGCCCTCTCTCGACAAGATTTTCAGACCGGGATGTCATGCGGCAAAGAAGCGGCCAGTGTCACAGAGCCCAAGAGCCAGGATAAATCTTACTGCAGTGCAGCCAGTAGGTCAGCGGCAGCGGGACGGTCGCGCGTCGACTTCTCACTCCGGTGCACCAGCGCCATCTTCTGCGAGGCATTGTCGACAACGAAATCGCCGCCCATCTGGTGTGGATCGTCCTCGTCGTGCATCGGTGGCAACGTACGCCCGGCAGCCTTCTGCTCAGCGTAGTACACCATCATTTCAACACTCCACACCTACAGAACACACAGGTCAGCACAATCATGAATGGCTCAGCAAAAAAAACACCATACACGCTCCGCTACGTACACACGGCCGCATACAAGCAACATGCTGTATGTGCAGCAAATCCAGGCACAAGCGAACACTACAAACACACAAATTGTGCATTGAAATACATGTAGCGATAGGGGTAAAGTTTCTCTACACGACCTCTCCAACTCGCAACGTACGAAGTCATAAATTTTCACAAAAAATAGTACCTTGGCAATCGACTTTGGCAAGCCAAAAGCCGAGTACAGAGTTCGGGATGGGTCCATAAGCATGCGGAAAGGCGAACGTGTGTCGTCAACCCACTGTCTAGCGCCATCCACTGGACTGAAGGACACAGTCACCACATTGCACTGAGCGGCAGCAAAGCGTTCCTGATGCTGCACAAGCTCGGCGACGTGATCGCGTCACGGCAGTCAAGACAAGTGTCGCAGCATGACGAGCAGGGTGAACCTGCCGTCCGATGCACTGGACACGTCCTCAAGCGACACGCGGCAGTCACCCAACCCAATCCCACTGTGCATACACTGGGTAAGATCTAGTAAGTGGCAGTCAGCAGGCACATCCGTGCCCACGGCAACCATGGCGGCACTTTCCGCTTGTACGTCTTTGCGAAGCTGTTTGTCCACCTCGGCTAGGAACTCATCATATCTGTCCTCGTTCTCCAGGAGCTCGTCCATGGCTTCTCGAATATCATCGTACTTGTATAGCCTCTTTGCTGTATCCAGGAACTCCCTCCTCGTCAGCACACCACAGGCCGTGAATAGCGAGTGGTACAGTTTTATGCATGCCCCAAAGCGGTTCACGTGTTTGTCAGCAAAGGTTCTGGCTCCATCTCGCTGCAGTAGTTGCTTGCCATCGGACAGCAGCGAATCTAGAGCGCCATTCACTGTTTCAACGGAGGTTTTCAGCCGAGCTTCAAGACCAGCTGCTCCACCAGTGAACTCGCTCATTTTTCTTCACTCCATCGGGCGCAGGTCATCCATCTGATCAAACAATCCAGATGGAGAAAGTCAAAGCTGAACAAACACTACCGGTACCGGTATTCAAACACATTCCAAAAAAACACCTGATGACAGAGTGATGCATGTGACATGAAATTATTATTTTTTCATGGGTAGGACTAAAGGGACAAGCTTATCTATTTTTGCGGATTTTCTTTCATAAAAAATAAACGTCACAGGCTGCTCTTCGGAGGTGTCCGCGTCCCAGCGGTCCGGGCAAGCGACCGCATCTCAGTGGGACACTTGTCCGTGGCCTTTGTGCTGGAATCTGTGAGAGAGCCTTTCCAGGGACTACACACCTGGGTACCGGGTCTGGACAAATCCCTGGTGTTGCTCCTTTTTTGTTCCTTTCCTTTTTATTTGTTTTTGCTGAGAAAGAAACGTTGCTGCATGAAAAGCTTTCTGTTCACGCCAGCGCCTTTGGCATTTTCTCTAGTAACATTGCTGGCTGATAATGGTCATTGCTCGTGATGCCAATGGTGAAGAGAAGCTGGGTTTCTTGCCATTTGAAACTTCCTGACTCTGAAAATGTAGCTTGAACTAAGAGCTCCAAGTATCAAGTTTAGTTTTTCGTTGTGCCAGACCTATCGTTAGAAGCTGCAGAGATGAGGAGCAAGGGCCTAGCCTAGGGAGGCGTTGGATTAATGCCAATAATGGTGTTTATGGCCCTGAAGACGCCAGCGGTTTTCACTTGTCAGGAGGACAGCCAAGTAATTAGTTGGAGCAGGCAGATGACAGATTACTTGAGTATTTATAGCAGATCGTCTCAGCACCTCATGGTTACTAGTATCTGACAAATGCCTCTTATTGCTAGTCTGCATTAGAGCATAGCAGAATTGATCATGTCACAAGTAGTTACAAGACTTGATGTCCTACGATTATGCTCAGATCATGTTGCAACTTCACGGGAATATTCGTCCTGCCACTGTGCGCTCTCCCAGAATTGCATGCAGAAGTTACATGCCTGTCACAGTGTGCAATGGACAACGCCTTTGCATTGCTTGTGGATGCAAGCGGATGGAGTGTAGACCAGATGAGAGAAAGTGATCCGGATATTCAACTAGCTTGGACTGCCATAATTAATTGGCCAGATGCCTGGACCATCAGAACATTGCTCCGAACCAATCCACAGAAACAATACCCACACAGGAAGCCAAATGATAAACCCATTCAGCAGCTATCGAACCTTTCATCAAAACGTAATGCAGTGCATGCCTACTACTACTCAAATGAGATCAACGGATGCCACATGCAGATACAACGCGGAGGCTCAGTATTTTCAAGAACACAGTGCAGTCTAGACAACTAGAACAACGGGTCTTGCACCTAATGTCCCTGATTTGCTTGCCGTATTTAGGTCCTTGCAATTCTCCGATGGTTATGTACCACAGTATGAGATATATGAGGGATCCCGGCAGCATGATAGATCCATCGGTACGTGAAATTCTCCTGGACGTTTGTGTGTGGTTATAGTGGTACAGGACATGTGATGTACGCCTCTTTGGTCGCTCACACATGATCCATTACCAGCATTGGTTACACTTTATTATCAATTAATATTTGTTATGACTTACGCTGGTCTGCGTACCCACCCACTCTACTCTAAAAAGTAGAGACTCTCGCTTGCCATTAATTTATCCGATAGTTTGACTCTCTAGGAGTTTCCCTACTACATGTATTATATGATAATTTATTTTACCAATGCTCTAGACAGCAAGCTGTTTTACAATTATCCTTCTACATGACATTGTATATCTTCTTGACACCATGACTTTCTTTGAAGGTCCTGTAGCTATGAAATGTTATTTGCTGCAGGTCATGTGTGTGTGTGTGTGAGTGTGTGTGTGTGTGTGAGTGTGTGTGTGTGTGTGAGTGTGTGTGCATGCGTGAATGTCCCACGCGTGGGACATGTACGTGTTCTGTGCCACACAATTTCACTATCTGTATGACAGCACAGCGGCAGGCACAGCGCGCGCGAGAGAGAGAGAGTTTTAATTATATCTCTGATGTGACTTCTGCAGTACTACATGTACTTGTATGATCGAGCGTACGAGTGTGTGTGTGTGTGTGTGTGTGTGTGTGTGGGGGGGGGGGGGGGGGTGGGTGTGTGCGTGTGTGGGTGTATGAATGTCCCACGCATAGGTAAATATACAGCCAAGTCTGTGGTGCCACACAATTTCATTATGTGCAGAACAGTGGGCCGGCACAGAGATAGAGACAGACAGACACAGAAAGACAGAGACAGAAACAAAGGGATGCACATAAAGAGCGACAGACAGAGACACGGACTCAGAGAGAAAGAGAAATGTACAGCCACGTGTGTGGTGCCACACGATTTCATTATGCGCAGAACAGCGGCCGGTACAGAGATAGAGACAGACAGACACAGAAAGACAGAGACAGAAACAAAGGGATGCACATAAAGAGCGACAGACAGAGACACAGACTCAGAGAGAAAGAGACAGAGACAAAGACAGACAGACAGACAAAGACGATCAGACCCAGAAAGGCAGAATCAGGAGAAAAACAGACAAAGACAATGTGTGTGTGTGTGTGTGTGTGTGTGCGTGTGTGCGTGTGTGTGTTTGGGTGTGAATGTCCCACGCATAGGTAAATATTCAGCCACATATGTGGTGCCACACGATTAAATTATGTGCAGAACAGCGGCCGGTACAGAGATAGAGACAGGCAGACACAGAAAGACAGAGACAGAAACAGAGGGATGCGCATAAAGAGCGACAAACAGAGACACGGACTCCAAGAGAAGGAGACAAAGACAGACAGACAAAGACGAACAGACAGACGATTAGATCCAGAAAGACAGAGACAGAAAGAGAGGGACAAACGTTAAGGAAAAACAGGAGAGACAGACAGACACACAGACTCAGGAGAAAAACAGACAGAGACAGACAATCAGACATAGAAAGTCAGAGACAGAAACAGAGAGACGCACAGTCATAATGAATGACAAAAGAAGAGACAGACACAAAGATTCAGAGAAAAATAGCAGCAGAGAGAGGCAGATAAAGAAGAAGACACAGAGACAGAGACAGAGAAAAAGACTGAGAGAGGGACAAAGAGAGACAGAAGAATAGCAGCAGAGAGAGCGAAATAGAGCTATAAATACAGGGACAGGCAGACAGACAAACATACATAAAGAGACAAGCAGAGACAGCCAAACAGATAGACCGAGACAAGGAAACAGTTGGAGAGTTACGCAGACAGGCAGATAGAACGACCAAGATTCAGACTTAGAGAAACACATAGACACACACAGAAAGAGAGAGAGAGAGAGAGAGAGAGAGAGAGAGAGAGAGAGAGAGAGAGAGAGAGAGAGAGAGAGAGAGAGAGAGAGAGAGGGAGAGGGAGAGAGAGAGAGAGAGAGAGAGAGAGAGAGAGAGAGAGAGAGAGAGAGAGAGAGAGAGAAACATAGAGGCACACAGACAGGCAGACTGACAAAGACAGCCAGAAGGAGAAAAACACACAGACGACAGATAGACAGACGAAAGGCACACAGACAGGCAAACTGACAAAGACAGGTAGAAGGAGAAAGACAGACAGACCGACAGATATATACAGAGAGGGAGAGAGAGAGAGATAGAGAGAGATAAAGAAAGAGAGATAAAGAGAGAGAGATAGAGAGAGGGAGAGAGAGATTGATAGAATATAGAGAGACAGACGGACAAAGAAACATGTCGAGACACACAGATACGAGAGATTTCGTTCCTTGTGTTTCTAATACTGAATTACACAAGAGAGATTGGAAGCTGTGTCACAACTCTTGGTATTGTTTCCGTGGACTGGTTTAGATTCTTGTCCACGTTTCCAGGAGTCTAGCCAATTAATAGCAGCCCAAGCTATTTGAATAGCCGGATTATGTCTTCTTATCTGGCCTGCACTCCATCCGCTTGAATCCGTAAGCAGTGCAAACGCGTTGTCCCTTGCACACTGTGACAGGCATGTGACTTCTGCATGCAATTCTGGAAGAGTGTACAGTGGCAGGACGAATATTCCTGTGAAGTAGCAACATGATCTGAGTATAATCGTAGGACATCAAGTCTTGACACTACTTGTGACATGATCAATTCTGCTAATGCTCTAGTGCAGACTAGCAATAAGAGGCATTTGTCAGATACTAGTAACCATGAGGTACTGAGACGATTCTCTTTGGCAAGCCACCCACTCGGCTATAAATGCTCAAAGTTAATAATCTGTCATCTGCCTGCTCCAACTTGGCTGTCCTCCTGACAAGTGAAAACCGCTGGCGTCGTCCGGGCCATAAACACCATTATTGGCATTAATCCAACGCCTCACTTGCTCCTCATCTCTGCAGGTCGTAACAATAGGTCTGGCACATCGAAAAACTGAAATATTTGGAGCTCTTAGTTCAAGCTACATTTTCAGAGTCAGGAAGTTGGAAATGGCAAGAAACCCAGCTTCCCGTCACCTTCTAAGTTGACATCACGAGCAATGACCATTATCAGCCAGCAATGTTTTACTAGAACAAAGGCGCTGGCGCATGGCGGGAACAGAAAGCTTTCCATCCAGCAACGTTTCTTTCTCAGCAAAAACAAATAAAAAGGAAAGGAACAAAAAAGGAGCCATACCCGATACCCGGGTACCCAGGTGTGTAGTCCCTGGAAAGGCTCTCCCACAGATTCCAGTACAAAGGCCACGGCCAAGTGTCCCACTGAGATTCGGTCGCTTGCCCGGACCGCTGGGACGCGGACACCTCCGAAGAGCAGCCTGTGACGTTTATTTTTTATGAAAGAAAATCCGCAAAAATAGATAAGCTTGTCCCTTTAGGGCCTGGTCAGACTGCGGCAAATTTTGGTTGCCTGACGAAAACAGAACAGCGTCCAGAATTTGAATCGCGATCACACTACACATGTGGGGAGAGTGAAAATTCAAACTTCATTTCGAGCGTCAAGTGGTAATCTCCACGAACGACGTCAAATTCCTTCACCTTGGGGATCGCCAACACCTTCAGTGCAATCCTTGCAACCATCCTTATGAGTTTTGTTGTTGTCCGTGGCCAATTAGCTCTTCGATATCGAGATGAAAAAATCAGTGATTATCAGCGTCAATGGCGTATCAGCGTCAAATCCTGTTTGGAGCGGAAAAGCGTGGTCCGTTCTTGCTTTTTTTTTGGAGCGTCAACTCTCGCTTTTGCCGCTCTGGCGGCAAGTTACTATGGAGATTCGGATTATAATCCTAGGATTATTTCGATTTTGCCGCAGTCTGACCAGGCCCTTACCAGCCTTTCGCTTTTTTCATTTCAAAATCAAAATCTTCGGTCGAAAAAGATGACGAAGCTCCATCAGTGCATGCTCTGCATGCAGCCTGTGCCAGAGCCTGCTGCATGGCAGAGCTCAACGAGGCGATCTCTTTCTTGACTCGTACACGTTTATTTAATAGTACAATACATATTGTAGTATGCATGCATGCAGTGAATGCTTCGTCCCATCCTCATCGAGATTCGTCGACGTCCTGTCAGTGTCACTCACCATACATACCAGGTCTACAACTTACAAGTCAGATAGATCTTCAGTCAGTCTGGCGAAATGAGTTTTTTGGTTTTTTTCTGGCAACAAGAGTTCCCTGTGGCAGCACGCTTGTCGACACCTCGGAGTCAGGCATAACATGATTCTTTGGTTATATCTTGAATTGAAGCTGAAAGAAGGTTTGATTTGGGTCTGTCTCTTGAACTTCCATGGTTTCTACAGTGCACACACAGGTACATGATTGATTGTACACTGTATACTCAGTACTTTCGTCAAACAACTGTGAACACAGAACACTGTCACTGAGCACAGCTTTTAGTTTTGTGCTCTCAGCTCAGGAACACTAAGGAAGCTTGGGATCCGATATGTTCTGTGTGCAGCGATCGTCAGGTAGAATTCTTACCTAGAGAGTACCTGAGTCTGGAGAATAAGAAGCAATAATGGTGGAGAGGGTCCTGTCAGCCGCGTCGGCTGCGTACGATGTCGTGATGGGAGCTGAAGAGCCCTGTGTTCATTGGTCTGGTTGGATTCTAGGCCAGAAGTACAGCCTGCCAAACGGTAACACACCCTGTCTAGTGATTGGTTTTCATTAGAGACATGTCACGTGTACTTGTGTTTCGAAATTGCACTTTCATCGCAAAATATACTTTCAATTGTCGTTCGTGATCAAATTCTCAGACACTTTCCCACGTTTTCCTTTTGAGTGAATTGTGCTGTTGGCAAAGTGTCACCTGATCCATAAACTTTCTTCAATACTAGGAGACTCTCTATTCCACTACAGCCAATCAATCCTCTGCAACACCTTCACAGCCATGGTCTTCCACTGCAATTGAAATTAAACAAGTCAGCATTTGACTGCAATTGCATTGGAAGGACCTAGTACCTTGGCTTTCTCAGAGCTCCGCTAACAAGTCCGCCCAAGTACCGTATTTCCCCGAATACAAAAGAGTGTGCGACTTGCAGTCGAGTATGACATCCTACCTATGTGACTATTGAAACAATATGGCTGTGACCTGAAAATGGAGATGCAACGTATAATCGAGTGCGACTTGTAATCGAGGAAATACGGTACACATAGTACCATAGAGTCATATGCTGAAGAACACCCAGCCCTGAAAAAATCAGAAGCTTTTAATGCCATGATGAGATCGTTGGCTGTTAGACCCCCTCTAGGCCCCTCACATAGACAGTGTTAAACTGACTGCATTCGAGCTTGCCCACACTCAACTGTACAGATACCATAATTATGGAATGATTGGCGTGCCTGGGGACTTACACGAGGTTTTACGGTACATGCACGTGTATGTCTAAGAACATGATGTTTAGAAATCAGCCTGGTTTGTGAAGGATATGCCCTACAGCAGTTGTATGCCCAAGAACGTCGTTTCCAAGGGGTTAGGCTGGGAAGTTCTTATGTTTTCAGCTATCTGGCTGCGTTTTATGGCACATTCTTAGATGCACGTCGTACTGGATTGCACATACATGTATGTATGCACATTATCATACACGTGTATAACAAAAGCTGTATTCCAGAACAGCAGAAAACAACGTGCTTAGGCTGTAGCATTCTTAGTATTTCAGGCTGGACGTTCTAGGGCGCATATTCTTTGGCACACTACTCTGCTGTATATGCACACCCTGGCCTGGCCTCATGAGAGCTACGTTGTTGGAACTGTGGCTCTGCTGTAGACAGGGCTAGCTGTCCCAAGATTAAGGGTACGTTCGTCTATCCTCTGCCAGAATCTCCAATATTTGGAAGGGCGTTCACTTATCCTCTGCCGAAAGCAGCAGACTCTGCCAAGCTCTGCTGGCTCTTCCAGCTCTTGAGGTGGAAGAAAGTGGAAGATTTCCGCGTTTTGTCACTTGCGCATTCGCAAAAGGGACTTTGGGTCTTTTTTTGGCAAAAAAAAACATTTGGATAAACACGTCCTCAAAAAGATTCCTGTTTGCCGTGGCGCACTGGGGAAAATCCAGGATCTCTTCAAGTTCTGACCCGTTGGAAAAATATTCTCATCTACAGTCAACTTCGTGTATAACGACACTCGGCGGGGCATCAAAAAGATGTCCTTATTCGCGAAGTGTCGTTATACCCGAAGTCTCATTTTATGGATTACAGTGGGATGGGACTTTGCTCTGGGCATGGAAAGTCTGTCGTTATTCGCGAATTGTCGTTATATCCGCAGTCGTTATTCGCGAATTGTCGTTATATCCGCAGTCGTTATTCGCGAATTGTCGTTATATCCGCAGTCGTTATTCGCGAATTGTCGTTATATCCGCAGTCGTTATTCGCGAATTGTCGTTATATCCGCAGTCGTTATTCGCGAATTGTCGTTATATCCGCAGTCGTTATTCGCGAATTGTCGTTATATCCGCAGTCGTTATTCGCGAATTGTCGTTATATCCGCAGTCGTTATTCGCGAATTGTCGTTATATCCGCAGTCGTTATTCGCGAAGTTGACTGTATTCTCTTCCTAGTAGACTTTTCTTGAAGAGACAGAAGAATAAACGAGCGCGCCCTGAGTTTGTGTCTTTGTGAACATATAACGTGTGTAACCCTGGTATATGGTCATGGTACGACAGGATGCTAAGCATCTGAAAGGCACACCTGGCATTGGGCTCTTTCATAGGAGTTCCTTTCTCACCTTCATTGCACTCTTTGTTTTTCTTGAAGACTTGTCACAGTTCTTTGTTTTTGTGATGGACAGTGTGTCGATGTTGTTGTTGATGTTGATGTTGTTGTTGTGGTTGTGGTTGTGGTTGTTGTTGTTGTTGTTGTTGTTGTTGTTGTTGTTGTTGTTGTTGTTGTTGTTGTTGTTGTTGTTTTTATCGTCGTCGTCGGTGTTTTCTATCATTTTGCACAGATGAAGACAAAATAGCTGAACGGATACGATCATGCCTGTGGTTCTCCTATCGCAAGAACTTCCGACCCATTGGTAGGTATTCCTTGCACTTGTGCATGTACATGGCAACAGGTGTGTATACTGCTCTGCATACTGCACTGCTCTGTAGTGATTGATGATGCGTGGGACTGTATTCTGGCCGCTCTGCAGGTCTGCCTATTTGAGCTGCGGAAAGAGAATTCCTGAACTGGTCCAGACACGAGCGTGTTTTAGCACAAACCTGTTGACGTGTGTGTGTGTGTGTGCATGCGTGCGTGTGTGTGCTGTGTGTGTGTGTGTGTACATGTGTGTGTGTGTGTGTCTGTGTGTGTGTGTACATGTGTGCCAGCTAGTTCGGTTGGTGGGTACACTTATGCCAGATAGTGTTGGGTCTGTTGCCAACGCGCTCGGCTGCTTGAAGGTGTATTGTTGTACCTACCACCTTTGTTGATTTCAGGGTTCATATATGCCTAATTGGCTGGACTTTATACAGGGAGTGTTGTCCACATAAAGACTCTTTAATCTTTATATTGATTTCAAAGTTTGGGCTCCGTACAGTTGATTTTGGACCAATGGACTCTATATAGGGGTGAAGCCAATTGGCTGGACTCTATACAGAGAGTGATGTCCATCTAAACTTTGAGCTCACAGTTGATTCCAAATTTGGACTCTGTACAGTGGATTTTGGACCAATGGACTCTATATAGGGGTTGGACATCATATAGGGGCTGGACGCTCTACTGAGTCCAACATATACTTTCTATTTGAAGTATACATACCTGTTAACCATGGACTGCTTCTGGCTAGATTAACTCTTGTGTAATCAATGGTGCTAGTGAAGCTTATATCAGATCAACTCTGATTTAGCCACCCACACTAGTAGCAAGTATTACCTTCACTGGGGGCAGGGGTGACTGCAGTTGGATCCTGGGACGGATACCCTGATGCCGTCAATCCTTTTTCTGCACCTTGTCCTCACCCACTTACTGAGGTGTGGTGAGCCCATAGGTGGGATCATTTCAAGTCCACCCTAGTTTGGGGATTTCAGGGGGTGTCGGCCGTTGGGTGGTTCAATGGCCAATTGAGTCATCTTTCCAAGATTCCTTTTGAGTCTCTCTCCCCTCTCCCGGGGAGACCCACGTGACCAGTTTTGGCAGTGAGCAAGTACAAGTGTGTGTGTTTGTGTGTGTCTGTCTGTCTGTGTGTGTGTGTGTGTGTGTGTGTGTGTGTGTGTGTGTGTGTGTGTGCCTTGTTTGCTTGTGCTGGTCTCTCTGTGCATGTTGCTATGTGCTGCGACGGGTGCAGGGTCGACTGGCTACACGTCTGATTCCGGCTGGGGTTGTACCATGCGCTGCGGTCAGATGCTCCTAGCCGAGGCTTTGTCTCGACTACATTTACCCGCTGGTAAGGTGCTGGCTGCTATGATTATCACACGCACTGTATCGCACACATTGTATCACATGCCACTGTCTCACATGCACTCCATCATACATACTGTACTGTCTCACATGCACTCCATCATACATACTGGATTACATGCACTCCATCATACATACTGGATTACATGCACGGTTGCCTACGGTTGTGCGCCTCTTTTTCTTAGTTGTGTGAATGCGATGGTCGTTGTGTGCACACGGTGTGTGTTTATGTGCAGGGGTGTAGCGTAGCCCTTTTCAGTCTGCTTTGGAAGGTCATGTGATGCGACATAGTGTACAAAATTCACCCTATTTTCATTTTTGCAGCCAAGGAGACTAGCTCAGCCAGCTCCTTTTATTTTGAAGTTTTGCGGTAAACTGTACTCAGAAACGAGTCTCATTCAGCAGACTACGTGTACATGATTGTATACGTTATCATTCTCCTTTGATCTTGAACTACATGTACTATCTGCTGCTTCTTACAAACGTTTTGCTGGAGGCTCCGACATTTGGACTTGCAATGCAAACATGCTTCTTTCCCTCGAATGGCAGGGAGCAGTAAAACACCGGTATGTACTACTCCCTGCTTCACGCTCACGCTCAGCTCCCCTCGCTCCGGTCACGCTGCTGTTTTACGGTTTGCAAAGGTATCGACCATGGCTGCATGTACAATCATGTTCAAGACTGACATACAGTGTACCGTGTACAAAACATGTATGAAGGACCTACCCGGTGTGTGTACAAGTCCAGTCCACGCATCGACAGATGAACGTAACGTCGTTGAACGCGGGCACTTAACGATACTTTTTATCCTGTTTTGGGCTCTTTGCGGACATGGTACAGCAAACTCTAGCTGCTTTGTTTGCGAGTTTGCGATACGGCGTTACACGCCTGATGTGTGTGTGTGTGTGTGCGTGTGCGTGCGCGCGCGTGTACATGTGTGTCCATGTGTTTGTGTTTGTGCATGTGTCCCGTATGGAAAGTAATTTTCAAAGAATAACACTTGTACATGTACTGCATCGTGGATTTCTGGTGGCCGTGAACTTGCTTGTTCTGTTCTGTTGTGTGCTGTGGTCTGGTTGATATTACTGATTTCATTTGAATTTTCTCACCCTGTTTTTGTTGATGTCGCTGTTCAGACTTTCGGTGGAGAGAAAATCACGATAACATTCAGTACCGCTTCGTGAGTGGATGATTCGTTATTTTGATTATCTTTTCTTGCATCTGTGTCTGCGTGGGTGCATGTGTGTGTGTGTGTGTGTGTGTGTGTGTGTGTGTGTGTGTGTGTGTGTGTGTGTGTGTGTGTGTGTGTGCGCGTGTGTGCGTGTGTGTGTGTGTGAGTGGTTGGATGTGGGTAGGTGGGTGTAGTGTGGCTGTAGGTCCATTTGGTCCACAATGTGTATTCTGTGGAGTCTATTTTGTAGCGCATTGAGTGAATTAACCACATTTCAGTCAGTGCAGTTTGCCCATCTCTTTCCCTATGCAACCATAATATTTCTTCTGTTTGCTCTTTGTCTGTTTCATCCTCTCCTGCAGCTTCTTCAGCAGTTTCTTGAGGTTCCAGGGAGTCTGTATTCGCTACAACAAATCGGTGAGTGAGCAAGCAGAAACAGAGCACATTCACTCTGTGAGGCTGTTAGTGCTAGGTAGGGCATCCACACGTTGTTAGTTCGGTTCATATTGCTGTCTATTGTTGTGATAATGCGTGTCACGCTGATCATACCTCTTCACATGTCCACCGCTAGTAGGTAACTGTAGGATTGCTATGTTTTGATGTGCGTAACAATCTAAACTTGACTCCTTTTCCTGGGTTTGTTCTAGCTAGTATACATGCTGCTTGTATCACCAATACCCTGTTTAAAGAGTATTGCACTGGTTAGGTTCTTCTTCTGCCTGTATCCACCTGAAGAGAAGGCGATACAAGTGCAGGACTAGTGGACACTTTTGGATGTGGCTTGTAAAGAGCCTGAACGTTGTTCTATTCCTTAGTCTGATTGTATTTATCTTCCATTTTTGATGTTTTGTAGCACAAATGGGCGTTGATCAGGGTCGGAATGTTGGTGACTGGTTTGGCCCAAACACAATGTGTCAAGTGGTCAAGTAAGTGAACTCATCTCCTATCACCTCTGTTATGGACTCGCTAGGTAGCTACAGGTACTATGGGTATGTGTACCTTTGTTACTGGCCATACTGGGGCTGGGGCAGGACTTTACTGGGGCTGGTGCAGGACTTTACTGGGGCAGGGGCAGGACCATACTGGGGCAAGGGCATGACTATACTGGGGCAGGGGCAGGACTATACTGGGGCAGGGGCAGGACTATACTGGGGCTGGTGCAGGACCACACTGGGGCTGGGGCAGGACTATACTGGGGCAGGACTATACTGGGGCTGGGGCTGGACTATACTGTCCACACTGGGGTTGGGGCAGGACCATACTGTTCACACTGGGGCAGGACTTTCAACCAGATACTGAAGAGATCTATGAATGTTTGACTGAATCGTTCAAGTCTGGGTTTCTTTTTCCTCTAAACTGGTGCACTACCACTCTCAGCAGCACTGTGTCTGCGGCTAGGACTTGTGGTGGCTTGCAGCATTGTCTCTGATACTGCCCTTGAAGCCTGGGCCTTGGGCGTGACATCTTGGTGTCTTTTCTTTGCAGACACTGTTAATTTCGTTGTTATGCTGATGGTGTTGTTGTTTGTTGTTGCTCTGTTACTGATGATGTTTCAATCATTCTCTAGGTCACTGTCTTCTTACGACAATTGGTCTAATATCGCCGTCCATATTGCCATGGATCTAACCATAGTTGAGGAAGAAGTTCGTAAGTTTGCCTCGAACCCACAGCGTAGTGAAGTTATGATTTTACCTACCGGTCTTGTCTGTTGCCTTTTGGTAGTCTTGGTGCTCTCGAAACTGCTTATGAGGCTTCATTTGCTAACTTCTGACAAGCTGCAGTGGAGTATTCAACTTCAACTTCTTACAACGCCTATTCTTAGTAAATCATATCCTGTATGTGTTTGTGTGTGCAAACTGTGCATGCATGTGTCTATGCGTACCTGTATGTGCGTTCAGGAGCATCCGCAACGGCCAGTGGTAAAGAGGCCAGACCTGGTGCTGCTGGCAAGAGCACATCGCCAGCGCCAGATGTATCCCTGTGTGGTCGATCGGTCGCTGACGGTGGCTTGTCTGTGCAAGAGGCTCAGGCATCGGCAGCGGCAGCGATTTCTTTTCGTCCCGTTCTGCTTCTTGTGCCGCTAAGATTAGGCCTTGACAAGTTTGAAGGACGCTATACACAGCCACTATTGGTAAGTTTACTAAGTTAATACTGGTACTATCGTGCTGTGTTTCTCTTCAACAGGGCAGCGTCCTACATGATTTTCAGTAATCAAACATTCTTGACGGTAGCAAATGAACGGTGTTCTTGGGTGTGTTTTACCAAAGTTCTTTTTAAAATCATATCATCATCAATCGATCATTTTCTTCTTCTCTTATGGCTAGTTTTCGAGTGTAAGCCAGAAGGACGCATTCCAGTTATAGGATGTATGATGATCATTCACAGATCACTAGCGCACAGGCAACAGACAATCAGAAATAACTACTGCACCGCTCAGTGCTACTTCGAAGTACGGCTAACGGTTATATCATTCTGTACTGTATTATGTCGTGGTCTGCGCCAATAGTAAATGTAAAATAGAAGAAAACACATGGGTACGAGTTATGAAGCAACTGTTCACGACTCAGTAGCCTGTCAGTGTTGTGCCCTGTTATCACACTTTCTGACTGCTTATTGTTATTATCTTGTTACAGTCGTGGACAGTTGCTTCATAACTTGTTCCCAAGTGTTTTCTTCTATTTTACTGTATTATGCACTGTCAATTGTTCTAAGCATCACACTGTTTGCACACTGTGTGTGTGTGTGTGTGTGTGTGTGTGTGTGTGTGTGTGTGTGTGTGTGTGTGTGTGTGTGTTCTTGTCCTCAGGCTTGCTTCTCATTACCACAGTCGGTGGGTATCATTGGTGGTAAGCCGCGACACGCACTCTGGTTCATCGGACACCGCGGTGAGTACTGCAGGGCGTTGCTATGATACAGTCCTGTAGATTCTCAATTCAAGTCCACTCACTGCTCTGCTTTTCTGAGTGCAGGCTACTAATAGAAGCCTGGTCAAGAGATCATTGTTCTGTGGCAGCGAATGTGTGGAATGTGCATGGGTGGGTCGGACCACCCGTGTTTAATAATACAATATTATTTCCCATCCCAAGATTGGTCGCCGCTGAAACCAGGTTTTACCTGTATGACTGTAGAGTGTAGACCTAAACTTGTGCCACCGTACAATGTACAGCCCACTGTATAGTGTGCACGTGCACCTGACTGTATATTGGGGTATACACAGGGTGTTAGCAGCCCACAGCGGAACGCCAGTTCTTGACCTACAAGTCAGTTCATGATTCCTAGATTTTCTTTCCTACTTGAGCGTGTTCAGCACCAGCAAACGAAGCCTAACCTCTGATTACACATGCTTCAGTGCAAGTACAGATGTGCCTGCTCTGTGCATCAAACTCTGCGAAATGGAGGGCTGGATTTCACTTGGCAGACACCTTTGTACATCATGCCTGCATCTTTGACTAAAACACTACAACAGAGACTGAGATTGAGCTTCTTACAATATTCATGTCGGCACTACTCCCATGATGGAATCCCCAGACTTGCTATTTACCTGCACACTGTGCTGCAGTGACGTTGAATCCCAGTTAGATGTGTGGCATTAGCTTTTCCCTGGCTGTCTGTGCTCTACATTGGTTTTGTTGTAGATGGCAAGCTAGTCTACCTTGATCCACACACCACGCAGGCTTCCCTTCAATACTCGGAGGTAGCGAACTTTTCCGATAGTGTAAGTAGAGTTTCCGAGCTGCGTGGTTGTGCTACTGATGCTACTGCGGTGGCAGTTGTTGTGGTCGTCTTCACAGCAGCAGCATTCTGGGTAATATGGCAGTACATTAGGTCTATTGCCTTCTTTAAGGCTGCCATGCGCGCGTGTGTGTGTGTGCATGAATCTGTAGTCTGTACTTCAAACACATGTGCAGGTATAGTCATTGTATTGATGGTGGTAGGTATACGAACTATGGGCATTACTTTGTGATTTATCTCTGTGTGTTACTTCTTGCAGACGTATCACACCAGCTCTGCAGGCAAGATGAAGCCATCGGAATTAGATCCGTCAGTTGCTCTGGTAGGTTATCAATATGGCATCAGGTACTTACCTGGTAGGTGTCACAGTCTACTCAATCTCCAGTCAGCTAACCATTTCCACCTCAGTACATGTACTGAACTAGGTCTATTGAGCTGAGCTCGGAGTGAAAAGCGGAAGCGACCGCAATAGTGATACACAATGCTGATATTAGACACCCTTAGCAAACAACGGTAACGCTATTTTTACGGTACTCATACCTTGATCACCCAAATAGCGTTGAAGCTGCAGCGTAAAAACGTTATGGGGGCTGATTTATCGTTGTGACCAACGGTATGTGTTTTGGCCAAATATTGCATAGTCCGTACGCATTTCACCTTGTATCGCGTATATGGTGACAAAAACGGTTGTACCGCGCTGATATCAAAGCTCAACAGCGTACTAAAAATAGCGTGCATCTTGCTAAAGGTCGAACCCAAATCACGGTATTTTCCCCCTTACGATAATACTGTTACAACATAACGTTTTTTTGCTAAGGGTGTCTATTGTACATGATTGTACAAGTTCGTACTTCTTATCAGGGAGTAGTAAAATACCTGGTATTTTACTACTCCCTGCTTCTTATGTCTGTGGCATGTGCGGAGTACGTGTTATTGCAAGTAAGATTTACTCCACTCTTAGCTTTCCTTCAAGTCTCCCCGTGTGTATGTATGATATCCACTGCATGTGTGCAGGGGTTGCTCGTGCTCATGTTCAGACTGTCGGTCATCATTGTACGTGTACACATACACATGTGCTTCAGTTTGTTTACTTGTAGCTGCCACGGCGCCACTGAGACTATCCTGGCAATCAGAGCAAGCTGCAGAGAAACGCTGCACCTGCTGTGCTCAATGTGTGGAACCATGCAGATCTGTGCAACTACACATATGCCCAGACTCTCCCAGCACCCCTCTTCTCAATGTGTAGAACCATGCAGATCTGTGCAACTACACATATGCCCAGACTCTCCAAGCACCCCTCTTCAATTTCAGCTTGGCTACAACCATGGATAGTGGAATGCTTTGGTATGGTGTGGTGTTCTTGTTGTTGCAGGGGTTCTTTTGCAAAACCAGGGAGGAACTGGACGATCTGTTCTTGCGTCTACGGCAGGTAAGCTATCTCTTTGTCTGTCAAATCCTATATATAGGATTTTTGGGAAAGGATAGATCATACCTTACAAACTAAAGTTCCTTCTTCAAAAACCTGTTGGAGTCTGCATTCCGTGTTTATCAGAGATGATGCCTGCCAAGTTTCACCAGCACAAGGGCTTTACTTTTTCTGAAACAGGCCTTCCCGTGCAAAGGTGTCCAGAATTTTCAAAATCCTATATATAGGATTTGGCCTCTTCAAAAATTGGTTTTGTTCTTCCCAGTTTCCCCTGCCAATAAAAACCATAGTTGGCAATATCCAAGCCTAGATATAGCCCATATGGAGCTAACAAAAAAGTTCTATGCATCTATGGCTAAAGAAGAAGCACCTCCTAGGCTAGTACCAAAAGAGTATTCCACTATTAATATGTGTACATACTTGAACACAACTGATTTAGTAAATGCCCCAAACATGTAGTGTCTTTAGTTCATATTGATCTGCGAGCACTTTACAACACTACTTCAGTGCTAGGATGGTGCTAATATTCGTCTATTCCACTCCTAGTCTATTTCTACCACTTGTAATTGCAATTCATCAGCAATAATTGCACACAGATACCTTTCCTGGTTTTTTTAGCCATTGAGTAACCTCTATTCATTCATTTTAAATAAAGAGAGGCATTGTGGGAAAGATCAAAATGCATCTTCAATAACATTGCTTCCACTTCGACCATTTTCGAGGCTGAAAATGCGTCTTGAAGTCTAATCCTATATATAGGATTAACTGGTGACCGAAAAAGAGATAGCTGCTGTACCAACCCAATGTCTTTCCTATCTCCAGGTCATGTGTTTGAGGGTACTGGACATACTGTTCTTTGTAGGTTAGTATTGTGATGTTCAAAGCGAAATGATGTCTTAGCCTCTTAGGTGACGCATTGTCAACTCATGATGATCAGCAGGCATTGCATGTACCTCATGCCTACCAGGGGTGGGTGGTTGCTGGCTTCTTTCAGACAAATGATCATTGTTCCAATGCTATGTGTGTTTGTGTTGGTGGCGGCGGTGGTGGTGTTTTCAGGATGTGGCAAGTGTCGGTCCCAGCATGTTTGAACTGCACGAGCAACGGCCAAGCAGTCTGCAGTGTCTCTTGCTGGATGGCTCGGGATTCGAAGATGACGGTTAGTGCTCCTCTCAATGCCCCTCTGTAGCCGCTATTGGATCCCGATGCCCCTCTGTAACTGCTATTGGATGCCCCTCTGTAACTGTTGTGGCATGCCTATGCCCATCTGTAACTGTTATGGCATGCCTATGCCCCTCTGTAAGGGCCGATTCCCACTACGGTACCGTGAGTGCCGTGCCGTCGATTTGGGTAGGTCACGTGTACCCCACGGTACGAGCTTGAAGCTGAGAGTGATTTACACCTGCGCACAGTCATTCCATGCATTCCGTCGGCAGGCCGGATCACCATTTTTTTTAATCAATTTCTGACTTTGGTCCTGAGGGAAAATAGCGGGGGCCGGGGAGATGACTGGAGAAAGCTCAAGAATCAACCAATCGAAAAGCCAAAAGCCAAGAAAAAACTTCGTGCCACAAATACAAAAGAAAGAAAAAACTTCCTTTCAGGGAGTAGTAAAATACCTACTACTCACTGCATTCGACCTCGCGGAATACCACGGCATGCCATTTCCACCCCCCAGAGGCCCTCGGCACCGGAATGTCCACGGCGCGGTACGGCAGGAGCCACGGAATGAACTCGCGCCAAAACTGCCCCTCACGTGAGCAAATCACCATGGGTACTCACGGCACGGCACTCACGGTACCGTAGTGGGAATCGGCCCTAACTGTTATGGCATGCCTATGCCCCTCTGTAACTGTTATGGCATGCCTATGCCCCTCTGTAACTGTTATGGCATGCCTATGCCCCTCTGTAACTGTTATGGCATGCCTATGCCCCTCTGTAGCTGTTGTTGCGTGTATTGGATCTTTCTGAGTACATTGTATTATGAAGTGTGTTGTGACAGAACTGCATGTGCTAGGTAGGTGGGCTGAATTGCTGTTACCTTTCGCACAGCGGTTTCTTCTTCTGATCCCCAAGCCCCATGTTTGCTAGTTCATACAATATGTCTAGCATGCGGAGCATATTGTCATAGTGTCTGTGTGCTAGTGTATTGTGTACGGGGCATGTGCGGTGCTCTGGAGATCTATGCCTTTGCTCTAAGTCTTGCAGATAGGCGCTGGCCTGTGTGCTTTGTTGCTGGGGTCTGCCTGTTGACGAGCAATGTCGTGCCGTTCGTCACCGCACTCTCAGCATTGTTCAGTAGTCCGAATGGAAAGCTCCGCCGGCATGTGTGTGCCGGTGTGTTCCTGCTGTCGTCCATTCATCCTAAACTGGCAGCTTAACTTTTTGGTTTCTTTGGCGTTTACAGTGAAAACAATTGTGCATTCCACATTGTACTGTCCATGCCATTCTTCCTTTTCACATTTGAGGTCCGAAAGGTCAAAGGACTGGGAGTTAAGAATTCCACCAGGTTTACAAAATCAAGACAGCTATGCCATGACCTAAAGTATGAAGAAACAAGGCCAGGACCCGATATTTTCATGAGTTTTTGAGCCCATATTCGGCCGAAATCGGGTCTTCAATGGCAGCGGGGATAGTTTTTCTGGACTGTACGTCCTAACACGTGTTTGCTGTCATGTCCTACTCAGACTTTGTCGCCTCATCAGGACAGCCGGCACCAACAGATTCCTCGACCGGCGTTGAGGACTTGCATAGCCGATCACGCCGAGGGTCAGGCAATGAAGCAGAGTACGATGATTATGACATCATTGATGATATGGAGGTGAGTTTTGAGTTTCAACTCTGGGTAGAACAGGATGACGAACATTTTCGTTCACATTTTCTTGTTGTTGCCAGTTCAACGTACGTGTTATGTAGTGCTGGCATGGTGAAGTCTGGCCGCCGCAATGCACACCCTTGACTGGCCATTGTGCTGTGTTCTGTATCACTATGTAGCGACAGTTTCCCCATTGTACAATGATTGTATCGTGATCTCTCTCTCTCTCTCTCTCTCTCAGAGTGTGTGTGTGTGTGTGGGGGGGGGGGGGGCTGTGTGTGTTGTGGCTGGAGTCATGTCACCGAATGTTGACCTGTTTGCGTTGCTGTGGTACTGCTGTTTGCTGCAGGTGCCACATGTCGTGGCTGCTGAGGCGGCAGCTGAGTCTGAGTTGACTGTATCGAAGCGGAGTATCCAGGAACGGGAGCTCTACTCGCTACTCGCCTAACCCACCATACCTCTTCAGTAGTAAGCTGTTTCTCAAACCTCTCCTAACATGTACCGTCACTTGGTCGCGCATTGCATCTCTCATGCACACCTCACGGGTTCTGTGAGACCTCTGTGTATTATGTGTTCTTTAACCTGACCTCTCATAACCTTCCGCAGATATATTCATTATAAAATTACAGCTTTTTTGCTTTCTGAAGCTGTGTGCTGCGTCCTACAAGATTTTAAACAGCTTTTTTTCGTTTACTTTTCTGAAAAATGCCGAAAGTCTTGTTTTTCTATTAGATTCCTATCCGCAGTATTCTCTCAGCTATCATCCATGTTATCTTTATAGTGGCTACTGGCCCGTCATTAAATCTCTCTAATTGCTCCCCTATTTTAAATACCGTCTAGGTTGTTTACTCCACTGAGGAGTACGTTTTAGATATCTGTGTGCCCTGGTCTAATGTAGATATCTGTGTGCCCTGGTCTAATGTAGATATCTGTGTGCCCTGGTCTAATGCCTGGTGCTCCATGTTGTACGCATCGGTACTAGCTATTGCAGGAATTTATGGTGGCTGTTTGCTGGTCTTCTTCTGTATTCTTTTGGCCTTGAAAGTCAGCTTGTGCTTTTAAGAAATCCCCCCCCCCCCCCTCTCTCTCTCTCTCTCTCTCTCTCTCTCTTCTTTTTTTCTCTTCCAGCTGACTATTTTCCTATATTTTCATTGTTGTGTGTGTGTCTACTTTCTAGTTGAGACCTTTTTCACAACGTTCCTCTCTCTTTTTCTCGTCCAGATGATTCGTTTTGTATATTTTCATTATTGTGTGTGAGTGTGTCGACTTTCTAGTTAGACCTTTTTAACAACTTGTTTTTATCTCTGGGCCGTGTGTCCATCGTTTTAAACCCCCCATTCTTTGTATTGTTTCTGCCCACCAATTCTTGCAGTGCTGTATGCTGGCGTACGCACTAAGTAAAAAACGAAAAGGAATGTTCCGAAAATTCCTGCAGTGCTCGTTGTATCTCAATGCTTGCCCTGCGGCTTTGCTTGTCACAGGATGTACTCTGTGCTGTTGTGTTTGCGCATGCACTTTTGTGTGAACTGCTGCCGTTGGTTTGGTTGTGGTGCCGCATGTTTCGTGCATAACATGGTGTGCTGCTGCAGGTCATGGTGGCTTGATGCAAACTATCAATTAACAAAGCCGGCAGGGAACGGACATAAGCATGACTACTCGTAGGTAAGGTGTTCCGCTGCAGTCTGCCTTGAAGATCTGTATGGCATATGCTGTGCCGTAAATGGTGTATTTGCTCATTCCATTCCATGCGTACAACATATAGGGGGGGGGGGGGGGGAGTGTGTGACAGACAGAGAGACAGAGGCAGGGATATTTTAGTCATAATTGTTGCCTTTGATTCAGGACACCACATTTAAATTGGGAAGACCATGGGAAATTTAACTTTGAGTCTAACCGCTACTTATAGCCTAGTGCAGTTTCGTTATGTACCATAGCAATGCTAGTGTGGTAGAGGCGTGAACCCAAAAGGTGGTTTCCAAGAGAGCAGACTGGGACGTTGCGCGCAACTGTATTGTAGCTAGTCGCCATTTCGTGATATGCACGCGATTTTTCGTCTGTAAAATTATATGAACCCACACGACCGCTACCAAAGGCCAAGAGTAGTACTCTTGCCGCTAATTATGTGCAAATGTACATATGCATGCTGGTACACTACATGTACTGCCTTTGTGCAGTCATGTCCTTTTATGCATACAAGCAGCATACAAGCAGCCAATCCATGCAACACCGCCTTCAAAAAAAATTAATCTGGGATACATATCCAATTGGTTATCTGTGCTAAATCTAACTGGAGAGAATTCGAAACCAGGCTGTAGCACACTAAAGTATTGTACTGCTCCCGGGTCGCAACACAAGACCATGCATTGTACTACTACTCTCTGGTCGCAACACAAGACCACGCAGCGCTGTGAATGGAAAATCACCAACATAACATCAAGAGTATTAAAATGAGCTGGGAGCTTATAAGTTATGATATTATACTCTTGATAACATGTACAGATTGAAAACTGGCCCAGCACTGGCTTCGCGTGTGATGCACGCTGGCCCATGCTGTTGCGATTTAGAATGGTGCTTTTCACTATATTGACTCGTATGGGTGGTACATGTACATTGTAGTATAGAGATGAACGTATCACGAATCTAGTTAATTCAACCAAAGGTGTATATCCTAGGGTCGATGATGTGAATATTGTTTTAAAAAAAGTCTCAAGCTTGAATCGATTGGAATAACATCCAGGACAGAAACGGTAAATACCCGCACAGCAGGCTCATTAAAAAAAGTACAGACCTTTGGAATAAAAATACAAAAAAGAAGAAAAAGAAAAGTGTGTGGGGGGGGGGGATAGTCAATGTTAACTGTCTATCATCCATTTTTGATATTGGCAGCAAATTCTAAAGGCAAGAGCACTGCATATAGTTGGTGCACCGGTGAACGATGCGAACACATCACCAAGAAGACGTGACAGTGCATTCCGGAAGTTGCCACATAAATATCCTTCCTCATATAGATTCAGCCTATGATCGCCGAGGCCTGTCGCGATACTTGCCAACTATGCTGTCGGCAGTAGCCTTTCGTTTCTGCTTTGCTACACCCTGCTGCTTCTTGCGCTCAGCTCGCTGGATGACATGCGCTTCCTTCTGAACTGCCAGCAGTCGACAGTCTTCACTGCACACAAACACGGCAGCCCGCAGGCCCGCCACCCAGCTGCAGCAAACAGTCGGAACAAGAGAGAGAGAGAGAGAGAGAGAGAGAGAGAGAGAGAGAGAGAGAGAGAGAGAGAGAGAGAGAGAGAGAGAGAGAGAGAGAGAGAGAGAGAGAGAGAGAGAGAGAGAGAGAGAGAGAGAGAGAGAGAGAGAGAGAGAGAGAGAGAGAGAGAGAGAGAGAGAGAGAGAGAGAGAGAGAGAGAGAGAGAGAGAGGCACGGAAATGTTGTCACGGTGTGATGGAGGTTATCCATGATATGCTAACGTGAGGAACAATATCTTCACTGCATTGTCCTTCGAAGCCGGACACGGGCAACACACAGTATAGAGCCAGACACCAACACAATGGGCTGATTGAGCGCAAGCACAACTAGTATATCTACAGGACGAATTGCTTACTCTTGCTGACTGCCGTACGACAGTGCTTCCAGCTGTGTGATTTCCCGCGACGTCACGATTCGGAAGCAGCACGACGTATCACCCGTACCTGAATAGATTGACATAATAAGTGTGAACACATTACAGCACACAACACACACTCAATAAAGGGTAGATGTCTGTATTAATATTCGTGACAAAAAATCCAGGTACGGCTTATATTCCAGGAAATACGCTGAAACTAACATCCCCAAACAAGGCATGAGACACAGACATGGGGAAGTTGAAATCGATTGGGTTGAGATTTCCGTCACGAGAACCAAAGGAGGCCCTTATGACGTCCTAGAGCAAGCTGAAAGCCAATGTACCATTGGGGATTGTGATCATGGCGACACGGCACACACACACACATACACACACACACACACACACACGGACTGCGGCCTGGGCACACCAAGTACCGGGAATACTTACGCTGCAGCCTGGCACCCGTCTCAATGGATGTGATGTTCTGCAGCATGATCATGCGCTGATCTCCACGCACTGAGCACAACATACACACAACGTAACATGCAACAGAAAAAAATCATTCCACGCGTACTCGTAGGTAGAAGAGAACAGATTGCAGTGTGCGAGGAGGCGACGGTGCACTACTCATCAGACTTTCCCAATCAAATCCCACTGCCATATCCTGGAATTACCTGTGATGGTGTAGTAGTGGGACAAAAGAGAGCTCCCAAGCTCCATTTTCAGTGCAAAATAACAGACTTTGGCAGTTTGCATAACAAAAACCATGCCATAATCAGACAATTAATTACCATTTGATCGTATGATCATGAGTATCACCTGTCACTATTATAAGTACATTCCAGTGTACTCACTTTTACTCTTGAGGGTTTGTTTCGTAGGCGTCCAGCGCACACACATGTCCACTCCTTCACCCTCCAACTTCATCACCACCGTTTCGCTGATACCCTCCTCTCGATGTAGTATAAATTGCGCGCCTGCAGCCAACAAACAAAGATTACACATCAGCATCAACTGGAGGTGTTTACAATTTTACATCCTATTAAATACAACCTAATACATTCGGTTGATAAATATGGTGGTAAAGACACACCTGGCAATATGGCGGTAAACACACGCCTGCCCACACACGCTCTCTAGGCTGCAAAGTTCTGGCACAGAGCTCTCCTTCTCACCACCACCACCATCAGTTCGCGCCTGGCGCCTGGTCGATGCATGGCTGGCGGTATCCGGCATAGCAGGCTGGTACATCAAGTAGCGCATGGCACATAGATGATGACACAGCAACAACATAGCTCGATCGCGACGTACGTTTCGTCCCCGCTGGACTCATCAGGCAATCTTCTTGCTGTGTCATCATTTATGTGCCATGCGCTACTTGATGTACAAGCCTGCTATGCCGGATACCGCCAGCCATGCATCGACCAGGCGCCAGGCGCGAACTGATGGTGGTGGTGGTGAGAAGGAGAGCTCTGTGCTAGAACTCTGCAGCCTAGAGAGCGTGTGTGGGCAGGCGTGTGTTTACCGCCATATTGCCAGGTGTGTCTTTACCACCATATTTATCAACCATAAGTACAGCTGCAGTGGTGTCTTCAACTTCATTCTCCCTAATACATTCAATTCTTCTAAATTCCTACCATATTCAACACAACGCTATGCACTATGTCTGCACTTAGCACATGTACTCGAGTACTAATCAATTATTGGTATCATTTTCAAATTTTAATTTCAAACAAGGCCACGAATTCATAGAGTTGATTCTCCGATTACGCTCAACCCTGAAGAGTAACCAGGTGACTTAGATTCAGAATAAGAACTACGACGGTGTTGTTGTGTGAGTAAGATGCGTCGACATCCACACAGCAGACTCCAAACCTTACCATGGAACAAGGTGTTCTTGAATTTATGGTAGTAGTCGTAACAAAATCTGCAAACCCAGACGCGGTGATCAGTCGGTCCTCGCGGAGTGGAGCACTCACCGCCATGGAAGACATCACCACACATCCGGCAGTGATGCCTCCTGTTTGTGGCACTGAATCCTCGCTTGCAGTACTGGCACTCCGACGCTTCATCATCGGGCACCCAGAATTCTTCCGGACAATGATTTGCGGAGAAGGTGGATGTGGAAGAGTGGCTTGCTTTGCTGATCGTTGCTGATGGACGACCCGATATCAAAGTAGTGGTTTCATCAGCGTCCTCTTCATTGTCGTTCAGGCAAGAGCATAGGCCACCCATATTGCAGCTGTGGTACCTAGCTCAAACTCTGCACCACTAACCCGATCTCCATCCACTGCGAATCGTCGTTCTCTCTTTCTTTACTGTGATGTGCATTGCTGGTTTACAGATTCGTGCTTCATCACGACTCTGGATCGTGGAGATCGGGCCAAAGAGCTACTGTATAGCGTCATGACGCCATTTCGTGACACGTGCTGTTGCCATGCCAGCTTTTGGCCGTTTCGTGAAATAAAATTTTTAATAAAATCAGTCCATATATCCATGTACGTACATATGACATGTATCTTCTGGAATTCTGGATCCAGTCATTTTTATCATGCAATGCGTATATTGAACACGCAGAGACAGACGTATCCTGGATCCTGTACGAGTACCTCTTCTGAACTCACTGAAGAAAGAAGAGTTTCAGCCCTGTTTTGTTCGAAAAAGTTTGCACACACACACACCTTTCTAACTTTACGCCCATTGCCGTAGGCGATGATGCAGCATAAGCCGCAGCAACACCATTCAACAGGTCGCAAGGCTGAAGAACACACACACGCGTGTTTGAATTGTCCAAATACACAGAACGCAAGTGCAATACGTTGTGCATGTACATCCTCCTACACAGTTGCAAGTGATTTTGCCAACACTCACAGAACCTTCGCCCAAGCACTGACACAAAACATGAACCATCCCAGAAGTCCATAGTGTTCGTATAAAGAAACATGCAATTCACACATACACCACACAAACACACAGTACCACGGAAAGTGCAAGCTACTCAACTCTGCAAAGAGCAAATTAAAATACCGTTATCAAATTTGCACGAGCCATGAGAAATTTGATCAGAATTGAAAACAATATCTCAAAGTATATCGACACAAAAGCAAATTATAAACATGGTGATAGTGACGGTCCCGTAAAGGCGGAATTTGACAAAAAATGCTCCTCAAGAACATGATGGGTTAGTTGAGTGAACAGCATGATGGCATCTAAATGTGTCCACCTAACCTCAGCTAACTGCCATGGGCTGGCGATCTCTCAGGCCATATCACAACACAGACCAGTGGGCCGCAGCGAGGCATCAATAGATGCGAGCCCTATCGACCAGAGTTCAATATCCACGGGCAGCATTCCAGTACACTGATATGAGCCATACGAGGCCACTGTACTTCCCACAGGGAAAATCTACATTGCAGATGTCGCAATATCTAACTGAACGAGCTTCCACTGTTAGCGGCGTACCTCTGTGATTCGGCCAAAAGCGCCTTGGATACAAGAGTATGCGCCTCCATGTAGTTATTACTGCAGTTGGTCATGCAGGTCTTCTCGGAATTGCTCAGGGCTTTGCCAGGCTTGGGCACACACTTGACGAAGCATTTTTCTGACATACTCTCCACGATCTCTTTCATGCTCTTGATAGCCATCTGCGTGCGCAGCACCTGTGCGACCTGTTCGGGAGAGACATTGTCTCCCTTAGAATCACCAAAGTAAGCACCGTCCATGATTTTTATTCCTACTTCCTACTTGGCAAGAACTAAAAAACAGAAGTATTTCTTGAACAAAGTAGAAAGTGATCATGTGGTATTATATAAAGATCAGTGGTTTTCAGCATTTTTTTGTGTTTTTCCCATTTCCATTTTTCCAAAACAAAAATGGCGAGTTTGCGACTTCATCATGACGTAAATGAAATCAAGTCATAACGTCATGCTTGAATTTTGGATATGGAAACAAACAATGCAAGCAAGGTTTGCTGTTTGCATTGATTTTGACTTTGCCTTCTTTTCTTTGTAGTTGGAACAAACAAGGAAATACTGTGTTTTCGGTCTTGTTCACCTCCTCCTGCGTCTTGTTCCAACATGGCTTCCCCCACGTAAGTAGATGTGATGCGCGACGCGTCTAGTCGGGATGTGGTTGTGACGATCGTACAAGCTGCATGATTCGCTCCTCTTCTGATGAATGTGACATGCAGGCCAGTTTTTGAGTTGGGCACCAACACTCTGCCTGTCAATGCCTCGCTGCATGCTCTGAACCGCACTCGCCTGGTGGAAGCGCTGCGCGAGAACAAGGACTTGCCGAAAGGTTCTGTTGTTGTTCTGCAAGGTGGCGAGCAAGAGCAGCGCTACTGCACAGATACAGATACGGTGTTCAGACAGGTGAATAGCATGTAGTCCGTGTACACAGTTAATGCTTGCCTGTTTTGAGCGGTGCCAGATTGCTCCGCTGCACCATAGCTGCACACCAAATTCGCACGCGTCTGTGTGTCCCATCTGGTGCTGTGATACAGTACTAAGTATTGCATCATTATTGTATCCCAGAAGCTATGCAAATGACTGTATGGGCCGGCACGTGAGAGATAACGTATTTTTTGTGTCTGTGGTACGCCCATTACTACATGACAGAAGTGCAAAGGGCCAGCTGTGGGTGTGTGAGGGGGGGGGGGGGGGGTGGCCAGGCTTGCACAAATCACTTGAGCAACCAAGTGCTGTAGGTGACATAGCAGGAACACAGGGCCCCCCTGCCAGGACTAGGCAGCAGTCACACACACACACACACACACACACACACACACACACGCATACCAGGGGCATCGGAAGGTATTTTAGTGTGGTACGGTCAGCCATCTGAAGTACAATTGACTCGTGGGGGAGTGGTGGCTGAGCCGAAAATTTTGGGAATTTTAGATCCCAGATCAGTGTATTTTGGTGACTCACGGGTATCTGGGGCAAAAAGTGGTACGGTCAATACCGTAGTGACCGTACCGTGTGCGACGCCCCTGCATACATACATACATACACACCACACACGCACACACACACACCACACACACACACACACACACACCACGTGACTGATCATCAGCTCAGCTAGCTCAGGAAAATGAGCCGTTAGTATGATGACCTACAGTAGGTAAAGAACAAGCATAGTGAGGGTCCGGAGCTGGCCACTCTCATTAAATAATTTTATTTTTGGGATGGCCCCGAGGGGAGTGCCCTATCCAGAAGTAGAGGTCTCCGCTCTTCATGTGACTGCATGGTGAACATATTAAATAAACAGGGGAGGAGGCGAGTTACATTTTCTTCGTTATAGGTCCTATTGAGGCTGTAATGCCTCATACGTGTTATGTGCGGATATGCCTCAAGACTGCAAGATCGTTAACGTATCTTCTCGTTAACCTATGAATTTTGAACAATCGTTAAATTTGTGACTCGTTATAATAACATGTCTTACAGTATTCGGCTAGTATGCCTATTGACTGTGGTACTGTGCTGGACTTGAAGCGTTCTCTGACTGGCATTGTGTGTAACTAGCCCATGCTTGCATCAGCTTGCTGACTGACTGTGGGTATTTCCCCTCTGTGTCTCTTATCAGGAATCCTATTTCCACTGGGCGTTTGGTGTGCGCGAGGCTGACTGCGTTGGTGCCATTGACGTGGACACTGGCAAGACCACACTGTACTTTCCCCGCCTGCCAGAGTCTTACGCAACGTGGATGGGAAAGTAAGCTGTTGTGGTTGTTGTACTGCAGTCAGTTGAATACGCACAATGCGTGTGCATGCAATATTGCCAATGCTGGATGTGTGCTTTCAGCCTTTGGCAGGTAACGTGAGTAAGGGCCTGGTGTACGGCAACTTTACCACCCCAAACCTGTAGTGTTGTATTGTCATGGCGAATGTAATCAATGTAGCTAAACCACCCTTCACCTTAGCACCACCGCAGACTTCACTACAGCTGTTGTCTTGTGGACTTCACTACAGCTGTTGTCTTGTGGACTTCACTACAGCTGTTGTCTTGTGGACTTCACTACAGCTGTTGTCTTGTGGACTTCACTACAGCTGTTGTCTTGTGGACTTCACTACAGCTGTTGTCTTGTGGACTTCACTACAGCTGTTGTCTTGTGGACTTCACTACAGCTGTTGTCTTGTGGACTTCACTACAGCTGTTGTCTTGTGGACTTCACTACAGCTGTTGTCTTGTGGACTTCACTACAGCTGTTGTCTTGTGGACTTCACTACAGCTGTTGTCTTGTGGACTTCACTACAGCTGTTGTCTTGTGGACTTCACTACAGCTGTTGTCTTGTGGACTTCACTACAGCTGTTGTCTTGTGGACTTCACTACAGCTGTTGTCTTGTGGACTTCACTACAGCTGTTGTCTTGTGGACTTCACTACAGCTGTTGTCTTGTGGACTTCACTACAGCTGTTGTCTTGTGGACTTCACTACAGCTGTTGTCTTGTGGACTTCACTACAGCTGTTGTCTTGTGGACTTCACTACAGCTGTTGTCTTGTGGACTTCACTACAGCTGTTGTCTTGTGGACTTCACTACAGCTGTTGTCTTGTGGACTTCACTACAGCTGTTGTCTTGTGGACTTCACTACAGCTGTTGTCTTGTGGACTTCACTACAGCTGTTGTCTTGTGGACTTCACTACAGCTGTTGTCTTGTGGACTTCACTACAGCTGTTGTCTTGTGGACTTCACTACAGCTGTTGTCTTGTGGACTTCACTACAGCTGTTGTCTTGTGGACTTCACTACAGCTGTTGTCTTGTGGACTTCACTACAGCTGTTGTCTTGTGGACTTCACTACAGCTGTTGTCTTGTGGACTTCACTACAGCTGTTGTCTTGTGGACTTCACTACAGCTGTTGTCTTGTGGACTTCACTACAGCTGTTGTCTTGTGGACTTCACTACAGCTGTTGTCTTGTGGACTTCACTACAGCTGTTGTCTTGTGGACTTCACTACAGCTGTTGTCTTGTGGACTTCACTACAGCTGTTGTCTTGTGGACTTCACTACAGCTGTTGTCTTGTGGACTTCACTACAGCTGTTGTCTTGTGGACTTCACTACAGCTGTTGTCTTGTGGACTTCACTACAGCTGTTGTCTTGTGGACTTCACTACAGCTGTTGTCTTGTGGACTTCACTACAGCTGTTGTCTTGTGGACTTCACTACAGCTGTTGTCTTGTGGACTTCACTACAGCTGTTGTCTTGTGGACTTCACTACAGCTGTTGTCTTGTGGACTTCACTACAGCTGTTGTCTTGTGGACTTCACTACAGCTGTTGTCTTGTGGACTTCACTACAGCTGTTGTCTTGTGGACTTCACTACAGCTGTTGTCTTGTGGACTTCACTACAGCTGTTGTCTTGTGGACTTCACTACAGCTGTTGTCTTGTGGACTTCACTACAGCTGTTGTCTTGTGGACTTCACTACAGCTGTTGTCTTGTGGACTTCACTACAGCTGTTGTCTTGTGGACTTCACTACAGCTGTTGTCTTGTGGACTTCACTACAGCTGTTGTCTTGTGGACTTCACTACAGCTGTTGTCTTGTGGACTTCACTACAGCTGTTGTCTTGTGGACTTCACTACAGCTGTTGTCTTGTGGACTTCACTACAGCTGTTGTCTTGTGGACTTCACTACAGCTGTTGTCTTGTGGACTTCACTACAGCTGTTGTCTTGTGGACTTCACTACAGCTGTTGTCTTGTGGACTTCACTACAGCTGTTGTCTTGTGGACTTCACTACAGCTGTTGTCTTGTGGACTTCACTACAGCTGTTGTCTTGTGGACTTCACTACAGCTGTTGTCTTGTGGACTTCACTACAGCTGTTGTCTTGTGGACTTCACTACAGCTGTTGTCTTGTGGACTTCACTACAGCTGTTGTCTTGTGGACTTCACTACAGCTGTTGTCTTGTGGACTTCACTACAGCTGTTGTCTTGTGGACTTCACTACAGCTGTTGTCTTGTGGACTTCACTACAGCTGTTGTCTTGTGGACTTCACTACAGCTGTTGTCTTGTGGACTTCACTACAGCTGTTGTCTTGTGGACTTCACTACAGCTGTTGTCTTGTGGACTTCACTACAGCTGTTGTCTTGTGGACTTCACTACAGCTGTTGTCTTGTGGACTTCACTACAGCTGTTGTCTTGTGGACTTCACTACAGCTGTTGTCTTGTGGACTTCACTACAGCTGTTGTCTTGTGGACTTCACTACAGCTGTTGTCTTGTGGACTTCACTACAGCTGTTGTCTTGTGGACTTCACTACAGCTGTTGTCTTGTGGACTTCACTACAGCTGTTGTCTTGTGGACTTCACTACAGCTGTTGTCTTGTGGACTTCACTACAGCTGTTGTCTTGTGGACTTCACTACAGCTGTTGTCTTGTGGACTTCACTACAGCTGTTGTCTTGTGGACTTCACTACAGCTGTTGTCTTGTGGACTTCACTACAGCTGTTGTCTTGTGGACTTCACTACAGCTGTTGTCTTGTGGACTTCACTACAGCTGTTGTCTTGTGGACTTCACTACAGCTGTTGTCTTGTGGACTTCACTACAGCTGTTGTCTTGTGGACTTCACTACAGCTGTTGTCTTGTGGACTTCACTACAGCTGTTGTCTTGTGGACTTCACTACAGCTGTTGTCTTGTGGACTTCACTACAGCTGTTGTCTTGTGGACTTCACTACAGCTGTTGTCTTGTGGACTTCACTACAGCTGTTGTCTTGTGGACTTCACTACAGCTGTTGTCTTGTGGACTTCACTACAGCTGTTGTCTTGTGGACTTCACTACAGCTGTTGTCTTGTGGACTTCACTACAGCTGTTGTCTTGTGGACTTCACTACAGCTGTTGTCTTGTGGACTTCACTACAGCTGTTGTCTTGTGGACTTCACTACAGCTGTTGTCTTGTGGACTTCACTACAGCTGTTGTCTTGTGGACTTCACTACAGCTGTTGTCTTGTGGACTTCACTACAGCTGTTGTCTTGTGGACTTCACTACAGCTGTTGTCTTGTGGACTTCACTACAGCTGTTGTCTTGTGGACTTCACTACAGCTGTTGTCTTGTGGACTTCACTACAGCTGTTGTCTTGTGGACTTCACTACAGCTGTTGTCTTGTGGACTTCACTACAGCTGTTGTCTTGTGGACTTCACTACAGCTGTTGTCTTGTGGACTTCACTACAGCTGTTGTCTTGTGGACTTCACTACAGCTATTGTCTTGTGGACTTCACTACAGCTGTTGTCTTGTGGACTTCACTACAGCTGTTGTCTTGTGGACTTCACTACAGCTGTTGTCTTGTGGACTTCACTACAGCTGTTGTCTTGTGGACTTCACTACAGCTATTGTCTTGTGGACTTCACTACAGCTGTTGTCTTGTGGACTTCACTACAGCTGTTGTCTTGTGGACTTCACTACAGCTGTTGTCTTGTGGACTTCACTACAGCTGTTGTCTTGTGGACTTCACTACAGCTGTTGTCTTGTGGACTTCACTACAGCTGTTGTCTTGTGGACTTCACTACAGCTGTTGTCTTGTGGACTTCACTACAGCTGTTGTCTTGTGGACTTCACTACAGCTGTTGTCTTGTGGACTTCACTACAGCTGTTGTCTTGTGGACTTCACTACAGCTGTTGTCTTGTGGACTTCACTACAGCTGTTGTCTTGTGGACTTCACTACAGCTATTGTCTTGTGGACTTCACTACAGCTGTTGTCTTGTGGACTTCACTACAGCTGTTGTCTTGTGGACTAGTTTTCTATTACAGTGTTGTGACTGTTGTGATTGTTGCCATTGTTCTTGCAGGATTCATCCACTCGAGCATTTCCAGAAGAAGTACGCCACTGAGTTTGTGCAATATACCGATGAGGTTAGCAGGTGATGCAGTGGGTGGGATAAATTCTTTATTCGTCCTGCTTATGATACTGTTTCATCCTTTGTGAACTCAATCAGCGCAGCACCAAGAAATAAGCCCAAACCTGATATCAATGAAAAGTAAAAAAAATCTGTGAGGCAGATTTGTTCAACCAGACCCAAGCGTGCCTACGATAATGCATGTTGTAGTGCAGTTGTCAGTACGCAGTTGATCTGAGTCTGTGCAGGGGATACTGAAGGTGGTCTTTATGCTTGCATACCGTGTGATTGTTGCCATTGGGGGCGTGTGAGTCAATTATTTTCCGTGTGTTTCTCTGCTGCAGTTGCTTGCATTATGATTTGCCTCTCTGTTTGCTTGTGTTCTTAGGTTGCCAGCCACTTGAAGACTGTCAATGCAGGAACCCTCCTGCTGCTGGTAAGGACTATAGTTGTGTGCTGCTATTACTGCTGCTACCGCTGCTTCTGCTGGTGCAGCCGCTGCGTCTGCTGCTACTGCTGCCACTACTGCTGCTGCTGCTGCTGCCACTCCTACTGCTCGTTATAACTGACTGCTGGATGCTGATGGTTGATATGAAGTCCGATGGTTGACATCATCAACTCTGTGTGCACTGCTAGTCATTGTGTCCAGCCACTGGCACAGGATAGCAAGTCACATACATCCACACATACACACAGCACACTGTCCGTTGCACTTGAATAGAATAGTCATAATCTTTAGCTTCACCTGTGAAGGTGGACCTTTGCTGACAATACCGGTAGAGTGCATGGACTGGATATGCATGTACTGTCCGCTATGATTCTGCTACAGCAGCAATGTGTGACAGTATCCTTGCTCTTGCTATCTCTGCTGTACAGCGTGGCACTAACACGGACAGTGGTAGCACATGCCGTGCTGCTGCCTTTGATGGCATCGGAGAGTGAGTAACGACTCTGTGTTATTGCACATATGCCACACATACACATGCACACACCCACACACGCACACACGCACACATACACACACACACATGTACACGCACGCATACACACTCGTGGATATATGGAAACACGCTCGCGTATGCACATGTCTATGTGGTGTGTGTGTGGGGGGGGGGGGGGTATGTGTGTGTGTTGGTAGGGGGGGGGGGGGGGGGGGTGTCTGACCTCCATGCCAGTGTACTTGTACTGCTTATCAGCTCTTGCCTCAAACTGTGTCTTCTCAAACTGGTGATAAGATTGCAATGCTGTACATGTAGCCGCAGCCTGCCTAAGTTTTCCTCATCTGCGTGTGTGTTTGTGTACTGCATAGCTTCAAGACTGACTACACAATGCTGCACCCCGTGATCTCTGAGTGGTAAGTGGAATTGAAGGATCACTCATTTTTCAGAAGTGCAATCTTTTTTCTTCTCTTTTTAAAAAACAACTAAAGCAAAGCTGTAATATGTACAAAAATCGCAACAAAACTTCAGCGGAAACTACAGCAGCAAAGGTACAGACCAACGAATACCGTCAGCAAACTGAAAGGCATAGGATATGATCACGTCTTGAGCTGGCAAGACGAAGCAGAGAAAGGAGTGGGCAGCACGCCTCAATTGTGGATAGCTGCCTCTGCAACAACGACCGTAGCTGAGTCCACAGCGAATGGCGGGTGCCCAGATTCAGCTGCCACCCCGCAGCTGGCGCATCACGGTGGACCGGACTAGAGCAAAGCTGATCTGGTATCGGATACAGACCATGGTCGCGCTATAAGTACTCCCTGTTCTTGACGGCAACGAGGGACGTCATCCTATTGTTGAAGGACGTGGCAGCTTTCCCCTTTCAGTCTGTAGTGGAGAACACGGCCGGTATGAAGCTGGAGTCCTCCACTTTTCAAATACGTTGCTCATGGGCATGGCGCTTGGTCTTCTCATGACGAGTGTAGCTAGCAGCATGTGAATTGGAGTGATTCGAGGATGCAAAAGGGGTTGAAAACCTCAACAAACTGCCATTGGCAATATAATTAGAATTTGTCTCATACAATGTATAGTTGACTCTTCTCGTGACGTGTTTGTGCTTTGTCGTGTGTGTGTGTGTGTGCGTGCATGCGTGTGTGCGTGCATGTGTGTGTGTATGTGTGTGTATAGCCGTGTGATCAAGACGAACCAGGAGCTGGAAATCCTGCGTTACTGTAACCGCATCAGCAGTGAAGCACACAAGACAGTCATGTCCAAGATTCGCCCAGGCATGAAGGAATACCAGCTGGAAAGGTCAGTACTGAGCAGGCATCGCTTTATTCAATCACTCCGAGACTTTTCTTTGAGTCAACTTCTACCTGTATGTGTGAAAGTTTGTAATACCATCATCAAACCTTCCTTTTCTTGATAAACCTAGCGTTGTTTCAGGGTCTTCTGTCTGACAATGTGCTGCTGCACTTGGGTATGAAAACACACGAAATGAGATGCTGTGAGCCTTCTCAGCTAGCCAAGTGCCAGTGGTCACACTGTCATGGAGAGTGCCTATTGCCTTACCACCGATGTACATGTACATGTACCTACTTCAATGTGGCGCTTGTTTTCACTATTTACCATCAGCATATTCGCACTCCTCGTGTGCATTAGTAATCTGGTATATCTGTGTTGGGGAGGCGCTGTCGTTTGCACCACCATTGTGTGACCATTGTTACTCACTGTCCGAGTCCTTGTCACGTTCCACTGGTCTTAGGGAGCATCTCATAAGTTCGCATTTTTTTCCTAAACGTAACGCATTTCGAAACGGGGGTAGGGGGGTAACGCCCTTTTCGAATAGAAAAATGACAGTTCGCACATTTCCTGGATGTGTACATATTGTGCATGCATGTGCTAGATCGCTTCGGCAAATGAGCGTGTGTTTAGGTGTAGATCTATGTGCCTGTGTTTGGAGATCAGCCTTGCACTGCATGCATGCAGGCTACTCAGAGGTGTCAAGTGTCACATCAGCATCATCAAACTGTGTACCTGGCCAGCTTTTACAGTACACAGTTGTTTGTAATGTTGTGGAGGAACTCTGTTTATGTACATGTCATTCATTGTTCTTGTACTCAGTAGACGCAGATTGCAGTACTGCACTTTGACATACATGTGCATACCATGGCATACATGTGCATGGACATGCACAGTAAAAATGTGCGATAAGACTTTCAAATAGAGGGGGGAGGTAGGGGGGGGGGGGTAAAGTCTTTTCGAAATGCGTTACGTTTACAAAAAAAGTGCGAACTTATGAGATGCTCCCTTATGCTCATGCAGCAAGACTTACACTCCCTCATTTCCCCCTTGTTGGCTTTCGGAGTATTTGAGGCCATGCGCCTGGAGTGACCTTTCAATACGACTAGTGATGTGAAGCTGCTGCTGCTATTGTTTGTTCAACTACTTCAACAACAAAACATATTATTGTGTACCCGTATCATTCATTGCTTTCTAAGTGGAAGTGGAGTTGCTGGCTTGAAGATGGAATACACTATAACGATCGATGCGTTTGGTTTAACACAGTTATTCCTTATAGTGGTCCTAGACGTGGAGCTGCTATAAATTGCTCCGACAGCCCTGTGTGTTTATTTTAGTTGCTGCATGGTGGCCTTAGAGCTTGTACATGCGGGATGTGATGTTTATCTAACAGTTAGGTGCTGTGTTGCTTTGTTTTGTGTATTTCAGTTTGTTCCTGCACGAGTGCTATTTCCAAGGTGGATGCCGGCACTGCTCCTACACGTGTATTGCTGCTAGGTAGGAGAGTATCTCTCTCTTTGTTGCCTCTCTCTCTCCCTCTGTCTCTCTCTCTGTCTCTCTGTCTCTCTCTCTCTCTCTCTCTCTCTCTCTCTCTCTCTCTCTCTCTCTCTCTCTCTCTCTCTCTCTCTCTCTTTCAGGCGTAAAAACCCTGTTGTAGTGGTCTCAGTCCTCATTTGTTAGACTTACCTGTCTTTATAAATGTAACTTTCTCTCTCTCTCTCTCTCTCTCTCTCTCTCTCTCTCTCTCTCTCTCTCTCTCTCTCTCTCTCTCTCTCTCTGTCTCTCTCTCTCTCTCTCTCTCTCTCTCTCTTTCTCTGTCTCTCTCTCTCTTCCTCCCTCCCTCCCACCCTCCACCTATTCAAGTATCCCTTGCCCCTTGTCGAACTGTATTAATCTGTTTTATCAATGTCGCATTCTACCATATAGTCATCATACCCATCAGCATATGCGTTCTCATAAAGAAGCTGCTTAGAAACAGCATGATCCCTTTGTTGATGTCCATGCTCATAGTCCGTGCTCAAACTGAAGACTCTGTATCTGTGTTCTCCTGGTCTTGTATTGCAGTGGTGACAATGCAGCTACACTTCATTACGGCCATTCCGGTGCACCCAATGACAAAACAGTCAACGACGGAGACATGTGGTAAGCGATCAGCACCGAACAGCTAATCCTTCCATGTCAATCCTGAATCCTTGTCATTGTTCAGCGTACATCATGTAGAGTCGGAGCCATGCTGAGCAGCATGTTTAGCGGACTTCTCGAAATATACATGTAGATATTTTCCCCCCAGCATCAGCACACAGTGCATTACGAAATGTCTTGGCTGCAGGAGCACGGTGGTGGTGGAAAGAGCTTTGAGTTGCATGTGGAGTTGACTGCAAACAAGCTGTGTACCCTAGTAGTCCCTACTGCAAACAAGCCATGTACCATGCACCCTATACTCATCCAGGTACTCAGTACTGTCAGGCTGTGTTTGCTCTTACAGCGGGTTGCCCTTTGGTAATCCAGCACGTGAAACTTGAACTGGTGGCTATTGGCCCTGGGGGTATTTTGGCTGAACATTTATTGCGGGTGAAAATTTGTTTGCCAAGACTCAGTGTGACAGTGCAGCAGTACAGGCCGAAATTTTAAGGCGGTCGGAACGTGTTTCAGACCTGGGAGGCCGAAATTTATACGCGCCGAAAATCTGCACTTGTAGACTTTCAGTATAGCCCAACCGCATGCACGCATTGTCAAAGATCATCAAACACCATGATTGTGTTGTTGCTGCTGCTGTTGTTGTTGTATTGTAGCTTGTTTGACATGGGTGGTGAGTACTACTGCTATGCCAGTGACATCACCTGCTCATTCCCGGTCAACGGCAAGTTTACACCGGAACAGCGCATCATCTACGAGGCCGTGCTCAAGGCATCTCGTGCTGTCATGGCTGCCGTAAAGCCAGGTAAGCAGCTGCTGCTCTCGATCTCTTTCTTCTCAAGGGGGAGTAGTGTGCAATGCCCTGCCCGGAGATTGTATGACCATTGCCAGCCTGGCCCAGTACTTAGTGTACATAATACCCAAGCTGGCTGGCCCGGCTAGATATTTTTGTTTTATTTTTGATGAACCGCGAGGAAAAGCACGTGTACTTTCCCTTCAAAGCTCATTTTCTTGACAAACGCACAAGATCCTTACACTGATGTTGCAACTCTGTTGCTCCGAGCGATGCTCATGCTTTTAAAAATGTTCCGCTTGTTTGTGTGCATGAACTGTGTGCGATGTGCTATGTGTGTTCTCGTGGCGTATAGGTGTGTGTTGGACCGACATGCACTTGCTAGCCGACCGTGTTCAGCTGCAGGCACTGATCGATGCTGGTCTGTTGCATGGTGACCTGGAGGCCATGATGGAGGTCCGGATGGGTGCTGTGTTCATGCCACACGGTCTTGGTCACTTCATGGGTCTGGATGTGCACGATGTTGGTGGCTACCCAGAGGTAAGCGTGTGCATACGTGTGTGTGCTGTGTGGGTATGGGTGGGTGTGGGTGGGTGTGCTGTGCACGTGTGTGTGCACGTGTGTGTGGGAGTGTGTGTGAGTGTGTGTGTGTGTGTGTGTGTGTGTGAGTGTGAGTGTGTGTGTGTGTGTGTGTGTGTGTGTGTGTGTGTGTGTGTGTGTGTGTGTGTGTGTGGTGTAGACCAGGCTGAATAGTCACGGTCAATTCTTCAGCCTTGCAAGCTGTTGAATGGTGTAATCCCAGCACAAGTTGCTATGGCTTCTGCCGTAGCATTGCTATCATCGCCTCCGGCGATGGGCGTCAAAAGGTCAAGGTCAAGGTGTGTGTGTGTGTGTGTGTGTGTGTGTGTGTGAGAGAGTGTGTGTGTGTGAGTGTGTGTGTGTGTGTGTGTGTGTGTGTGTCTGTGTGTTTATCTGTGCTAGCTATTATGGCTTGATAGCACCATTCCATCATGGCAGCAGTACATGCTGGCTGTATCAAAGATAGCATCAGCCTGTAATGGAAATTTATAATACTACTACTATCATACTAGCCTATGTCAGTTTGCAAACTGGCGGTCAACACACGCTCTGTCTAGCTACAAACTATTCCATCGCTTCCAGCAACTCCACACTGTCTCCTCTCACCATGGCCAGGATCTTGTGCCTGGCACCATACAGACTATATATGAAGCGTCTTCAAACCCTTCTTCTACCCTACAGTACTGTCGGGTAGCGCCGAAGAACGACCAGGCTAGAATTTCATCAAGCACAGCATACCAATGTATACATGGTGACTCAACTGTGCATAGACTGTAATACATGAAAATAAGAACGGTCTAGGCTAGGAGGCTGACTCCCCTCCCCCAGTTCTTCGGCGACCAACAGTACTGTATACCATTATTTTCCACGACCAGTCTGATTACTGGTGTTCAAGTGTTGATGTTTCCTGCGAGTGCATGCTGCATTTTAGAGCTAATAGATCTCTTCGCATGCAGTGGTCTGGATGCCTGGTACTGGGCGGTGTCACGAATCTGCTCACAGCTAACTTCAAGCCATTGGTATCATCAGCAATGTGTACATTAATGCATCCGCGTGTCCACGTGCTCTTTGTTTGTTTAGGGTGTTGAGCGCAGTACGCTGCCAGGACTGAGGTCCCTGCGAACGGCTCGTGTGCTCAAGGAAGGAATGGTGCTGACCATCGAACCAGGAGTCTACTTTATTGATCATGTAAGTACACAGTACGTATGTATCTATCTCATGCCTTTGCCTGCTTGTGTACAGACAATCATCGCTATTTTTTGCTCCTCTTTTTCTGGTTCTCTCACCACCTGTGAAAGTCGGCTGAAACCAATTAAAAACAGGCAGACTGGGTGTACGGGAGCAACTGGTGGTGCCGATCTGGTTCCCTTGTTCAATCGGGATATTTAAGAAATCTTCCACCGGAAAGAAGCATGCTCACGAAGAGAGGGAACAAACTTGCAAACCACTTTTACTTGCAGAGAAAACAAGGCCAATGGAGGCAGGCAGTGGCACAGGGGTTATCTAGGACGGTTGCTAAATTCTGTTGCTAAATTCTGGTATTTCTAGCGGGTTTGCAGAGAAAACGAAGTGTTACATTTCGCTCCACCTCCTTATGCAATTAGGATTGTACATCGAAACCTATGGCTTCTTGTATAATCCCCAATTAGTCTCTACTATGCTACGGTGCTGGTGGTGTGGTGTGTGAATGGGAATGTATCTTGACTCTTGGTGTTGGTTGATGTAGCTTCTGGACAACGCTTTGGCTGATCCCAAGCAGAAGTGCTTCATGAACGAGGAGGCGATCAACAAATACCGCAAATCCGGTGGAGTAAGTATATTATGTACTAATACATGACATTTTACTTCTCTAACTGTCCTACCCTGCCACTGAATACAGGGATGAATTTATCCTGTATCGCATCGCAGTTTGCGATGCTAAATCGATCTACTGCTACTCAAAAGTCACCGTGACTCGTAGAAAATTGCGATACATACAGCAGATACAGGCTAACCATGGCTAGCCTGCGCTGTCAAGTAACATGCATACAGTGCAGTGGTATATGTGGTGCAGATACACTCAATCTGGGTGCACATGTATGCTTCAGTCGTTTTTTCTGCAAATGGGCTTTCAGGCATCACTCTCAAGAATGCTAATGTGGCAAACACCAAACCTTCAAAGAAAATGCTAATCAAAATCAAAGACTGCTACACAATTGTGATTTCGTATAGCAGAAACTGCTATGCAAGAATATGACAGTAAAGTCATCCCTGGAATATTAGAGAGGTTTTGCATTCCGAATTTCGGAATGTTTTTCGACTGTGCTTTTCCGAAAAAAGTGAGTGCTGAAAAACGGCATTTTCAGTGTTTTGCATTCCGAAAATCTGATTCGACTTCGTTTCCAAGGGTTGCCATGCAAAACAAAATGGAGAGCGTCGAAAGCGCCAAAACCGAAAACCTTTTGCGTCCGAATCTTGCAAATTCGGTTTTGAGGCGTGCTGGTCCAACAGCAGCAGCGTGTGACGGACTTCCTCGTGATACTGCAGCAAACTTTGGGTCAGACGAGGCTAGAACTTTTGCAGTCTCCTCGGATCCCACAGAGCCGCGAACAAAGGGGTTGAGCAGGATCAAATCCATGTGCAGGTCAAACTGAATTTGGGTGCGGTTCGAAGACGAGGACGGACTGGTGGACCGAGTGATCCAACGGCTGAAGACGAGGTTGGCGAACTATTGTCTTGCACTGTCAGTAGGCTCCATGGCAAAGGAAGATAGAGTGTGATGGAGTGTGAGAAGATCTAGTCAACATGGCGAGAGCAGCAAAAAAACAGCAAAAACCAAAACTTCACACGTGGAAAAAATTCAAATAATATTAAGCGAGAGCGGCAGAAAACAAAAATATTCAAATATGCGCTCCCAAACAGGAAAGAGCCGAAAATCCATTTTCGGAAAACCATGCACTTTCGCCACCACACTTCCGAAAGTTCGACTACTTTTTCGACTCCTGCCGTCACATTCCGAAAATAATTCCGAAATTCGGAATGCAAAACCGCTCTATTAGCGAGTTTCTGAGAATTTTTCCTTTCTGAAGATGTCGGGGCCTTTACCAAGCTCCCTTTAATACAAAAAGGCTGGATTAGGAGGAACATTCATTGTAATTCTGTACGAAAAGTAATTTCATCTGCCTTTAATAATACTTGATGTCCTGTATTGCATTGATGTGGTGCTGTAGGCTCGCATTGAGGACGACATAATCGTTACTGCTGATGGCTTGGAGTTGATGACATGCGTACCGCGTACTGTAGAAGAGGTCGAGGCATTCATGGCCAAGGCTCGTCAGTGATGATTGCAGCCGTGTCCACCATGACCCTGGCCAGCCAGCTAGCTAGCCTGCTGCGGTGCAACGATGCAACCTGACAACTTGCTTGTTTGTAGGTAATATAGCTGCAGACACGAGCTCACTGGTGATTCATTAGTTCAAGTCACGCCGCTGTCCTACATTGCTTGCGCTGTTCAACACTTCATTGCGTTTCGGCTCTTCTAGTTGTTATGCAGCAGATATATCATTCCTTTCTCATCAGCAGCAGCAAAATTTCTTCTTCTATTCGTTGCAAAACGTTTGGGTGCATCTTCTTAGCACAATCTCTTTGTTCGAAGATGATTCAAAGACGATTCGAAGTTCGTTTATTACTAGTGCGTGGAGCTTTTCCCACTTCCGTACGTGTGCTTATTCCCGCTTGTATTTTATGCCTGGCAGGCCAGCTACTTCTTTACAAGTTATTTCTTTCTATCAATTTCTTATTAATTTTTGTAGAGCTTTGAAAGTGATTACGGACCATCTGAAGCTAAAATTTAAATGTTTTGCTCGGGAAGTGTAACGATAGCAGTGTAGCTCAGTTTAATTAATTTTGTGTTCAGCTTAGAAAAAAAACAGATTGCTACTGAGAAGGTGTGATGCGAATCACAACGTCTTCATGCGGATCATCTGGACAGGGAATGTACACACACGCGTGCACGCACGCACGCATATGAAGTAGGATCGATCACACCAAAATGGCAACTTGCTCGGGAGAAGTGAATGGGCATGCGCAGAGTGATCTTATTCAGCGGTAGGCCCCGGCGGATAATGCTAGTTATTTTCGGCAATTATGCTATGCCACTTTATATGGGGTCAAAAAAGTGTCAAGACTTCACGCAATTCCACAAAAAACTTACGGGATGTAATATTAATTTAAAAACTTGGTGCTCTGTTTACCTGGTACACATTGTTCTCCATGCAACACTAACGTTATAGGCTAGCATAGTGCAGGAAGAATACATTATACTTCATGAAACTGAACATTGTCCCTGAACATCTCACCAAATATAATTGGTTTACTTTCGCACGGGACACTCGCAATGGCATAGTACTTCCCAGAGCTTTGTCAACTATGTTTACCAAATCTCCCTAGCTGTCTTCTCTGCATACTCGTATTGGCTCAAGCTACCCATGGAAATGAAGACAATTATCCAATATTAGACAGTTCATAGACCATGTTAAATGTCATGCCACGTTGTAGACTCGCTCGCCTCTTTTGCTAGCTTATCTCGCCGCTCTCCACCATGGTCAACATAGTGATACATTTCACCCCGCTGATGCATTATTTTCTTCCCATTATCATCTTCTTTCCTTCATTTTTTTCTTCTCTTGCCATGGCTGGCTAACGCCCCCTCCTTTGCATTGGCTTCTGCCATTGGACGGTGAAATAATAATGATCACCACATGGCAACAACATAGCAAGCCACTTTTGATACAATAACATGTATGCCCGCTGGGGGTGCATTAACACGTCTCAGTTATGGGTATTCTGATACATGTACAGTGGACATCTTGACAGGGTGCAAGCTGCAGCATGTACAATTGAGGCACACTTCTGTCTTTGGTGTCATAATTTGAATATTCAAACTAACTTCAACTGTGCTATTTAGTGGTTGAGTTTGGCGGAGCACTATGGAACACGAATTCAGAAACATTGTGCCAGCCATGATGAAAATACGGCAGGCCGATTAAAATGTTTTGGTTTTCAAACCTGCACTCAAGTGTTGAAACTACTTCGAAGTAGATACACATAGCAACACACAGAGTACCGCATGTAGATCTACCGGTACATGTATTCAGTTACTAGTACTAGCTGCTTACTTCACACCTGCTTTGAGGAAAGACTCTACAACATTGGCTCTTCGAATGAGGACATCATTGGCTACTGCACCAGATAGCCCCGCTCCTGCCAGCTCCTTCTTATGGTCTGTAGTGTACTTCTCCCACGAAGCTGTTAGTGCTTGCTGGTGTAGCTGGCCTCGTGACTTTCGCTCTTTGGTCGTCTTGTGCTTTTGGCTCGAAATGTGTGATTTCACAATGCTGTTCTTCTGTTTAACTGTCTGGCTGCAAGCACTGCAGTAAATCTTCCCACTGGACACGGTCAAATATTCCCCTGGAAATTTCTGCACGCGATGGTGGACGCTGACACGAGGTGTCCATGTGGAACTTCCACCGGCAATTCGCCCACGCTTAGCGACGGACTCCTTCCCACTTCTCTGGAAAGATCATTTTCGGGAAATCGCTGCTCTGGCTGGTTCGGGAAGACATTCACACGCTGTCCTGACCTCGTCCTCTTCGGACTCTGATTCTGAGGCGTCTTCATCGTCAAACTCGGAATCAAAGTGATCATCGCTACTGCTTACTAGATCAACAATGTCTCTGGCTGCTTGCTCGGACATAGCCATTACGTGTGTTCTTCATCAGCTAACAAAGAATAATAAGCCAAAGTTGGTGGAAACAAAACGCTCCCATTCTCACTGCCTTCTCATGTACACCCATCACACGTTTTTTTCCCCAACGCTTGTGCCCAGACTCCCAGCCAGAGTCATAGATCTACTACAAGTAGTAAAGGGCCAGGCATTGAAGATTTGAAGTGAACCAGTGTTGTCGGATGCGAACACAGTTCTATAATTAGTTTGCGTGTATATTTCTCTGCAAACGACTGGTCCCGTACGGATCCGATCGACCGTCCTCAAAATGGCAACAAAGATTGCAATAGTCTTGCACGAGTACTGGAACTGGAAGTCACAAGGACGTCATTAGGTAACTGGTTCACTAGCTACTACATGACTGAAGTAACAGTTGTGGTGGAAGATGGCCATTGTACCGTCACTGACAGTATACATGTATGCACAATTCTGTAGTTAAGCGCCAGGCAAGATTTGCGTGACCCCAGATTCTAGACTTGAACTTTGTTACTTACCACCTTACCGGTACTGTCTCACTAGAGTGAGAGAAGAGCCTGTTATGATGTGCGGAACCTCTCTATTGACGTATTGTACTACTACTAGCTACAAAGCCTGTACTACTAGCTACAAAGCCTACATTGTACATGTAGATCTACATGTAGAGCTGTAGAGGATCTAGGCTGCAGAGTACACCACTGCAGTCTGCACTGCCACATTATCATCATCATGCATGATCAAGGCTGCGCGCCCACCTCGCGCGACCGCGACCGCGAGGGCTAGGGAATTGTGAATTTTCACGAAAATCCCTTGTTTTGCAATAATATGCTAGTTCTCGCAAGAATATGCTAGTTTTCTGCAAAATCTGCTGATTGTGCTAGTGCAATGCTAGTTTCCAGAAAGTGCTAGATATGATGCTAGCATTATCCGCCGGGGCCTATTCAGCGGGCAAGACACCAAATAACCCGGGCAATATATGAAATATACACGCCCACTGTCGGAGGATGCTGATTGGCCGTAGTGCAGACAACCCTCTTGTGACATGCAATAGCCAGCAATCTTACCATTGTGTCAAAATTGCCTTGGAAAACTCCAAGATCATGTCCCTTCCACAGTTCACGAATACTGCCCTTCCTCTCTGCAATAACAATGCTGGTACACATATGCACACAAACGCGCACACAGCGGACAAGAAAGCGGCAAGCATACACACATGCATGCCGACACATCGGCACACACACACACACCGGCACTAACACACACACAACACACAACACACACACACACAACACACTGATGATGAATACAGTCTTAGTCTTACTCTTAGATCCATGCTGCTGAAGGTGACAATTACTCCTCTGGCTAGAACAATAACTTGGCGACATGTCACGTGCATACAGTGTTAGGTCTAGCCATGAATGATACCCAATAGCATAAATCGTCATTGTGTAATGTTGCCGACTGGCCCTTTGCATTTCCCGCTGTCATGCTTGCGGTCCGTTGTTTCATACATAGCTAGCTAGCTGGCTTTCCAAGCTGCGTCGCGTTATCATGGTTATGTTCTGCTGTACGTGCAGTCTGCGCTGCGTACCGTGCGGGTACGATTTAGTTCCGGTTTAGGTCAAGTGAAGTACTACTACTAGCAGTAGTTCCGAGATCATGGCTTTTTCAAGTTTTGGTTCTCTTTTTTCCTTGTAGACAAATGTAAGCTAAATAAAACGTCTTGGTTGTGTGGCCGCTTGGGTTGGGTCACAGGGGCTTTGCCATCATTCCACTACAGTTTCTGGTGCCGAAACCCGGGACTGCGGGGAGGAACTAAGGATGGCGAAAGCAGAAGGCGCGTTGCGCGCATTTAGTGGCCAGGAGGACTTGGAAGAGTTCTGGCAGAAGTTCCAGGTCGTGGGAAAAATTCAGAAATGGAGTACAGGCAAGGAGCGAATGGCGCATGTGCCTCTGTATCTATCTGGCGATGCCTTTACGGTGTGGAGACAAATGGCTACTGCGGATCAGGAGGACGAGGATAAGGTGAAGGCACGGCTTGAGGAGTCGTTCGCCTGCTCGTCGAGGGAGGCGTACTCCCAGTTTGTGCGACGTCGGAAGCGGGAAGATGAAACTGTTGATGTTTATGCATCTGACTTGCGCCTTTTGTTGACGCGTAGTGGCCACAAGGAAGCAGCAGATGGAAAAGACCCGGTGCTCGTCGAGCAGTTCTTGTCAGGTCTGCCTCGTCGATTTGCAAATCAGCTGCGCCTCAGCGCGGCGGCTAGTGGGGATCCCACGATGACACAGCTGACGAAGCAAGCACGTGCTCTCCTTGCAGTGGCGGATGAGCCTGGTGTCAGCGCGTCTGCCGTAGGACCTGAGCCAGGAGACAGCAGAGTATGCTACCTGTGCGGAGAAACTGGCCACCTGAGGAGGGACTGCCCCAAGAAGAAGAAGGTGCAGTGTTTCAGATGTAAGCGATTTGGTCACATCAAGAGGCACTGTCCTGAGGCCAAATCCGAAGGACAAGTGAGTGGCAGGACTCCTGGTGCAGGTGCCAATGCATTTGCAGTATCACCAGATGTCGCTGCTGCAGAGTGCGAAGATGATGCATGTCTTGCCCTCGTTGCCAGGCGTCGTGGTGGCCTGCCGAAAGTCTTCGTGTCGGTCAATGGAGAGCAGACCAGGCTGAAGGCAGCCATTGACTCTTGCTCGAGTCGCTCCCTAGTGTCTTCTGCTGCGGTGCGTACACTGTCTGTGCCTGTCTGCAAGCCGTCGGGTGAGGACATGATCACGGCTATTAACGGCAACTCACTCGATATCACTGGCACTGTGGAGCTGACTGTCTCCATTGATGACAACAATGTGTACCTGCCGAAAATCAAGGCCAAGTTTCTGGTAGTTGATTCTCTGGACGTGGTTCGCTCTGACATGCTGATTGGTCTTGATGTGATCTCATCGGCCGGTGGTGTTGCTCTGGAGTATTCAGAGAGTGACGGCCAGCTAACTGGTGCTGTGTTCGGAACGAGGCCAGTCGTGGCTGCAGTCGAGAGTAAGATCAGCAATGAAGAGCACTTGCCACGCCACGTTCAGGTCCGACAGGATGGAGACAAGGTCACGTTGGAGATGAGTGACTGTGAAGTGATGTTCGACCCCGAGAAAGGCTTCTGGGAAGTCACTTGGAAATGGTGCGACGGAGCTGCTCCAAGTTCACCTATCGGTACAGGCATCGGCGAGTATTCCCGCCAAGGATTATCGGATGATCAGGAGGTGAAGTTCGTCACCGAGGTCCAAAACTGGATTGATCAAGGATGGCTAGTTCCTTATGACGAAGGCTCGCACGGCGAGATTGGCGGTGTTTTGCCTCTGCTGGCAGTGTGTCAAGAGCACAAAGTGTCCACTCCGGTCCGCCCCTGTCTGGATTATCGCGCGCTGAACAGTCTCATTGTGTCTCATCCGGGCCTGGATGCACCAGCATGTGAAGAGAAGCTTCGGAAACGGCGCCAGTGCGGCGATGCTATGGATATCCTGGATATTCGGAAGGCCTTCCTGAGCGTGCGTGTACAGCCTGCCTTGCAGCGGTTTCAGGTGGTGGCTTGGAAAGGTCAGAAGTTTGTCATGCAGCGCATGGGGTTCGGCCTTTCAATCGCACCAAAAGTCATGGATGCTATTGTCCGGTGGGTTACGAAGGACTTTCCGGCAACTGACAACTATGTGGATGACATCCTGACACCACGCCATCAGACCAAGGAGCTGGCTGCCTCTCTGCAACGGTATGGTCTACCAACGAAGCCGCCTGTGAAGCTTGAGGAGGCGTGCGTGCTTGGCCTGAAGATTGATGCTGAGGGAGACCAGCTGCGATGGGATCGTCGTGACCCGACATCCATTGATATTCCTGCTGTGCTGACGAAGCGTAGCATCTTTCGCTGGTGTGGCGCCCTGACGGCGCATTATCCTGTGTGTCGCTGGCTGCGGCCGATGTCAAGCTGGCTCCGTCGTTTGGCCTGTCTGACTGATGCATGGGATGAGCCGGTTCCAGAAGAGTTGCAGGTGTTGTGTCGTGACGTCATGGCTCGGGTGCTGAAGGAAGACCCAGTTCATGGTGCTTGGAGCGTTCCAAGCGGCGAGGAACACTCCTGGAAGATCTGGTGTGATGCCTCGAGTATCGCCTATGGCGTGGCCCTGGAAGTCGACGGCCGAGTGGTAGAGGACCAATGCTGGCTGAGACTGAAGAACGACACGCGCCACATCAACCTATCAGAGCTCGAGGCGGTCATCAAGGGCCTGAGTTTGGCGGTTGAGTGGAATGTGCGCAAGGTGAAGGTCTTGACCGACTCCAAGACCGTTCATGGCTGGCTGAGCTCGCTTTTCGGCCACTTGAAGCGAATCAAAGTCAGTGGGCTGAACAAGGTGGTGGTTCACCGGCGACTCCAAATCATCGATGACTTGATCAAAGCGGCTGACCTCAGCGTTGATCTGGAGTGGGTTCCATCTGCCAGCAACAAGGCAGACGAGCTGACTAGAGTTCCTGAGAAGCTCGTCCAGTACTGGAAAGGTCAGTCAGGCGTCGGCGAGTTTGACATCGGCGTGTCTGGTGCCTGCATCGATCCATCTGCTCTTGGCCCTGTGTCGCTCCAAGAGATAGCCAGCGAACAGGAAAGTGATGCGGCCATCACAGCGGTGATTGCAGCGAAGACAGCTGAACAGGAAGTTGTCGCTGCTGGCTACAAGAAGATCCAGAATCAACTCTGTGTTGCCGACGGTGTCCTGATGAGGAGCTTCAAGGTGCCGACTGGTGAAGAAGAAGTCGTTCCAGTAGTCCCAGAGTCTCTGGAGGAGAGAGTGTTGCGCGCAGCCCATCTTCAGACTGGACACGCCGGTTGGGAGGGAACCTGGCGGTTTCTGCAATGCCGGTGCTTCTTTCCCTCAATGGCAGCAAAGTGCCAGGACTTTGTTGGCAAGTGTCAGGCCTGTGCTGTTGCCAGTCCGCAGCGTGGCGAGAGTGTTCCAGCTACGAGGTCTGCCATGCCATCTGGTCCGTGGAACACCGTGTTCATCGACACCATGGAGCTCGGCGGCAGTCGTGATGGCAGGTTCCACTGCGTCCTGGTGTGTGTGGACGCATTTACAAAATGGACTGAAGTCGTTCCGTTGCCCCGGCACGATGCACGAAGTGTTGCTGATGCCTTTCTGTCCATCTGTGCCCGGTGGGGCCCACCAGAGATTGTGCGCTGCGACAACGGCACCGAGTTTGTCAACGCTATCATGTCGGCTTTGTTTGCGGCGTTTGGAGTTCGAGTGCAGCATGGTGCAGTTCGTCACCCGCAGAGTCAAGGCACGGTAGAGAGGTTCAATCGTACGCTCCTCACTTTGATTCGGAAGGTGTTGGAGGAAGAGGATGATTGGAAAGCGGCTCTTGATCTGCTGCTATTCAAGTACCGTGTACGCCCGCATAGTGTCACTCGAATCAGCCCGGCCGAGGCGATGTATGGCTGGAAGCCGAAGCGCCTGGTGGTGGAGAGGTCCGGCAGCGAGCTATCTGAGAGCGCTTGGGTGGACAAGCTGAAGATGCAGACGGCCCGGGTGTGGGATTATTTAGACGGCCAGTTATCGCAAGCTGACTCCATCGATGAATCGAGATCTCGCGTCGCCTGTCCCTATCAGCCCGGAGATCCAGTACTGTTGCGACGCCAGGACCGACGGCAGAAGCGCCAGCCTCCCTACGAGCGTGGTTGGGTGGTCGAGGCAGTGGTGGCATCCTCAACGGTCGTCGTTGCGCACGGTCGCGGTGGCACGAAGATCGTGAATGTTGATCTGTTGAAGATGGATCCAGGCGAGGCTGAGTCAGAGTCAACGGAAGTCGACCAGGTGGAGGCCAGTTCTAGCAGCAATGGCGAACTGCCCATTGCCTTTGACCTGCCGATTGCTGAAGATGATCAGCCAGTTGGACGAAGCCTCCGGAATCGAGATACATTGAGAGCCCCAAGGAGGTATGCTCCGTGAGTGTGGAGCTGATGGTGTGCAGTAGTTCATTTGTTCTGTGGTTCTATTATTCTAGGTTGTGTTCCTAAATGCTATAGGTTTTTCCTTTCACAGCGTTTCGAGTGTATTCCGGTCCTTGCTCGTAAAGAGACTTGTCACCTGGTGGAGGTGTGATGATGAATACAGTCTTAGTCTTACTCTTAGATCCATGCTGCTGAAGGTGACAATTACTCCTCTGGTTAGAACAATAACTTGGCGACATGTCACGTGCATACAGTGTTAGGTCTAGCCATGAATGATACCCAATAGCATAAATCGTCATTGTGTACTGTTGCCGACTGGCCCTTTGCATTTCCCGCTGTCATGCTTGCGGTCCGTTGTTTCATACATAGCTAGCTAGCTGGCTTTCCAAGCTGCGTCGCGTTATCATGGTTATGTTCTGCTGTACGTGCAGTCTGCGCTGCGTACCGTGCGGGTACGATTTAGTTCCGGTTTAGGTCAAGTGAAGTACTACTACTAGCAGTAGTTCCGAGATCATGGCTTTTTCAAGTTTTGGTTCTCTTTTTTCCTTGTAGACAAATGTAAGCTAAATAAAACGTCTTGGTTGTGTGGCCGCTTGGGTTGGGTCACAGGGGCTTTGCCATCATTCCACTACAACACACACACACACCACACACACACACACAACACACACAACACTAACACACACACACACACACACCTTGACCTTGATACACGTTGCCTTGGTAGGTTACACAGTCCCTGTTACGGTAGTGTGTTCTCTTCATGGGGGCTTCGTATGGCCCCCAAGGAATGGGGAATTGCGAAAACTAGAGTTACTAGACCCAAAAAGTCGATATATGAAGCCAGGGAGGGCCAAGTTACTTCTGAAGTTTGTCTCCCCCGGCCCACGGAGGGTTTTGATGACGCCACGTGTGATTAGGCACTCAATGCGCTCCCGGAGCTCGAATGCGAACACTGCTGAAACTGTCGAGGTGAAGGGTTGCAGGGTAGTTGTCAAGTAAAGTTTGTTTCTTTCATGTCGTCCATGTGCCAGCTTCAGATTTCCTGTCTGTCATGCGGAGGTGCTGTGCTCCCGGCTGTTCAAACGATTCGAAGGATGAGGCATGCACAAAACAATTGACGTGGTTTATGTTTCCCCACGACGCCGAGTTGCGTCTTTCGTGGGTCAAAAACATGGGCAGAGCAGCTCGATACGAGTCGCCGGTGGGAAAACCCACAAGCGTGGTGGGATCGTTTGTGTTCAGCCCACTTTGAACCAACCTGCTTTCAGCGCGATCTGATGAGCGAATTTATGGCTGGCGGAGCGATGAGCAGCCAGTCAGGCAAACGCGACCTCGTAAGCTCGTCGCGTGGAGGTCGAGGGTGCAGTGCCAACGTTATTTTCGAGTTCAGGCGTCACGGTCTGCAAAGTCTAGTTCCACACCGAAAACAACACCTCTAAAGGAATCACTTTACCTCAAGCGAAAACGCGAGCAGGAGGAGGGATCGGACGAGGAGCTGATAAGTGTTTAGACAAGCTGACGTCTCCATTTCACCAAGCATTTTGGTGGTGTACAAGTACAAGTCGGTTGAAAGCATTATTTCAAGTGTTGTGATTATTGTGAGGTTTTGTGTGAAATTTTAATTTTCGGCAATCACATTTCGTTAATTATTTCTTACTTTTTAGACGGAGGAGGAGCTGGATCCGGAGTCCAAGGCAGTTTGGAAAGCAATTTTATAAATTTTCTATAGCCTATAGGGGAATCACCCAGGACTAGAACACAAGAACTTTTTTTTAGAAAGCTGCCATAAACCGGTTTTTATTGCTATAATCATGATTGCAACTGACCTGAAAGTGAAACACCATTCCGTCACCGAAGATCTTCGGCCGACGAACGGCTACACGACTTCCGGGCGCCTTGAGGAGAAGCGCAAATGTGCACGCCGTAAGTCGACCAACCACATTGACAAGCTTGCTCGTTGTGGCAGTGAAGGAAGCCACTACAAAAAGCTGGGTGCAGCCCAAGACTGGCCGGTATTTTGACGGTAAAGCACACGCCGCTACAATGTCGCTGAAGGTTCGGAAAGCCGGCAGAGACGCCGAGGTCCGAATTCAGTCACAAGACCCGCCGGTGTAGAAATAACGGAGAATATGCTGGCGGCCTTCCACTTCAGTAGGTCTGTCATGAGCGCCCTCTGCCACTGAAACAAATTCTCTTCCTTGGAGACTACATGAACTTACTTCGAAGACGAAAAACAAGAGCAACTGAATCACACTTTGAACAAAAACGATAGCTTCGAGTGTGGGGCAGTGGCTGCATGTAAATATCAGGTGATTTGGATGAACTGTGGCGTGTCTTGTGCTAAGTAAGTTCACACCTTCATACGGGTAAGGTAGTTTCTTCTCCCGCGCGCGTGCTTGCCACGGAGCTGTCAAGTGTCAAGAACCGCGGAAGTGTGATGTTTGTCACATAATCGCCTTGTCCTTGCCCTTGGCTTGGGACCGATGCCGATGGTGTTCTGCACAGACATTGACATGTAAAATAATTGCAATGAAAATGAAGGAGAGCAGTGAGAGTGGATGATAGAAAAATTAATAGTTCTACAAGTACTGGGGTCCGATCCGTGGGGCGACAAAGAGAAGGATCGAACTAGTTCTACCACAGGCACATGTGTACCCACTATCGATACTACTACATGTACTATTGTCATGGCACTTGGCCGGCCACAGGCACAGAGCTAAGCTAGGCGCTGGTGATGGTGTTGCGATGTTGGTAGACCAGGGCACAAGATGCATGTAAAAAGGCAATTCCAGACCTGCAGAACGGCAATGAAATTCACAAAACAGATCAAGCGAAGGCCGAGACGCTATGTACCTTCTTTGCCCGCCAATGCACCACTCAGTCAACGCCGCCGAATATTGTAGCAACTGGTGTGACAATCAATGAAGCCGACGTCGATGGAAACAAATTTGGATTCGGAAAGATAAGCCCTATTGAAGTTTTCGATGCAGCAAGGAGGCTGCAACAACATAAATCATCATCAGACATCAACCTGACAAACCGTATACTAAATCAATTCGCAGATATTCTCTCCCAATCACTATCAGTATTGTTCAACTACAGCCTTGATGATGGTGTGTTCCCGTCCTCCTGGAAATCATCCACCGTAATACCAGTGTACAAACTTGTGGATTCAGCTTGGAAAGCGTGGGAATCTCATTTTCAGAATCTAGTAGACAGATCTTCTATCTTGACCAGTCAACAGGAGCGTCGAAAGCAGAGCCTACACGCCAAATCTACACAAACTGAAGCGGAGACAGAATGTACTGTACCGTGCCTACCTGCGCAACCCTCAGTGTATTGAGGCGAAAGCAGCTTATTGCTTATCGCGGAACTTTTACAGAAAGAAGCTTAGAGCGGCCAGACACGCTTTCCTTGACCGTGAGGCTGCTAGTATATCAAAGAATTGCAGTAAGGGCGGATATGTATGGTGGAAAAGGGCCAAGCAGTTTTGTAACATTGCTGGCAGCAAGTCGTCAGTCCCTGATCTTACAGATGGTGACGCCAGCGCCACCACGGAGCATGAAAAATGCGATCTTCTTGCTCAACATTTTGCAGCCCAGTGTTCAGTGCCACCGGCAGTGAATGGACAACCCTCTCAAGCGCCATCATTAAGTGCTTGCACCACTTTGTACAGCATTTCTAAATTTAGTCCTGGTCAAGTCCATTACGACCTAACACACCTATCCCCCCGAAAATCCACCTCAGCAAATCACATGATACCGATACTACGCTCAATGGCAGGTTTACTGTGTGAATCCCTCTCATTCCTGTTTAACTTAAGCTTATCTACTTCGTGCTTCCCCAATTCCTGGAAATTGGCCTCTGTTACCCCATTATATAAAGGCAAAGGAAGTGCCTCTTCACCAACAAATTATCGTCCTATTTCACTGCTGCATCCCGTCAGTCGCCTTTTCGAATACCGGATAGCACTGAGTCTCAGCAGCTTCCTGCATCGCAACAAATTAATATCACCGTCCCAATTTGCATATGTTCCACAGCGATCAGCAACGGACCAACTTATCCTGCTTACTCACCAGATGGCTCGTATCTCGGACAAACACAACAGATATGATTGTGCATTTCTTGACTTCAGGAAAGCCTTCGATAAGGTTCATCATCCAACACTGATTGAGAGGCTGAGTGCTTTTATGACTCGAAACTCAGTGAAATGGTTTGAATGCTACCTCAATCAGAGAACGATAGCTGTCAAGATTAAGGAGACGATCTCTCCCCAATATCTTTTGAATTGTGGTGTCCCTCAAGGCTCACATCTTGCACCCCTGCTGTTTTTAACCTACATCAATACCCTTCCCGACACATTGACCCACAGCGCCCCTTATCTATTTGCTGATGATGTTACACTGCTCAACACTCATAACATCGGTTTACCTGTTGGTGAGAATCTGGCCAATTTCCAGTTGGATTTAACAAGCTGCCAGCGCTGGGCTAGAGGCATTCACGGGGAGTTTTCTGCGGCCAAGACCACCATGTTCTCCAACTATGCTCCTCCACCCTCTTCGTCTGTCCAAATGGACAACGTACCACTCAATGTTAAAAGTACCGTAATCCATCTAGGCGTAGAGATCAGCACTAATCTTAAATTCCAAGACCATTTCACTACTGTGTTCAAAAAGTTTCGCCAACGTGTAAATTTGTTATGCTTTATGGGCCGTCATCTATCGCATGCACATATTGCCCTACTCTACAAGTCATATGTACGACCCACAGTAGAGTACGCTATCCCTGTCTGGTGCTTTAGACTTACTGCTAGCCAGCTAGAATCGCTTGACACTTTACAAGCAAAGATCTGCAGATGCCTGCTGCGGTCTGCGAAGATTGATTTTGATCGCTATGAATCGAAGAATAATTTAAATAGGCTTTGTAATTTGGAATCCCTTCACTTCCGACGCACTTGCATTTCCATCACCGTTTTGTTCAAGTATATCCATTGGC